TGATTCATAGTTGAGTGAGGTTAGGTTGATGACTATGACTATGGCTATGATTCATAGTTGAGTGAGGTTAGGTTGATGACCATGACTGTGGCTATGATTCATAATTGTGTGAGGTTAGGTTGATGACTATGACTATGGCTATGATTCATAGTTGAGTGAGGTTAGGTTAGTGACCATGACTATGACTATGATTCATAGTTGAGTGAGGTTAGGTTGATGACCATGACTATGGCTGTGATTTCATAGTTCAGTGAGGTTAGGTTAATGACTATGAACATGATTTTTACTATAATGGGGGCAATTTTTAAGCGAAAAAACATTTTTCTTTGTTTTTATTTTTATTGATGATGTTTACCATTATCCAATTTTTTTCTATTGTCAGGCACAATGATTACATCATTAGATTATGGAACAACAACAACAACACAAACAGCATTGGCTGCATTCGGTGCATCAAATGCAATAACCGGCGGTATGATTACCCGAAATGGTGGACTAGTCAATTCATATACGCACACAGCATTACCAAATAATAATGTAAATCAAAATCATTTTGCAACATTACCACATCAACATCATAATCATCAACAACAACAGGTTATGTTACCTGGTCAACAACAAGGTTCACCTATCCTTCAACAACAACATGTCAGATTTGGAACATTACCAAATCGTAGTGGATCGATTAGCAATAATAATAATTTAAATAATTCACCACAGCATAATGGAAATTTAGCCGGATTGATGAATACTGTTGTCACTACTACTAATACAGGTAATGGACATGTAACAACAATACCTGTATCATCAGCTAACAACAACAACAATCTACAGCAATTATCATGATGAAAAAAAGGTATTTCTTGCTTGCAATTTTATATTTTCTTAAATAGATTTTTCTGTTCCTTTTCTAGAAATTATCATTCGTTTGTTTTGGATGGATGATTTCTTTTGTCCTGCCGACGACAACAGCAACAACATTACGAAAACATAGCAGCATCAATCCTGGCCAAACATGAATATAGTCCTTCTACTGCTTCATTAGAAATTTAAACAAATTTTTTTGATCAAATGAAAATATTTTAGTTAAATTGATTGGAAAAATGAAAATCATCCTTATCCACCTTTGATGTTTCAATGTAATCATAATCATCATCGATTTGTTATCAATAATAATTTTTTTAAAAAATAAGTTTTTTTTTACCACTACATTACACTCATGTGTACCATTCAGATCAACATTTTGTACTTCATCTGTATTTTGTTTGTTTTGTTATTCATTTTCTTTTTAATTTTTTTTTGTAACAGTAACATCTTTTGCCCTCATTTTTTATTATTTAATAATTTTGAACGACAAAAAAAATGATAAAATAAAATTATTTTACTTGGTCAATTTCAAATTGAAACAAAAAAAAATGTTGATTAAAAATAATCCATATTTTTAATGGTTTAAAAATTTAAGAAATATGCAAACGAAGTTATGGTGCAACGGTAGTTGAATTATTCATCACTTCACGTAAATGATGGACACAATCTTTAACTTCTTTACAGGTACAAACAATCAATTCGATACAACCAATAACGTTATGTGCTTTGATACAATTCAATGTTGGTTTCACACAATTTTCTACCCATTCAATACCCATACAACGTAAAAATATTTTAGCTTTTTCGCCAAATTTTTTCAATAAAGGATGATATTTTCGTAATGCTGCTTCCGGAATTTCAGCTTCAGGTGATTCAGATGGTGCAGCCATTGTTACAGCAATCATGATGGTGGCCAAGATCACCAACATTGCCAAATAATCTGAGAAAAATTTGACAAAAATTAATTGAATTCAATCAAAAAGAAAAAGGTAAAATTAAACTTACTTTTCATCATGTTTGATTGTTTGTTTGTTTGATTGATTGTAGTTGAAATGAAATAAGAAAAAATATTGTTACACGATAAACAAATTGACATCGTCATTTTTATATATACGATTTCCTTGCATCCAATTAAATTCTTCAATTTTATCGATTATCCAGAGAGAGGTGTTAATAGATTATTATCAAATCTTAATCAATCTGATTAATATTGGTGTGCATAGCAACAGGCAATAAAATTAAAAAAACTTGTGATTAGCATAGCAAAATCGTATACATAATATAATGCAATGTATTTTATTGATTAAATGTTCCTGAAACAAATTCCAAATTTTAATCCAATGGATTATCATCATTGAATCTTGTGATTTTGCGTTGTTGGAATTTTTTTTCCCTGAAAAAAAATCTCAGTGTTTTTTTTTTGTTTTGCATCTTTGTTTGTTCAGGGAAAGCTTCTTTTTTCCTTTCCATTGATTCGCGTTATTGCGTGAAAATTTTTGTTTTCTTTCGAAAGTCTATTTCAAAGACATATACAGACACGATGTTATCTTTGCTTTTTGCATACAGTGAAAAGTTTTTTTTTCGCCAGAAACACAAATCATATCGATATATTCCAATTGAATTTGAATGGAAATAGTTTTTTTTTTTGAATTTTTCAGACTTTTTTTCGAAAACTTTACCGGGTATTTTTGCGCCCAGAATATCGAATGAGATGATAGGATGTTTTTTCTAAAGAATTTTGACTGGCCAAAGCAACAAAAGAATTCCATTCACATTTGGAAAATCTGATCAGAAAATATTTCCTTTTTTTCCACGATTCACTATGTGTGATTGGAATTTTTGATAATTTCTTGGTAGCAAAAGAAAAAAAACTTAAAAGTTTTTGATTCGACATTAGGTGAGAAGAAACTTGTCAATCAATCGATCAAATAAATTCAATGTAATGACGAATTAAGGAAATTTTGAAATGATCAATAAAAAAAACCTAAAGATTACAAATCAAACAAATGCAATAAAATGTCATCGCGTTGTTTGAATTGGTAGACATTTTCGTAGTAGAAAAAAATCAACTACCAACTTGATTACCAAATCATTATCATTTTTGATTCGAAGTGCAAAAACGATGGCTGCCATCAAAACGGATTCAATTTCGTTTGGTTTTCAAAAAAACAATATTCAAGCGTTGAATAATGTTTCTATAAATGTTCCAAATGGTATTATTTTGTTATCATCTCACCTAATCTCACCACATCACATATAATTTTCAATTTGATTATTTCTAGGTAAAATATATTCACTATTAGGTCCAAGTGGTTGTGGTAAAACAACATTACTACGAATAATTATTGGTTGTTTACGACCAAATTCCGGTACGGTACAAGTACTTGGTCATTGTCAACCTGGATCACAACTGAATCATCAAATTGGTTATATGCCACAAGAATTAGGTTTAAATCCATTTCTACCAATACGTGAAACATTTTATTATTATGCACGTGTTAATCATGTTAAAAGCATGGAATATATTCAAAAACGTATGGAAAATTATTTGGATATTCTTGGCCTTAAAGATTGTGAGCGACGTGTTTCACAATTAAGTATGGGACAAAAACGTTTATTATCATTAGGTGTTAGTTTAATTGGCAAACCACGATTACTGTTGTTGGATGAACCAACCGTTGGTATTGATTCAATGATACGACAACAAATTTGGAATCATCTTCGTCACTTATGTCGAACTGAAGGTAAGTGCTAAAAACAAACAACCTTGGTTTATTTGGTAATAACAACGACAAACGCACGATACAGGAACGTCTGTCCTTATAACAACGCATTATATTGACGAAGCAAAAGAATCGGATATTGTTAGTTTTTTACGTGATGGCCGCTTATTGGCTGAAGGTTCACCAAATTCATTAATGAAAAAAATCCAATGTCAAACATTGGAAGAAGTTTTTTTTCGTTTATGTATTGCCGAAACGATTCAAAATGATGATGATGATGATCAGCAGAAATTTTCTGAAAATAAACAAGAACAAGCTTTAGACAAAATCCAAGATGACAATGTTGATCAAGAAAATTCAATTTATCCATGTTCAAAACAATTGATAAATTGGGATCATCTTTATGCGCTGTTTTGTCGTGATTATTTCTTTTTCACACATAATTTTCATTTTTTCCTATTCTATCTACTTCTACCAATGGCATCATTATTTTTAGTAAAATTATTATTGAATGGTGGAATTCAATCCATACCGGTTGCTATTCATAATGCTGAACATCATCAACAACAAAATGATGGATATCATTTATCCGAATTATTCATTGAACAATTCAATACAAGTGCAGTGGCTATAACGATTTTTAAAAATGAATCCGAAGCTGAAAATTCAATAAAATTAGGCCAGAATTTGATGGTTATTTCATTTCGTGTGAATTTTTCCCGTTCATTTGTTGATCGTTATATTAAACATAATTTTGGTAATAATAATTCAAGGGATTCAAGTTCAATACATCTTTATTTTGATCATACGGATATTCCAAGTATATTGATTATAAACAATCATCTGTTAATATCATTACAAAAAACTATTGAAAAATATTGTTCAATTCATGGATTAAATTCTATGCTATTCTCGGTACCAATTCAGGAGAAAGAAATCATCTATGGATCACATGATATAACAAAAACATCATCATTGAATTTTATATTTCCATCAATATTAATTCAAACATTATTTATGATTAATTTAGCTAAATCATCATTCGAATTAATGTATCTTGGTGATTATGGTTGTATGAATCGTGATCTAATACAAGGTGTTCGGCCATTCGAATTGATGTTTGAATTTATTCTTGCATCTTGTGGATCATTGTTTGTACAAATCTGTTTAATGATGATTTTCATATTTAATGTATTGAAATTTCCTTTAGCTAATGATTTTCTAAATCCATTTTGGATAATTACTTCAACATCCATACAAGGTATGGCTACCGGAATTCTATTGGCCATTCTCATTTCGAATAAAGTTACAGTTATGGTAAATGATGATTTGTCTCTAATTAAATGAATGATAATTTTCTTAATTTTTTTTTATTTTAGTTTTTTTCTTGTGGTCTAATAATAACAATGGGTTTTACATCCGGTGCATTTTGGCCAATAGAAACATGGTCATCATTTTGGCAACAATTTGCTATATTTCATCCATGGACAATGCCATTAAAATCATTATCATCGGCAATGTTTCGTGGTCATTATTACCAAAATCATGATATTTTAAATGGTCAATTAGTGAGCCTAATACATTGTTTAATATTGATTTTAGCAACTATTATTATATTTCATTATAAAAATCGTAGATTTCAATAATCTTTTTTTTGGTAAAAAAAGTGTCTTTAACCCTTAATTTGAAATAAACGAAATTCTTTTGCGTTTGTGTGTGTGTTTGTCATCAATGTTCGATCGATGATTTTTTTTGTTTGTTTTTTTTAAGTTTTCAAAACACATTTTCTGTCTTTGTGATGTGGTGAGCTCTTTTTTACGCGCTTGAACAAATTCGAGATATTTTTTTCCGGATGCGGATAAAATATTCACCACCATCCGAACAAATTTGATTTGGCTGAAATGGTAGTGGTTTTGATTGAAATCGATTCAAAGTTTATTGAATGAAAAAAAGTTTTTTTTGAACTCATTTTTATCATTATCTCCTTTCCGCAAAACAAACGAGAGAAAAAAAATCGAAATCGATCCGGGCAATTTCGGTTCGAGCAAAACAACAATTTGTTCCTGAAATTCCCGAACCTTAAACAAAAAAAAAATGAAACCTAAATTCTATTGTTTGTTTTCGTTTACATTTAATTTGATTTTGGACCATATAAATGGCCATCGAATCAAAATTTCATTTTGGACTTTAAAGAAGTTTTATTATTTTTCTTATTGCGTTTCAAAACCATAACCAGAAATCCATATTTTGCCCCCAATAAAACAACAACAAGAAAATCATTCGAGCAAAAAAGAACATTAATTGTTGATCAAATCAAATCAATCAATAAAAAAAAGAAAGAAACCAACTCCGGCTCTCAAATCATCATCAATTGCTGTTGTTGTTCAAACTTTTTCGGTTATTTGATTCACGATCATTATTATTATCGTCAGACGCGTATATATATAGTGTGTGTTTTCAGGCCATATTTTGTCAATATTTTTCTCTCACTCATTGCTTTTAATAGACCACCGGGGGTAGGTTAATCATTCATTCACTTATTATTATTATTATTGTTTGAAAATTGACTCTTTTTTTTCTGTTTGTTTCTTTGTTGTTGTTTATTATCATCATCATCATTAATGGATGTCTTTTCATTCTGTTTTCGGTTGCTATTGTGGATCGCGTATTTTTATTGATTTTATTTCAATTTATCGATTGATCGATCCCCGAACATATACACAATGTTCATTTTGGTTTTTGAATCCAAATGCAAAACTCCCACCACCACAACAGAACAAGAATTGAAAACTTTTTTACTACCAGTAAAGAGAGAAAACATCATCCAAAAAAGAAATTCATCAATTTTGAAGAACAAGAAACACACACCGAAATAAACAAAGTGATTAATTGTGTTTTTGTTTGAACAGACCCGGCAACTTGTGTGTTTGATCCAGCAAAAAGAATAATTATTTTGAACAAAGTTGAACAAAAACATTATGCAACAACAACAATCAAAACGACGATTCATCATTTATTTGATAATTAATAATTCGAATAAAATGGAACAACAACGACCAATTGGCTTGATACAATCAAGTGAAATTATTGGTAGTTGTAATTTGGGTCGTAGTAGGAATATGGCTGCATCAAATAATAATAAATTGAATGATTATCGTTTAGAAATTAAACCATTTGATGAACACCATCCAACTGGAGCTGAACTTCAACAAATGATTTACCAGAATGATTTTAATATAATTCATTTTGAATCAAAGGATGCTGATCGAAATCTTCTGGAATTATCAATGGATAATGATGTTGGACATCATTTTCATTGGCTACTACGATCACCATGTATGATGCTAGTCAATTCAATAATACGGTTACAATTAGATCTGGGTCATGGACCAGTTGCACCAGTTCCCGAAAGTAATGTTATTAAAGGAATGGAAGAAATTTTCTTGGAAAATGATGCTCAATTATGTTTTGATAGTTCTTCATTTCAAAATCAAAAATTTGGTGGTGGTGGTGCCATCAATCTTTTTACAAAAAGTAATTTAATTAAACAAATAGTAAAGGTTGATGATCAACGTCGACCACAAATTGCCTCGATATTTTATTGTAACAATTCTCCGACAACAACAACTGATGCTGTTCCAGGTTCAAATATTCAAAATGCTGGTGGCAGTAATGAAGTGAATAAACGTCGGCCAACATTACAATCGGTAACAAGTCGTTCAAAAAATGAACCCGATTATGTCATCTATTATGGTGATAAAAATCGTATCAAACCAGTAGCGATTATTTGTGGACAAATTCAACAATTATTACCAAATGAATTATTATCGATGACTACAACAGAATTTGATCCAGGTGAACTTCTTCAAATGCCTGAAACAAAATTAGAATTACGTAATGATCTAACAAATGAAATAAATCGAAAAGATTGGTATTACCTTTGTAAACATTCATCATTAGTACGTGTACAATTTTTATCGATTGCTTATGTTCATAGTTTACAACCGACGAAATGTTATTTTAAATCATTGATAATACCATCAAGAAGATTTTCAATTGTAATTGCCGGATTTGTTGGTATTATTGGCCATCGTAAACCAATGGATCCGATGGATTTATTTAATGCATCGAAAATACTTTCCGGTGGTACTAGAGATCATGTAGTTGAAATCGTTGTGGATGAAGAATGCTTAGTTTATATTGGTGATCATTTTATGTTCATTATGGCTAAACAACCACGTGATCCAAATGATAATAATTTATTGAAAATGAGATTTAAAAGTAAATCAAATTAAAGTTGAGTTTGAAATTTTTTTCCGTTGTTGCCTTTGTTAAAATTAAATTTTTCTTTCCGAAAACAAAATTCACCCGAATTGCTTCTTCTTTCCCATGATCAAACGAACCCGAAACAAGAAAAAAAATTAAGTTACGATTTCCGAAACTTTTCTCTTGAAAAAAGAAGACAGCCAAAACAGAAAAAAATCAAATGAAAATGATGAAAATCAGAAACCACACATACCAGTGAAGAGGAAAACCAAAGGAAAAATAAAAATTCTGCCAACATCAGCAACTTATTTTAGTTTTATTCCCGGTTATTATGATAATGAAAGCGGCAATTGTTTTGGCAAAGAAAAAAATCTTTATTTTCATTTTCGGTATTTGAGCCGAAATAGTCGAAAATAGAAAAAATTGACCGGATGTTTTTTTCCTGTTTAAATAGCCGACAACGTTCGAAATGACAACTTCAAGTTGCCTAAATTGCAAAAGTTGAAGAAATGTTTTCTATGTTTTTTTTGAAAATGGTCATTTTCCAAAATGAAGTAAGTATAATTGAGATATATTAGCACCATGTAACATTCATCGATTCTCTTTTTACCTAAATTGACCAAAATCTTTTTCAGAACCAAGAACAAAAACTTTTAGTCGAAAAAAAGATTATGATTACAAGCAACAAAAACAAGAAAATAAAGAATGTTTTTTTTTCTTTTGCTCGCTTGTTCTTTCAAAACTCTTCCAACTCCCTTTGCGACAATGAATGAATAGGAATGTTACAAGAAAAAAAAGAAATATAGTCCATTTTTTTATATAAAGAATCCATTTATTTTCATCATTATCATCGTTTTTGTAAGTGAAAAAGAAAATATTCGATTCGATTTGATCATATCATTATTACATAAGAAAATATATCCATTCATCCATTTTTTCGTTTTTTATCATCATCATCATCATGATTATTATCATCATTATTGTTGGTTATCCATGGTTTATTCTCTAAACTTAATGAACTAATTTTAGTCAATTCTCGTAAACATATTGTTGCATAAGATGATGTTGGTAATCGTATCATAATTTTTAATGCTTGATAATTATCGTTATTATCTTTTTTCTCCATCATTTTAATTTCATTATTAATCGATTGGATTCGATCTAAATCTGTTTGGATTAATGGTTTAGTATCATCCTGATATTCCAGCCATTCCCATTCAAATTCCGATGGTCGTACTATTAATTTACGATAACTACCATTTACACACCATTGTTGTCCTAAGTTGGAAAATTGTTCCAATGATATTGAATCTTCTTGTAATATTTCATCGATAAATTTTTTGGTTAAATTTGTTGGAAATTTACTTAATGAACCAATAATTGGTATAACTACATCATAGATTGAAAATTTTTCCAAATTTTCTTTTGTAACCAATTCAATTTGATCGTTTGGAATATTGGCTTTAATATTGTTGTTATGGTTTTGGTTATTGTCGGATTCATCATCATCTGGTTGTTCGGAAATATCTGCTTCATTTGTTTCATCATCTAAATTTGGTCCAACAAAAACTAAATCACCTTCAACAACATTTAAACCATATTGACGAACCCGATAGGATGCAATACGATTCCAAAGGTAACTTTGATATGCATGTAGATATAATAATCGACTGTTTCGATTCAAACCAATACAAAGACCGCCATGATAATCATTCGGGGCCACTTTGGACAATCCGCGTAACAATGAACCTTCAATTGTATATTTATAATTCAATTTTCGATATGCTTCGCCGGCATCTCTGGTTTGGCGCCATAAACGAATTGCTTCATTGAATGAAATTTCATTTCTTTGGCTATTTTTCCTATTGCCATACGGTACACGATCGGTAGGTTTTTCAACAAGAATTTCTTCAACTAATTTTTTAAATTCTTTACGTAAAACCAATATGCCAAGTTTATGTGAATCATTACGATGTGAACCAAATCGTTGCATTCCATAATAATTGATAAAACCATTGGTTTTTATATTGATCAATGCTTGTTCACACAGATCACGATCATTCATATCCATAATAAGTTCATTGATCTTGCTTATCGATGATTGTGATTGTGGTGACGATGGCTCCTTCTGTCGATCCAGATCACCATCATCAATCAGGCGTACATCACGCAGAACAATTTCAAATTGATTTCCACTTAAATCACCTAATCTTAATGGTTGATTTTCAAAATGAAAATGTCCAACATGTAATCGAATACGATTACCACTTCGATGATTAAATTCTTGACAAGCTTGCCAAATTTTCGCAGGATTCATACGAAAAGCGGAAAATTTTTGTGTTGATATTGCTCGTTTATCTTTATTCCCAGCATAGGTAAATGTTTTTGTTGCAACACCTAATCGACGCCCGAATTCATTGACAACCTGTATGGTTTCCATATTTTCTTTATAAAGAACAAAATGTACAAAACTTGGTCGATTTGTCGGCCAAGTTTGTCGTCGACATTGTTGCCGTTGATTTCGATTGGTTTGTTGTTTTTTAGCCAAAATTTTTACAAATCTTTTACCATCAATTGTTTCGGTATTGGATTCAACGGTTGGATAATTTTGTTTAATAAATAAATGTAATCGACTACGTTCCTGTTTATCAAGTTCATCGATTGATATTAATGGATTAACAAGTTGAAAATTACTTTCAACATAACTATCAATTTGTTGTTTAAAATTGGAATCAATTTTCAGTGAATCAATCGATATTGTTTCAGATGATTCAATTGTTTGTCGTTCTTCATCGGCAATTGTCAACGAAATATCTTCTGGTTTATCAATATTTTCCAATCGTATAACATTTCCTTGTCGATCAATTTCATGAACAACAAAATCTTCAAATCTAATTGTAACAGAATTTCAATTTTATTGAATTGATTGAATATTAAGAAAACTAACCGGTGTTTTAGGATGCCATGGAATGGTTTATGATTACCAATAAATTCGGTTATACCGACATTTTGTTCATTAAGATAGCCACGTTTAATTACATTATTCAGATCTGATTTTAATTTTTTTATTGGTCGTAAATTCATATTTTCAGTTTTTTTAAAATCTTTTCGCTAAACACGTGCGCGTAAAATTCATACCCAACGAGTATTCCAAATATTTCAATGCCGGATTTATACAATGTGTAAAATTTGAAAATATTACCTTTTGCGCCAAAAAAAAATTGAAAATTGAAAATTGAATCATTTTTGTAAAATAATAATGTTTAGTTTTTATTCATCATTGAAATCTCTATTAGAATAAAAAGGGAAAAAAATTGAAAGCGATAGCCAAAGCGCTTAGGTAAAATTTCATTAAAATAAATAAATAAATAATAATAATCAACAAGCACTTGTTTTCGTGTTTACGAATGATTTTTTTCGTTTGTTTGTTTTTGTTTTTTTTGAATAAAGATTTTATGAAAATTTTTATTTTTTTTATATTAAATTAATATTAAACGTTTGTTTTTTGTTGTTGTTGTTTGTTTGTTCGTGGCTGTCCGATGTTGTTGATCTATATTTGTTTGTTTAATTAATTTTGATTTTGATTTAAAATTAAATTTAAATTAAGTTTGAGAATTTAAACTGATGTTTGTTAATAATTGGTTGTTTCTTCTTGCGTTGTGAACACTTGACGGGTACCGCCTGGAACCTGGCTTGTTGTTACCCATGAACGATGTTTAGCACGGATAAACGATAAATTCGATTCAGCTTGATCGGCACGATCTTCGGCTGCTTCCAATTCACGTTGGAATCGTCTGACACGTGTCAAATTTTGTTGGCTCATTCCCTCCTGGGTAAGTTAATCAATTAGAAAATGATGTAAATTGAAATATGGCTAAATCACATACCTGTTCTTGCATTTGTCGTTTATAAACTTTAACCTTTTCATTCAATTTATCAGTCATTTCCTGTAACAATTGAATTTGTTTATGGTCCTCCTCATTTTGTAACAACAATTCTTTGACACGATGATCTTTTTTACGTAACATTTTTTCCGTTTCAGCATGTCGTCGTCGTTCTTCCTCAACTTCAATTTCAACATCACGAATACGGCTTTCCAATTTAGCAATAACACGTTTACCACCGGCCAAAGCATTAGCTTCAACTTCTTCAATACGAACATGTAATGTACGTACTTCTTGTTCCAATGATTTTTTCACTGTTTCCAATTTTACCAATCGTTCTTGTTCTTCAATCAATAAATCTTTTGTTGATTTAAGTTCAATTGTAAGTTTCTGTACTCGTTCATCGGAAATCTATTGTTTTTGTTCAAATGCAACCGTCATTAGATTAGATTATAGCACTGATTTTTCAAAAAAATCAAACTTACTCTCAATTCTTTATGTACTTCATCATAATCAGCTTGAAGTGCAGAGAATTCAGATTCCAATTTACTTTTAGCTGATGCTAGATTAACATTGATTGTTGTCAATTCATTAACACGTACAACAGCTTCTTCATGTAATTGTTCAGCTTGTCGTTTAGCACGACTAGCCTGTTCCAATGCGATGCGCATCTCTTCCAATTCGGCTTGCAATGCTTGACATCTTCGTTGTGTAACACCTAATTGATCTACAGCTTGTTGCAATTGACGATGTACTTCATCATAATGGGCTTGTAATTCCTAAATAGTTTTGTTTTTTTTAGATAAAAATCACTTTTCATTAAATTATAAAAAACTAACCGTAATTTGTAGAGCCTGTTTTTTAATCGTCTTCTGTAAATCAATATTAGCTTTATTAGCGGCATCCAATGATAATTCCAATTCAGTAATTTGTGCTTGATATTTTTTCTTTAATCGTGCAATTTCTGTTTTCAATTTAGCTTCAGCTTCAGCCAAACGCATATTCAATTGTTCAATTTCAATTTGATATTGTTTGCTATTTTGGATGTGATCAAAGGATTAGAATTGGTTCATTCAAATATATCAGATACTTACCGCAATGCTTCAATTTCTTCATCTTTTTGTGCCAAACGTTTTTCATAATCATGTCGTACCTGTGCCAATTCAGCAATCAATCTTTGATTTTTAGCCTCTTCTTGTTTTCGTAATGTTTCAGCTTCTTTGTATGCAGCCGACAATTCATCACGTTCATTTTCCAATCGTTTGATTTCAATTTCTTGTTCATGGATTCTACGATGAGCATCGTTCAATTGTGATTTAGCTTCAGCAAGATCGTCTATATTGAAAAACAAAGACAAAAAAATTCAAATTTCAATCAATCAATAAAATCAATATGATTTACCGGTAAGTTTTTTGTTTTCTCGTGCCAATTGATCGCGTTGATCGCGAACTTTTTCATATTCATGTTGCAATTTTTGCAATTCACCAATTTTGATTCGAAGTTCTTTCTGTGCTTGTTCCATCAACATGGTAACTTCTTCCAATTTATTTTTCAAATCCAAATTAATCTTTTCCAATTGTGCGACACGTTTTTCCAATTGTTGTGCATGTGCTGTTGCTTTTTCCAAATCCATAATCAATACTTCAACTTCACTTTGAAGACGGGATTTTTGTTTTTCCAATGAACTACATTTGTTCAATAAAGCTTCCAATTGTTCTTCGTATTCAGAAATCTTTTGAGCCATTTTGCGACTAAATGTTCAAGGGTTAATTTTTAAAATTTCATTGAAAAAATTTTCAAATAATTACCGAAGTTCTTCGACTTCATCGGCATGTGCTTGCAATTCAGCTTCATATTTTGATTTCCATGATGCAGCATCACCATTAGCTTTGGTCAATTGACGTTCCAATTCTAAACGTGCTTCAGATTCTTCATCCAATTGCACTTTCAATGATTCTAATTCAACCTCCAATGTATGGGCATGATTCTCGAGGCTGGAACGTTTCTAGAAATTACGATATTTGGGTTACATGACATTTTTTGATAGAAAGATAAATAACTTACTCGTTCTTCTTCTTCCAAACGATGGCGAGTATCTTCCAATTGTTGGGCAATCTGTTGTTTCAAATGATTAGCATTATCCAATTGTAATTTAACTTCATGAACTTCTTTGATCAATTCAGTATTCTCTTGTGTCAAACGTTGTTTATGTGATGTTAATTCAATAACTGTACGATTGATTTCTTCAATTTTAATATTCAATTCATGAACAGTGTATTCCAATTTTTCGACACTTTTCAATGCTGTTAATTTTTCTTTATTAGCTGTTTCCAATTGTGATAATAATTCAAAAACTTCTGCTTGAAATTTTTGCTTTTCTTTATCCGATTTATTTTTTGCTTTTTGTAATTGATCCAATTGATCTTGCATTTCTTGTACGGCAGCTTGATGTTTTTGTCGTAAATGATGTGCAGTTTCTTCCGATTCCATATGAACATCTTCCAATAATTTTCTTAATTTTGCCAATTCTGAATCTCTTTTTTTGTTCATTTCGGTCTATGGTGGGAAGGAACATGATACCTTTGTTTTTTTCCTCTTTTAGTTTTTTATACTTACAACACTTTCGCTTGATCCTTCAGCCTCTTCCAAACGTTCACTTAGGCTCATTACCTGGATCTGTAATTCGGCCTTTTCACGTTCAATCTATGATAATTTTGATTCATTTTATTAGTAAATTGCATTATTTTAAATTTTCCCCTAGAATTTATCGGACTGATAGGATTTTGATTTGTGTTTCCTTGATCTGATTTTCCGAAACCAGATTCATCATTTAAGAATTTTTTTTATTTATTAATTTTCTCGATTAACTTGGCTGCTGAAAAAGAATAAATAGAATTCTTGTGCTGTGATGTTACATTCATTCATTGATTGCATTCCGTGAAATGAAATTCTTGGATTCTTTGAATGAATTGCCTATGTAAGTAAGATGATGATCTCTAAAAATAGATGTATGGTGCATACATGATGAGGATTAAGGCGTTGGTAAGATTCTTTTTTTTTTGGCTACTGTTTCGAAGCTTTTAATGTTTGGCCTTGCCTACATTTAAATATTACTGTGTGTACTCGATAAAATGAATAACTTTTGTTTTGTAAATTCCTCTTACAGAAACAAGCAAACAATCATTTCTGCTCGAAAACTAACCTAAAATGGAATCACACATCATCATTGTCATCAAGTTCATCGAGAAAATTGAATGAAAATAAAAAACTTGACTAAAACCTCAAATGGTGAAACATGACCGATAATTCATAGAGAATTGGGTAAAAAAGAAATTAAACTTACGCGTTGTCGCATTTCACGTTCGGATTCCAGATCATCGGATAATAGTCGGATTTTGTCCTAGAAAACATTTTGAACAAAATAAAAAAAAGAAAAAAGACAATACATTAATTTATAGGCGATCGATAATTGTGTGGATTATATGAATTTATTCAAGGTCGATTCTAATAAATCTGGTTTTTTCTTTCTGTTTTGTATGGTTTCGTATGGCTTGTTGTTGTTTTTTGGCTTCATTTCAAAATCGATTCGATCAAATGTGGTGATGGATGAATTGATTGAATTTTTGATCATATGTTGATATGGGGTGTTGAAAATCTGAAAATATTGATCTATAGATTTTTATGTTTTTGTTTTGTTTATGTTTATAATTGTTTATCTTTTTAATTGATGAAATCGGTGGTCTTGACTTTCAAAAATTGTCGTCATTCGTCAATTTTTCACTATTTTGACCCGAGTTGGTCACATTCATTCATTTGAATTTGAATTTGAATTTGAATTTGAATTTGAATTTGAATTTGAATTTGAATTCAAGTTGAGATAGCTATTTCCATCATTAAATCATTATCATTGCTAACAATTGATGAATGTTGTTGGCATTTGTGTGAAATTTGATTTGAAATTGTGAAATGAATCGAAAATACATACCTCAAGTCGTGTTAAGGCACCTAAATCGGTACCATATTCAACGGAAATATCACCCGAAGCACCAGCACCACTGGATCGGTACATATATTTTGCTGTACGTGCCGACATTGTTACTCTTTATCTGTTTTCGAATTGGATCGTTTTTTTTGTTTGTGAAAATAATCGCGTTGTATATGGATGATACAAAATCGATGAATGATATTTAAACGAGAAAAAAATAATATTAACAAACAGAACAACCGAAAAGACCAACCAACAATCAAACAACAACTGACACAATAATCGTATTGGATGCAGCCGATTTTCTACTCGAATCTGAAATGAAATTCTTTAAAGACAAAATTCTTTCTTGATCAAGCTTGAACAAATTTTGTTTCATTCATTCATTCATCAATATTTCTTTCTTTCTTTCTTTTTGATTTATACAATGCAATAATGAATGAATGCTGCCAGAATTTTTTTTGCCCCATTATCATTCTTACTGTTGTTTTGTTCAAGTTTCGAAACCTTGATGATATGCAATGAATTTTTGTATGAGCGCATCCTATTTTTTCACCAGTTTTCTACCAAAAAAATATTTTCAAAATAAGGAATTTCAAAAAGAAATTCGAAGAAAAGTTATTGAAAAAGAGAAAAAATCATTCAAATTGCTAGTGGGATATATTTTTTTCATTAAAATAAAAAATCCAAATAATTACCGAATGTGGCTGTGTGTGTGGTGATTGTGGTGGTGGTTATGGTGGAAGTTTGAATACCGAAATAATGTCCTATATCATGATGATTGCTTGGCACCACCTTTACTCTTGATGATGGTAATATTCCTATCAATGATAACTGTTGAATTCTTTTACATTTAGCTTGTTGCTTGCCAGTCACCATTATTTTTTTTGCTTGGCCTATATATTCGATATTCCTTTTTTAGACATTCATTCCTTTATGTTCTTCTCGATTCACCATTTCAGATATCATCTTTGTGAAAGAATAAGAAAAAAAACTGACGAAATTGTTCATATTTTCAATGAATTTGAATGGAATATATCACGTCATTTGGAATGTGAATGATGATGATGACGATGATTTCTCTCTTTTTACACTAGTTTTTTTTTGTTATTGTGAAGAATGTTTTTTTTTCTTCAAAAAAAAAACATTCGGTCTATGTGTGCTTCCAGCCAAATGAATTGAAGAATTGAAAACCTTGGACAGAAAAAAATGATGTTGTTGTTTGTCGAGATTAAAGTTTGGAAATTTTTTCGTCTCTCTTTCAGAATAATTGAGAATCCCTTGATTTTTTTTTTCGTTTATCGAATGCAAAAAAATTCCCTTCTCTTTTCAGTCGAGTTCAACATAGTGACAAAAAAAAAACAAAAATTTTTTTTCCTTTCATTTCATTCTTGGATGAAATTCCTATGACAAGTTAAACAACGATGATGAACGAATGAACCTGGTCTTTTTTAGGAAAAAAATATTACTTTTTTTTGTCATTCTATTAATAAAAAAAATTTTTTTTCTCCTGCCGCCGTATGTCAAATCATGCAATGATGGCAGATATTGTCAATTTTTTTTCGGTAAATATTTTGCCTAATTTGATATAACCTATGTAATCGATGATTACTGGTTATATTCAACAGTCATTAGTCAAAACAATTGAATCAAACAAAAAAATGAAAAACTATAGAGAGAAATTCCATTCACTTGCATACTTGAAAATAAAAAAAATGAACAGTGTTGCATCCCGACTGACGAGAAAAAAAATGTTTTCTTCATAATGATGCTTTTAATTTTAGATCAATTCTGTTAGCAGAGAAACATTAAAAATAAAATAGAATAATTATTTTCGGGTTGACAAAGTTTTGCATAGGATTTTTGACTTGAATTTATTTATTTTTATAGACATGGCAAATTGAATTATAATTATAATCAACATTACATAGAAACTCTTTTTTATTATCGACTGAATGGAAAGAATTTCAAGGTTCTAATTAATGATGATCAGAATGTTGTTGATAAAAACGTAGACCACAATAGCCACATGTATGATTACCCGGTTGATCTAGATTAATAAATACTTTTGGATGTCCTAATGGTCCACCACCACCATCACAACAAACTGATCGTCCATTTACGGGTGTTGGTGGAATTTCTGCTATCAAATCACGTGCAAATCGTGTATTAACTTTTTTCATTTTTCCATTAATAAATCTCGATAGACGATAATCATTTTCTTCGAATTTCTATTTCGGATAAAAAATTTGAAAAAGGTTAAATCAGATGATTAATACAAACCTGTCCGGTATGTGTTTCAACGTCGACAAATTCATCGATTTTTTGTATTTCGGCTTTGGATAATGTATGAGTTTTGTCCAATTGATGATCAGCCGAAAGTGATCGAATCGGATTGATTTGCATCATCAATTGTTTCCATGTTTGTGGTGTTGTTTTCAAACAAAATCTATTCATAATTTGATTGGCCATTTTTTATTTTCGGGAAAAAAATTTATTTCAACTTTGAAAACCAAACAACAACAACAAGGTGAACATATAAACAACCTAAGCGACTATTTTCACTGTTTCGATTCGATCGGGTTTAAATGTTTTTTTTGTCACATGTTTTATTTCTGCAAAAATCAATTTTGTTTTTCTAAAATTCAAAATAATTCAAATAAGTAAGATTTGTTAATTGATTTCAAACTTTTAATTGATTATTGTGATTATTTTAAAGATAAAAATGCTTCGAAATTGTTTGAATATTATGTCGAACGTATGGCGAATTGCAGGACAACAACGAACAACAAATCAAACATCATTAATTCGATCAGAATTATTTCAATCACCATTATCAATTTTTATGGATAAATACGGTCCTATGATTCAACAACAACAAATCAGAACATTCAAAGATAAAGATGTTCTAAAATTACGTTGTCCAAAATGTTATTTCAAAAAATTGGATGATCGTTGGTGGGTATTGTGTAATGAACATCCCAGACATAAACAACGACAAAGATTATCCCGAATTCAACAACAAGATCGAATGATTGTTACGCATATTACACGTACTGGATCATATAAGCGAAAACATTATCAATATATTCATCATGATATTTGATTTTATTTTCTGTAAAATTTGTCTATTTTGTTCATTTTGGGAAAAGCCTCTCTAATTTGTAATTTTGTTATTGTCAGTCAATTATTGTTGTTCAAAGTAAAAAATAAATTTTCGAGATAATCTTTCGATCAAATTGATTAATCGCCTTGAGCCAAAATTGATGATGATGATGATGGCAACAAGTTGTCACCCTTAAACATCATGTACATCAGAAAAAAAATCATTTGATTAATGGTCAGCCATCATTGAAACAAGGTGTCTTCTTAATTTCTTCAAAAGCTTATTATATTTTTAGAAATTGAATTTATTAACAAAAAAGTGTAATGATGATGGTGACAATGATGATGGCTGATCAACTTTGACTTTGAATTTGACAAGCAACAAGATTAGTTTAATGGAAAAAACCTTGTATGACGATCAACATGGACAATGCTGTTTTTTTCTGATCAATCATCAAGATCAAGCTAATAAATCATTTTTTCCATTCGATTTTTTGATGATGATATTGAACCTTTTTGCTTTTGTTGTTGTTGTGGTAGAATTGTCGAATGAAGATAATAATCCTGGTGTGATTTTTGTTTTTGTTTTTTTCATTCATTCATCATTTAATTGCCTGTAGGGTGAATTGAAATTGATTTTTTAAAATCATCCGATTCAGTAAGGTGGTAGATGTATTTATGATTTCATTTTGGAGGCCATTAATTTTTCTAATTCATTCATTGTCAATGGTTTCAGGAATGGTTTGTTTTGTTTGGATTACTTTTTTTGTTTGTTTTTTATTTGTGAAATTTGTTTTTATGGAAAACCTCTTTGTGACTATATCACAAGATGATATTTTTTTCTCTTTTGGATTCATTCCAATGGAATAAGCTTAGTCATCTGGTTGAAATTTCCGTTTTGTTTGTTTGTTGGGAAAACACGGATGACATTTATTATGATATGATAATGTGATAAACAAAACAAGAGATAATATTGATAAGATTTTCTATATTTTCAAGGTTTTTTCTTTCATCTTCGATTCATTTTCTTTTTGTGTTGTACAGGTAAATTCAAAAATGAATAACACTTTTACTTTTCCTGGAAAATAATAATAATTATTCCTAAAAAAATTGCAAAAAATGCTTAGTAACATACACATTGAATTTGATATTCTCGCGAGATAACAAAATTGATTTGATTCGATTATGTGTGTGTGTGTGATGCATGTGATATAATCTAGACATGTAATCTAGGCAGCTGTAATCATTAATCACAATAACAAAAACAACATCAATAATCAAGTCTTTTTCCGAAAAAATGTCATATGATTTTTTTTTCTTTTTGAATTTAATCAAGGATGTGTGATCAGATGAAAAAAAATGTGTGACGAAATTGATTTTGTTTGTTTGATGACATCAAGTTCAATGTGTAATGATTGCCTAACCAAATAAACAAAAAAGGTTTATAGTTTAGATTTGTGTTGCTTATTCAAAATGCAAATTCAAAAAAATTGTACAAAATCAAAGTCAAATGTATTTTTTTTTTGTCATGTTCTTTGCCTTTGCCTTTTACATTTTGTTTGTTTTAGTGTACATTATTGGAAATCATCATAATCATTATTTGTGCATTTGCACTGTACACACTTTAATCAATTAAAAAAGCACATTCATTATCATTAATGTGACGACAAACAAACAAAAAAAAAGAAAAAAACCTTTTTTGATTGATCGATAAAAGTATGTATTAAAAAATAAATAGGAAATATATGTGATTTCGGATTTTGTTTCGGGTTCATAATTTCAATAATGATGATTATTCTGTTATTATCGGAATAATTATCATATGATTAACGTCATCATCATTATATGAAATTACAATTTATAATTTGTCTTTTGTTTCATATTTCAAATGTAATAAGTAATTTTGTACAAATTTATTCACTTCTGTTCGGTTCGGTTCTGCTTTCGATTCTGAGCTTCTTTTTTGTTAATAATAACGATGATGATGATGTGTATCAATAAATAAGTAAGTCTGAGAATCATTCAAATTTGATGAGAATGGATCAATTCAACAATGAAAATGAATGAAGAATTCCGATCCAAGAACGAACAGAGGTTCCCTCAATAACGAGAAGTAAACACACAAGTAGTGTCCGGATTATAAAGAATCTTCTAAAAATAGAATCTATTTTTCTTACAATTATTTTCTTATCATTTTATCATTAAAAAATAAACCCAAATAATCGCTGATAATTCAGACAAGAAAATATAGTCATTAATCGTTATATTCTTCCTTTACAATATCCACTGACCAGTAAACTGTATTTCATCATCAAAAAAAAAAAATTTCTCATTACTAATCGATTTTTGTTTCGGGAAAAATAAATAATATTGCAAAAACAAAAATATAAAGTATTTCGGTATTTCTCTCACTTGAAAATATGGTTTTCTGATCAATGAATGATTGAAAATTGCATCAGAAATTTTAGCCAAGTATCATTACAGTCAACACTCTTGATTGGAAAATAAAACTTTCTGCTATCATCACCCCATTCAAAATGAATGCTATAGATAATTTTGGAAAATTGAAAAGCACTGTGTATATGTTTTCCGCTAACTAAGTTTTCATGATTAATTTATTTTTTTCCATTGATATAATCATAGGTTGTTGTTTTGGTGGTTGTTTTGTAAATATGATTGCTATCTTGAATTGCAAAAATAAAAAAAATCATTATCTCCATGATGATGACGATGACGTAGATAATTGCTTGGGTTCAATTTTTTTTTCATTTAATCACACCGAAAATCACCATGACTAGACATAGAGAGATTTCTAAATATACAGGGTTTATTTATTTTTCAACATATATGGCTGATGCAATCGATTCATTTAGGTTTATCATTTTTTTTTATTATTTGTGAACCGAAACAAAAAAAAATTGATTCTGATTTTTTTTTATTTCTGCTAAACGAATTGAATCGAAGGGAAAATAATATTGCAGTGTGATGACATTGATTTCATTTTTGAATTTTTTTTTCTTTTAAAAGATTGCAATACATTCAACTTTGATTTATAAAAGTTGCAAATAGAAATTTTCCCTACTGAATTACTTATAATTCTTTTAATTATTTGTTTTATTTTCAATTCTATTTGCAATTATTATCATCATTTAACCTCGACAAGGACAAATGTCGTTGACATTGGTAAAACAAGAATAATTCCAATTTGAACATGAATTTTCAAACAAAATCTATGACATTTAATGTCATTGATAATGATAGATTATTTTTGTCGTCGTAAGACATTCGACATTCAGAAAAAAAGAGCCATGATCCTGGAATTAAATGATCATGTTTGAAAAGCATGAAATATTGTTTTCGATGAGATATTGATCAAGGAATAATCGATACAACAATAATAACCTAAGGGGATATTTTGTGTAGTTTAACGAGGGAAGGGTTCACAGTTTCATGAAATAAAAATTGTTGTTATTCTCATTTGAGTGTCATTAAAAATCTGATGCAACAATCAATTTCGATTGATATCATCAGATTTGTTAAAATGTTCACGTGAAACCCACAAACATATTACCGATACACCTGATGATTGATATTTTCTCTCTTTTTACCTCGAGATCAGATCATTATCTCTCTCGCGCGTTATATTTCTGATGCAAACATAATTGATAGTTTTCATGTCCATGATTTACACATACACACGGTGTATGCTGTATTAATTTCCATTTACAAAAAAAAATTCATTCAAACAAAAAATACAGGCGAAAAAACAGAAACTATCTCTCAAGAGAAAAAGATTGTGTGTGTGTTTCGGATAGACATCCCACATTTGCCAGTATAGAAGGATAGTATCACTTGCTTACTTTGATGGCAGCGACCGCAACAAGGTTTTTTTTCTTCATCCCAGATCTGTATAAAAACCCATGTTCAAATTCAATTTTAGTATCATTGCAAACACGAAGAATTCAAAGAGATTTCAGAAAAAAATTATTATTTTTTCGAAACCTTTTACCTGTTGTGTGTTGTTGTTGTTTGGTGCAGCTATTTGTTTTTGTTTCCAGAATCGAATATCGCCCGAATTTTTGCTTGAAGAATTATCGAATTTGAATAGAATCGAAATCGATGCATTATCAAATAATATCCAGTAGAAGAAATTTATCAATCATTTCAATGTATTCATCGACCATATCGATATTATTATCATCAATACAGACTATTCAAAGGTTAATGATACGACAACGACAATCAATATTATCGTTATTAATATTAACTATACTAATAAATCTTAGTGATCAAACATAATCTAATTATTTTATCAAAATTATCTTTGGCTCAATTATCAATCGGAATCGAGATCCGAAAAATTATCAAAATCATACCACCATCAAGAAATAATTTACTTCTAACAAATTGTAAGTGTTTAGTATTTTGTTCATTATTTTATTATGATAATTCCAATTTCAAATTATAAGTGTCTCTTCCGTATATAAAATTTGTAAAATGTTTCAATGTTATAGTGATGATTATTTTGATTACCTAATGGCCTATATTTTTGTCGTTTTAAATAAATAAAAAAATAGATAGCCCAAGAGCATCATCATCATTTTTTCTCTTGATCCAAATTTGTTATATAATAAAGTCAGGGTTTGTTATATGAAAAATGTCGGTGAACGTGACTGTACTGAAATGTTTATCGAACGATTGATCGATATTATTTTGATGTCAATAACATGGCAAAATGAATGTTTTTCGTTTCATTTCTTTGTTTCGTTTTGTCATCATCAATATTATCATCACGTTCATTTTGCGACAAATTCATTATAATTTATCCCCCAAATTAATGAAATTCTACATTGTAATTAAGGCTTGAAAAATAATCATCACTTATGAGTAATGAGATATACTGTTTTTCGAATTAAATAGGTGTTGAATTTTTTTCCATTCAACGACTTAGATGTTGTTTGTTGGATCATTGATTGATTGATTGACATCATCATCATTAAAACAATGCAAAACAAGAGCCTCGACAACAGTAGATGTGTTTTTCTGTGTTCAAATCATATCATTTAGTGAACAAGTAGAAAAAATGGCGTGATTTTATTTGCTTGCTTGTTTATTTGGCCTGCTACCACCAAATTTTTCATTTGATTTGGCTATTTATTTTGGTTATTTGTCAAAAATAAAAGCGAAAAAATGCACGCGTTGTTTTCAGTTTTCAGTCTCTTTTCAATATGTGTTTCTCTTGCTGTGTTTGATGATCGAGGCAAAATTAAAAATAAAAAATCCAAACCAAATCCAAGTCCAAATTGAATCTTTTTTTCTGTTGATCACCAATAATCATGATGATAATCAACGATTATTGTTGATCATCATGATGATTATTTTTGATTTTGAAATTTTTGATATCGAGAAAAAAATGCCCTTGCCAAAAACAAAAAACGACAACAACAGCAAAAACATATCGATGATTATATTATTCAATATAGGCAAACATAACATGTCATTGATTTTTTTCTATGGAAAATGCCATAAACAGAGATAAAGCAAGAGATAAACATGACATGTTTTATTCAAGTTTTTTTCATTTTCGTTTATTTAATTTCAAAAAAAAATAGTCACAACAAAAATTCATAATAGGTTAGGTTAGGTTAGATGATTGACCTGGGTCTGGGTTAGGTTAGGTTAGGTTTCACACACAAAGAGAAAATGAATGATAAATCAAAACTTGAAGGATATTAGATTTTTCTTTCTTTTCTTGTTGTTGGTTTAAAATGGCGAAAATAAATAAATAAATTTTTTTGGTTTTTCATTTGGTTAAGAAAAATGTCAATTTCTAAAATGGCAGTTTGACACACATAAAATACGATTTCTGTTTTTGTTTTGTTGTTTTTTCATGCGAAAAAATTATTTGTTTTCCGTTGTGGGGGTATATATTTTATTCCATCAATTGAAATCTTGGATCACGTTTAACATTGTAATGTTCAGGCATATGCATTGCTGATGTTGTTGATGATTTACTCAATTCTTTTGCAAACGATGTATAGATATGTGACTAATGGTGAAAAGAAGGAAAATAGAAACGAAATTCAAATAAATGAAAAAATATTGATGAAAAAATCAAAAAAACCTTTTCCAAATTATTGTTCATTGCTTCTAATTCATGTTGAAGATTTAGACAACGTTTTTGTGCCTGTCCAAGTTGTTCATTACAATCTTGATATTGTCGTTGTGATGATTGCAATTCAAGCGATATATCCTATTTAATCATCAAATGGTTAATTTGCAATTTACAATTGATAGTTCAATCTTACCGAAACTTGTTTCGCTTGTTTCCTCAATTGTTTTTGCAAATCATTACATTGACGATCTTGATCTTCGATTGTCATCATCAAATCGGCTATTTCCCGTTCAGTTTTACCTTTCAATGTTGCTTGTTCTTGTTTAATTTTATTTGATGATTCATTCAAATCTAAACGTATTGATTCAACTTCTTTTAATAATTCGTTGCTAATTTTTTTTGAAAAAAAGTAAAAATTTCAGAATTTTTCCAGGAAATATTTTTTTCTGGGTTTTTCGGGTTGAAAGCAGCTTTTAAGCGAAAAACTTTTTCATTGATCTAACGATCAAATGGAAATTTTCCATAATAAAAAAATCCAATTTGAAAATTTTTTGCTTTGTTTAGAGATTAAACAACTTTTAATCAGTCCCCTCTCAATTCCAACGAAAATCAGAATTGAGGAAAAAAATTATTCAAACATGGAAATTGATTTGAAAATGGAAATTCTATTGAGCATCCATTTTGTCATTACACTACTGTTACAGTTGTTGTTGCTAACTAACTAAAAAAAATTTCATTAAATTTCAATTTTTTGAAAGAAAAACTAACTAATAAAGTGTTCTATATAGATTTTTTGGTCGTCATTGACGACAACGACAACAACAATTGACTTCGATAATGTTAAAGTTATGATGCAAGATAGTTAATATGAAATGAGCATCACTCACATCAATTTTGTTTTATTTTTGGAATCACATTTCCTACTAAAACAAATGCGAAGAGTTTTTCTTCAAGAGCAAAAGTGAAAATAAAGAAAATTCTTGGCTAGTAACGAAACAGAAAAAGACACCATAAAGACCGAAAATGTATTTTTTTTTTGAGAAAAAACTTGTGACAGGTTTAATTCGAGGAACCAAAGATTCATTGAATATGGAAAAATTTGCATTTGGTTTGTCTGTTTATGTGACAAGAATTTGCATTTGAGAATATTTTTCAGAATTTCATGTTGTTGTTGTTGTTGTTTGAAAGCAAAAGCTGTTTATTGAGCAAAAAAATCATAAGAAGAAAATTCATTAGACAAGCATCATTGCTTTGCAAAGCTGTACAGGATAAAGATCACTTTGAACTTTTCTTAATGAATTTCGATACCATCTTTCCATCCAAAATGAATCACGTGGTTTAGCAACACCATTATCATCATTTGACATTTCATATGATGATTGTCTTTGATAATAAGCTGATTCCGGTCGTCTTGGAATCGATCGTCGACTAGTTGATCGTCGTAAACGTCGGCTATCTTCCAATTCAGAATTCAAACGTTCCAATTGACGTGATGTATACGATTCGTATGGTGATGGTGATGATGAACGTAATGCTGCTGAATGTGCACGTCGTTCACTACCTTCAAGATAACTATTAACACGTTCGGTTGACATTGTTCTCGTTATTTCATTCGAAAGTGAATCATTTGCAGCTTGTGTTCGTAGATTTCTTGCCATTGATTCTCCCATTAATTGACTATCAGCAAATGATGATAAACCTAAATCTGGTCGATCACGACGAAACGATGTTCGTGCTAATGCTTCATTATATTTACGTTCAATTTCATCAACAGCATCCGAATATAATGAATTTCCATAACGATAATTATCCGTATAGATACTTGTATAGGGTCGTTTCCATACTTTTGGTGCAAATTTTGGTGCCATTTAAATTAAACACAGAGACACAGTGACACACAGACAATGTTGTTTGATAATGAATATTTTGTTTTTAACAAACTTCTTTCACTGACGATGTCTTTGACGATTCTGAAAGATGATTTTTTTCAAATCGAAAGTCGAAAAAAATTCACACTTGGTTTTCACCTACACACAGTGAAACACAGAAAAAGAAAAATTCTCATAAATTTTCTTTACAACACTACTTGTTTGAGAATTCTACCCACTAGATTATTATCACATAACACTAGTATAGATATTCAGTTAAATTGAATTGAAAAAAAAAACGTTAAAGTCAAGTGATCACCATTTTTGAATGACGTCTAAACAACATCCGAAACAAAACATTCACTGTGAGAAATGAGAATATTTCATTCACTACATTTTCACTTTTACCGAATCAAAATCAAAACAAAATCACCTTGAGAATATTATAAGAATATATTATTCTGTCAATGATGTTTTAGTTTAGTTTTTTTTTGCTTAATTCTTGGCTTCTGGTTTGAATATCGGGCGTTGTTCATCATCTTCATCATCAAAATTCGTAGAAATCATTCAAAATTTATAAAGAATCACTACTGATGATGATGACGTCAAACCACCACCACCACTGTATATTCAATAATGCCTTGAATCAAAAATTGTAGCTGACATCATTTTTTGCTTTTTTCTTCCTAATCAAATCATCAATGGATTATCCTCATTAAAACAAAGGGTTTTTTCTGCATAACAAAAATCAATTATTTCATCCGGATTCTTTTGTCATCATCATTCATTATGGAATTTGTACTTTTTTGTTTGGCAAACAATTCAATCAAAAATTCATAAAGCTTAGTTCAGCAAAAAAATGAAGATGATTATGATGATTTATCATTCTTTTTCAATGTTTAGATTCATATCAAAACACCAACAACAAAAAAAACAATGACTCAATTAACTCTTTTATGTTGTATCATCAACATTAATCAGTAAACCACTAAAACTAAAACAAAAACTGACAGAATCGATATGATGATGATGATGATAAACATAACATCTGAATATTTTCGATTCCAAATTCGGAAATGTTGTTGTCAAAACAAAACTCTATTGTTGTTCATCCTATAGTGAAGATATGATGATTTGTCATTGTGTTTTCATTGTGATTTTGACAAGCGCCAAAATCAAAATCAAAATAGAAAATCTTGAAGAATTTTAGACAATCACATCATTTGTTACTCTGTGTGTAATTGGGTGAAAATTCTGTATCTGTATATAAAGGAAAAAATCTAAATAAAAATCAAATCAAGTCTTTTTGATTATTTTTTCCGATGATGATAAGACTTTTTTCCATTTAAAGATTCATAACACACAAATCAAAGGGCATCATATCATTGAGCATTCTTTCTGACTTTTCCATTCACCCAAAATGTTTTTTTTGGGAAAAAACGATTCAGAAAAAAAAACATTTGTTTTGAAAAAATAACACTTATCCGGAAATTGACATCATAGGATCATCGCTTTTTTCAGTATTTTCCTAATTTTTTGTTTTTGTTTTCATTTCAAAATTTACACAGAGATCTAAGATCAAATATTTACAAAATTGGCACTTGTTTTTATCCAAAAATGACATTACTTGACTTGAATGTTGAACGGCTAATCTGGCTGTTGTTCAAAATTTGTTTCTCGAATGATAATGTTATCATAATCGATCGATCATGATCGATGATTACAATCCTTGATCATCATCATCATCATCGATCGATCATAGTCCTATCATAATCATATTGATGATAAATAAATGTTTTTTTCGGTGTAATTCGAGGTCTTAAAGTGAAATTTTTCTATGCTTGTTTCGAGTATATAAAGGTTCAATTTTTCTGAACAAAATTCAACCATTTGAAATAAATCAATCAAACAACTAAATACAAATTACTTATGTGAATCAAATTTTGTTTTGTTTTCTTCATATTACAGAACTTACTTGGACATTAATTTTTCAACGAATAAATTTTCTTTTTTGCTAAACCGCTCAACGTTAAAAACTATATAAAAATGTTTGAATTAATACAAACTTTAATGAATACGGTGACTACCGCTGGTGTAGTATCGCCACCATCATCACTATCAAAATCCAATACAATATGGCCAATGGGTCAATCCAAACCGATAATCAACGAATCGACAAAACGACAATCATGTGATAATCTACCTGAATATACATTAGCTGAAGTTAGTGAACATTGGCAAACCAATGATTGTTGGGTTGTTGTCGAAGATCTTGTTTATGATATAACCGAATTTGTTGATGAACATCCTGGTGGACAATATATTGTTATGGAACATGCTGGTCGTGATGCTACATTAGTTTTCCGTGGTAGCCGCCATAGTCAAGATGCATATAATATGCTCGATAAATATCTTATCGGTATTCTAGTCGAGGTAAATTATTATTAATCTTTTTTTAAATTTCGAAATTTTTTATTAATTTTTCTTTTAATTTTCAGAATGAACGTATATGCTGGAGCCGTAGTCGTTCAAATACAAATGGCAGTAGTAGCAGCAGTAGTCTTTATGGAAGTTCACCACAACCATCAAAAAGTTTATAGCCCATTTAATCATCATCATCCTCATCATCATCATTATTATTATTATTTAGGTTCGAATCAAAAAGCTTCACCTATATAAACATCATCATCATTATGTTAAATATATTGGCTTCATTATAAAAATTTTTTCTTTTTTTTTTGTATTTAAAAAATTTCATTTTTCGAAAAAAATACAAAATCCATTGACAAACATGTATCATCACACAATCGAGTTAATATGAATAAATTTTCAAATAAGATTCTCGAATAAAACATGCATTTTCGCATAAATAATCCGTTGATTTTTCACTTTTTCGGAAAAAAAGGAATCGAGCGCGTCTTGGGATATTTTCATTATTATTATTATCTCTGCATAACACAAACATGAAGTGTTGAATTTTCAAATTCAACAAACAAACAAACAATATCCATAAATATTCTCTGTTGTTATTCTCATGACAATTTCAATTGGTTGTTTAAAGATTTTCTTTATTTCCGATCAAAATGAAAAAACAAACGAAAATTACTGTTGTTGTTGTTATTGTATTGATTGTTGTTGATTATTATGAACATTTCGAACAATAAAACCACCACCTAATGAATTATAAAATTTTTGATGATCATGACCTAAATCTGGTGGTGAACGTATTGGTCCAGTATCTAGATTTTGTGGTTGTTGTTGTTGTTGTCGTTTCATACTCATAGTTAGATCATCGATTGATTTTAATGATTCGGTTGATGTTGTTGTTGTTGTTGAGTTTGTTATTGCTGGTGTCGAACCACCGCCATATTGTTCATTTAAACCACGTAAACCACCACTATAACGTATCGATGTTCGTACAATATTTGGATTAAACATTTGTAACTTTTTACTATAACCAAATGAATTCATTTGGCCATTCGTTGCCATTTTAGCTGAATTAATTCGTAATAATCTATTTCGACGTTGTTGTTGTTGTTGATCAGGTGCAAATAGATCTTTTTTTGGAACATATAATACTGAGTGAGTTGGTCAAAAATCAAATTCAAAAGGTTAGTTTGATTGATTTGTGATTCGATTTTTTTCAAAAAAAAACTTACGATAAACTGAAAAAAACATAAATATCGACAACATTACTACAAAACTGATCCAAATAACAAAGGTAAATGATGTTTGATTTTGTTTATTTTCCCAAACATAATCTGGATATTGTGTTGATATTTCATTATAATCTCCATCATCTCTTTTACATTTTTTAACGCCATTAATAATTTGACATTTTTGTTGTTGTTGAGAATATGATGCATTACTTTGACCAATGATTATTATCATAATCATAATGATGATATTTAATTTGTTTTGTATAGCATCCATGATTGATTGATTTTTTTCTGTTGAATTCAAATATCGAATTTAACGACCAAATTTATTGGGTTTTAAACCAGAAAACAAAAATTTGTAACAAACTGATTTAACTAATTTTTATTTAATTATATTCAACAATCACATGTTTGTTGCACAGAAAATTCGACAAAATTTTTTTTTGTTTTGATTTTGCACCTGATAAATTCATTGCTGGAAATTCGTTCCAACTACCATACATCTTTATTAATGAAAAGAATATTTTCGACTATATCTTAACAAAGACGAAATTACTTTTTTTCTGGAGCAAAACCTAAATTAAAACAACACATTTTCAAATGTACATATAGGAGTGCGTGAGATAAGACAAACGTTCGTGTTTTGCAATTTAATTAGGTTTTTCTTTTTCTCTAATTCTCCGATTCAGGATTCGGTTTTCTATTTTTAATTTTTTGGTTCTTGATTCGACTTGATTTGAAACCAAAAAAAAAAAATTCTAAAATGTTTCCAGTTTTTTCCTTTTGTTTTTGGTTTAAAAAAATTCAATTCAATTGCGAAATTTCCCGGGATTTTTGTCAAGTTATGTTCCGTATAAAATCAGCGAATATAATAGTATTATCGGGCACAATAATAATAACCATGTTTTGATAAAAATTATTTTATCACTTTTATTTGAATGTTGTTTGGTTGTTGACGTCGATAGAAATTCTTGATGAAACATATTTGATGAATTTATTTTATCTTTGTTACGGAAATCTTTCGCAAATTCAAGAATTTTTTCATTATTCATATTATCGAAATGTTCACAAAATCCAGTCGATATTGGTTGTGCTGGTATACCACGTCTAAAATAAAAAAAATCACTAATTTTCGTTCTAACCTAACCTTGAGATTTAAAAGAACCTTACCCTATCATACGACAACGTTGATGATCTAAACGATGTTCAACAATATCATCATCAAAATTTGGATTGTCATCATCATCACCAATATGACTCCAAAGTCTTTCGGCCATAGCTGATGCTCTAGGCCTGTATTATGTAATCAATCAAAATAAAGAAAATCAAAAATTGGATTTTAGGTTAGGTCAAGCCTGATTTGAAACCTACCAAACTCTAGACATAAAATTGGTTTGATCAATATATTCACTCCATATTAATGCTTCCCCACCAATAACAAATTGTTGTTTTTGTTCTCGATTGAATCCATTGAAATCATGTGGATCACAATTATAGATTTGTTTCCAATCTTTTTGTTGGCCATATTGAATAAGATTTAAAAAATAACATGCAGACAATATAACTGTGTAATTTGAATGTAATAATTTTTCAACATGAAATTTCCAATCATGGTGATCATTATCCAATAGACGATAATCTTTCCAAACTTGTATAATAGTTGCCGATGGAATTGGTATATCTTTATCAAATGGATCCTGCCATATGATTGGTTTGGAATGTAATTTTTCCACAGTTATGTTGATCATACGTTCTAAATGATATTGTTCTAATTTTTCAAATGAATGCATACGATTTGCTCCCATAAATTGACGAATATCTTGATCATTTGACCAACATTCATAGGAAATATCGTCCATTCCTGATCAAATTGAATTGAATTTATTTAAACAAAAATCAATAACAAATCAATAACAAACCTAAATGTATACGATTCGATGGAAATATTTGTCGAAATTCAGTGAGAATTTTTTCCAAAATTTCATATGTTAATTCTTGGCTTGGATTGATTATATTTGAATGTAATAATGGTTGCTTATTACTGGTTGTTAATGTTTCCATTGAAGCAGCTGCTACATTATTATTACATCTGGACATTATTCCTTTTTTTTGAAAAAATAGAAACTTGTCATTAAATGTCATCAAACTCATTAATTAGACATCAAAATTAACCATTAAAAAGTTTATGATGAATTTATCGGATTATTTCATCATTAAACTTTTTAATTAACCTTTGTTTCAACAATGTTTAATGTTTTGTTAAACATTTTTGCATTTCAAGATTCATTTACCTGGAAAAATTTTACCCAATGATTGACAATGTGCTGGTGTATTAAATTCAACAATCACTTGTATACCACGTATTTTTGCCTGTCCAATAATTTTTTCAATATCCATTTTACTATATACATGACGTTCACTATATGATGCTATCCGGGAAATATTTGCAAACACTTGACTCTCAAATGGAAATGATTGATCATCATTAATATGCCAATGCAGTACGTTTAATTTATTCTGGGCCATAGCATCCTTGATTTGATTGAAAAAGATTATATTATTTTCAAATCACAAGATTGTAATTACCAAATTTTCAATGATTAACCATAATGGTAGATAATGCCGTGCCGTATCAATCATTATTGAACGATAACGAAATCTTGGTCGATCCCAAACTTGAATCACATCGATTATCATCCTTGAACAATTCGGATGATTAGAATCCACATAGATCAGTTGACTAAATGTTTCCATTGCTCTGACCATTCCCCATACGGTTTTCGATATAATTTGACCGATTCCATCCATTGGGTTTATTTGAATCTGATAACTTTCATTTTCAGAATTTTCATTATCAACAAATTCGGGAAATAGTTGGCAATCAATTTGATCAATATGGATTTCAATCCTGGATAAAAATTTCATTTCTGTTGTTTGATTACAGTTTTGATTTGTATTGATTTCGATCATTTTATTGATTAAATAACGATATTTATTGAAATTATATTGAATAATATCACATTGTTTTTTATGATTTTGATTATTAATCAATTGAAAATTGATTGGTAATCCAACTAGATATGGTGAATGATTTTTATCTATTAAATAACGTTTTGGTTCTGGCCATAATGATGGTCCGCCGGATATGATTCCGGTTGGTTCCTTTTGGTAAATGGATGAGGAAATGGAATTTGATAAAAAAAATCATTAAAAACACAAAGCAAAACTTTTTGTTTTTTAGAAAATACCAAAAATGGATATTTAGGATTAACTGAAACTAGTCGACATTCTGCTGTTGTTGATAATAACCATAACCATAATAATAATAATAATGATGTTGATGATACCATCATCATGACGATCATTCCAGAATTCCAATGACCATTGCCATTGTTGTTTCGGTGGTAGTTCAATTTCATTGTTGTTGTTTGAGCAATAAATTTTCATTCAAATTGAATGAATTTTATTAGTTTTTGCCAAAACAAAACATTCCTTGGTTGACATTTATACAAGATTAGAGCGATGAATGAATGAATGAAGCACAAACAAAAAAGAAGTAAACATATTATGATCACATATACAACCGGAAAAACAATGAATGAATTGAATATTGTCCTGAATAGTAATTCGGTTTGTGTTTGGTGTGTGTTTTTGAGGGGGTTGCTTTCTGAATGATAACCATAAAAAACAATAAGGTCCAGTTGTTGTCGTGCTTGATTAGTTTACTCTGTCTATTTTCGGATTTTAGAGGCCGAAAGTTTTTTTCCAAAATTCAAATTTAAACTTTTTTTGTGAATTTTGTTGGTTTTGTTGATCGCGAATGCAGAAGCAAAGAAGCGAGAAAACAATTTTGATACAAAACTAACCAACCGACTAAAAAAAATATTAAACAAAAGAACAAAAAGTTGAAGCAATAGGAATTTCTCGCCAAAATGAATGGGGAATTTCCACAAATCATCGATAATCCGGTCAATCACTGAACACAATCAAAAAATGAATGAATGAAATAATTTGCTGCTGATGTTGGAATTTTTGGAATGTTTTTTTTTTGAAATGAAAATGCACTGAATCTAACAAACAAACAAACATGATGATGATGGGCGCCTTGTTAGCAACACACACAACAACAATGCTTAATTGAATTAAAAGAATGGATGCATTGCACTGTATCCCATAACCTGTTGTTTGATTATTCTCATCATCATCATTATCATGGTCATTCAATTCATGCATCGTTAACTATTAACACAAATAGAAAAACATCGATTGATGAAATCCTATTCTAGTGGTGTAACATGATGTAATAATGCTCAATTTCAAGGTTTAATCATGATCGATTCTTCTATGTGTGTTTATGTTTGAGTGTTTAGTTGATTTTCAATGATGGTTTGCTTCTTAAACTTCTTAAGATTTTCATTGTAATTTCATTCAATTGTTATATGGATTACTATTATTTGCAAAAACACTAATGTTTTTTTCATCCATTTCACTACTAATCATCATGATAATGATAATGATGATGACAATTTTTGTTTTGTTTTTGATTTCATTGAAAAGATTTCAAATCTTTTTTTTTCGCAAACCATATCATTATCATCTCCTGCGGGCAAAATAATCTCACCAAAACTTTTTTTTGTTGTTGGTCAATTTCTCAAGAAACTATAATTTAGCAGAAAACTTTTTTTTCCAAACAAATCAAATCAATCAATGCAAATCGATTTATTTGTTTTTGGCTAATATCGATCAACATTAATCGATCGGATATAATAATTATGTTGAAAGCTTTTGTTTTTGTTGGAATTGGAATGATGAAAATCTTTTCATTGTAAAATTTTTTGTTTTTCTCCTCCTCTCCCCCTTTGATAACATTTTTATTATCTACATTTTGGCAGCGTTTTCGTGTATGCTAATGTACGATGATGATGATTTGAACGACAGAAAAAACATTGTATAAAAAAAGAAAATGGAATTAATTCACATACAGAGACAAACACAAACAGTAAATTATTATTTTTTCTTGCCAAAATTCTCAGTTCTGAATTTTTTTGTTGTTGTTGTTTGTAAACATTATTATTCACAAAATGAACATAGTCATAATATAAATGGATTATTTATTTTTTTACTTTTAAAATAACATCATTTTCTAACATTATAATAAAGATTTTCAATGAAAAATGTTACCATAATTCAAATGATAATGATAATGAGTATATGCTCCTGAGAATATTTTCTAAACTAAACTTTAACTAATAAACGACATCCATTCATCGACAACAACAATAATATAGAGATTAGAAAATGTTTGTTGTTGTTGTATTAGTATAACAAATATTTGAAACTAACTGATAATCAAATTAAATTCCTACTACCTGATCTACCATAATCAATGTTTGTTACGATTCACTTTCGATATTCCCGCATAGACACATCTAATTGTATTGAATGAAATATGTTAAAAGAAATACCAATGAAAACAAGAAAAAAAAAGAATTTTTCTTCCTAACGAAAATTGATTGCAATAATAAAAAAATGATGCTCATTTTGTTTTGTTTTTTGTTGTTGTTGTTCCTTCATGAAATAGTCTACTGAATCAGTAAATTATTCTAGGTATAATTTTTTTTATTGCAAATTAACTTTGCTTTGCTTTGTCTTCGACAATCGAAAATTATTCTGATTTTCTTCTTGCCACATTAAAAATGCATTTGAAACTTTTTCTTTTCGGTACAAAAATGAAATATGAATATATTCTTATCAAAGAGCGATGACGACAAAAACTTTATCCATTATTGTCATCATTATTCGAATTGGATCGATTTCCCATATGAAATCTTTTTGGCATTTTTCGATCCCAAAAATAAAATTTGGGTAATTTTTGGTACTGTCGATGATGGTGATGATAAGAATGGACAATTTTCATCTTCATTCACTTTTCATCATTAAATCGTTTCCCGCTATATAATTGCGTCCATTGTGATTATTCTCATTTGTCATTATCAGACAATTTTTCATTCATAACAGAGAGAGAGAAAAAAGATAAAAATTAATTTGGTTCAAACAAACAACAAAAAACAAAATCATATTTTCAGTCAAATTTATTCGATTGGAAAATTACAACACACAACATTCAATTCACTTTTGAAAAAGAAGCATAGTTAGTAAATTATCGAGTGCAAGTCATTTGCACATGGTGAATAATTTAATCACCCTTGCTCTTCATTCAAACGAAAAAACCAAAAACAAAACAAAAACGATGCCAAATTCGGCCCATAGACATTCATTATGATTATGACTTTATTATTATTATGATGATGGCCACCAAACAAAATTGACAAAGAGACAATATTTATGCAGCTGACAGCTTTGCGAAATTTTTCTTTCATAAATCCCAGAAAACAAAATTCGTTTGTTGTTGTTGTTTTTTCGTCCACAAACAAAAAAAAAAAGAAAATCTTTTGCGCAAACAAAATCGAAAAAGAAGAAATGTCATCTCAGAAAAAAGAAAAAAAACAAACTTAAAAATCTTAATAATAAAGATTTGCATTTACAATTCTGCAAAGAAGTTTATCTTTTTATTCACAATTTTCAGTCTAATTTAAATGAAATTCTATTCAATTTAATTTTCAGCTTTAGTTTGTTTGTTTGTTGTTGTTGTTGTTCATTTCACTGCATCATTGCATCATCATTTACTTTTTTACTTTCATTATTCGCAATCTCAGATTTCAGTGCAAACAACAAAAAAACTTCTTAATTCTCTCCTTTTTTTACCTATTTTAACTTTACTTTTTTCAATTAATTTTAAAGGAAAAAAAACAAAATAAAGTGAACTGAAATTTGAATTCAAGTCAAGGTCATTCGATGTCTTCTTCTTGTCGTTGTTCTGAATTAAAATTCCTGTCGATTGATTTTTTTACCATAAATCTTTTTTTTTTTTTTTTTTTTGATTTTTTTGGCTGTTTGAATTTGAAAATATAAATTGCATCATCAGTCATCCGTTATCATTGATTGAAAGGTAAAAATCCGAGTCTCGTTTTTCTTCTTTTTTGGTTTTCAATGTCAATGGAAATTCGAGTAAGTTGAAACACACACACAGAAAAAAGTCGGTCTCCAACTGCCCAAATTTTTTCATTTCAATGAAACAATATCTTTATGATGTTCATTTTTTTATGATGATCGAATCGAATTGTTCAACCAGATTCGTCTCGTGGGATTGATGAATCTCGAAATGAAAAACCTAAAGACAAAAAAAAATCATAAAATAAAAATTAAATGATGCTCGTTGTCTCATTTCTATTCATTCAATTCGTTTGTTTTGATGACAAATAACGGAAAAAACTGAAAAAATCCATTTAATAGAAAAGAGAAGAAACTGCACGAAATGTTGTCCCTACTCGATGTTCGAATGAATGAAACAGCAGATGTCATTCTGTTTGTTATTAATTTCTTTCTTTTCTTTCACAAAACTCATCGGACCAAATAATTTTTTTTAAATCAGAAGAAAAAAGATTCTTACAAATAACAAATGATGATTCGTGTGTATGTTTAGTTGATAAATTCGTTTTTTTTTTCGCTGAACAATGGGAGTCAATGAATCTTTTGAAATTTCATTTTGGGATAAATTATTATTCCTCCTCTATCCTAATATCCCTATCCTTTTCGATCATTTTGAGCTAATAAAAATTCATAAACATTGTTTGTTTGTGTGTGTGTTTTTGTGCGAGATAGTGTGAGAAACCGAGATTGTTGATTATAACATTTGCAAATTCATTGCACGACTATGGAAATTTTCTTGGAATCTTCAATTCAACGATAACCGATTCGATTGTAAAAAATCTGGTTTATATTGGACAGATATTTTATCATGCAATTTCATTTCAATAATAAAAAGAATGATAAAATCCTATATATAAATTTCCAATCACCAAAATTGATTATAAGCAACGAAAAAAAATTCTGCTACTATCATATATAAAAATATCCAGAGAAAATTCTGGACTGTTTGGTTATAGAGTTTTTCGGTTTGTTTGTTACATCATCTGAATTGATGTTTATATTTATCCAGATCTTTGTTGATTCGGCAAATAAATAAAAGGAATCATTTTGTTTGAAGAAATCTATTTATTTATTTCATTTGGTTCTCTTTATATATATTATATACAGTCAATAAGTATGTAAACATTTTGTCGAATGATTGGAATGATGATTTTGAATTGAACATAATGATGATTTCTTTGTTGTTGAAGATATTTGTGCCGGGAATTTGGACTTGATTGTTGATTGATAAGGATTATATTGTTGTTGTTGTTGATTGAATAATGTTGATTTTCGATTTCGATCAACAAGATCATTATCATCGATTTCAATCATATCACTATAATCTTCTTCTAAATTACTAACATTATCATTATCATCAGTTATAGTAATCGAATAATCATGATTATCATGTTTACAATCATCATCATCATAATTTGTTATTGGATTTGAATTTGGATTTTGATTGACATTCATCATCATTGTTGATTCTAATGATGATCGCTGTTGATGATGATTTGACTGTGAAAATTGTGGATAATAATTATGATGATGGCTCATCATCATTCTGTTGGTGGAAGGATTAGTAGTTTTCGGCATGGTATTCATACAGGCACTATTTGCAATGATTATCGGATTATTCACCAATCTGGATCGATTTGATCGATTCGATGATGATATTGATGATGAACATTGATTATCATTATTATCCTGATGATAATGATGATTATGTTGATGACGTTGATTGTTGTGCGGATTTTTTCGATTATCAATATTGATGACCGGTTCCGGTACATAACATGAATATTGTTGTTGATTTATTCGAACCATCGGTATTGTTGTCGTCGTGGTAGCCGTCGATGATGAAGATCGATCACTAATTCGATTATTTTTCCTATTTGGTTGTTTCAATGTGGAATTTGAATCTTTTTTGATTTTCGATTTCGATTTTGATTTCGATTGATCACCACCAGAACAACAACAACATTGATTACAACATAATGATGATGATTGAAATAATGAACAAAAACAACGATAAAACCATCTTACAAATATAATTATTAATAAAACGGCAAACATTTGAGCAACTGGAAGTATAACAACTAAAATTACTGTTAATGTACCACTATCTTCATCGGAATCAACTGGTTTAGCACCAATTGGTTTACCACGATTTCCTTTTGATGATATTGCAACACCTCTACCACCAACCGCCGATATTTGTGGAATTTGTAAAGATAATATTATTATTATAATTAAAATAATTTGAATCAATATTCTTTTTACAAATGATAATGATAATGATGGCAAATGATGAAACAACAACATCATTATTTTCCATCGATGATTAATAGTGGTCGAAATAAGAAATAATTGCTGTCGATCTAGTACAAATCGATTAATCATGATTGATTCGATTGATCGACAACTCGATTATGATGATGATCACACATTTTCTATGATGATGATAATGATGAACCCGGACAGTGAATGTGGAAATATAAAAACGGAAACCTAGCTGGTTAATGTATTTTCCATTAACATAGACATTCTCACAGTAATGATGGTTGTTGCTCGTTTGATGATGTTGTCAAAACAATTTTTCTTTCTTCCTTCTTTAGTCGTTTTTCAAATGGAGTATGTTTGGTTGGTTGGTTGACAATGAACAATTCAAATCATCTCATCATGATGATGATGTTGTGGGAAAAGAATGATATTAGAAAATTTTTGTTGTCATCATCAATGTTGACAAAATACATGACATTTTTTGTCGTTGAAACATAATTAAAGATTAATTTCTTTTTGTGGATGAATAATTTATTAACCAACAAAACGAACGAACGAAAAAATATAAAGTTCAAACACTGAAACATTAACAAGGGATTTTGAACATCTTTTTAATCATTTTCATTCGAAAGCCGAATTTGAACTGAATCTAGTTTCGAATTGAATGTTTTTTTTGTTGGGACACTGGTTAATGCCACTGATGAAGACGAACCGACACACAGTAATGCAGTATTTTTTTCCGATATAATTCCCGAAAAATTTTCGGCAAAAAAATGTTTGCATCCGAAAAAAATGATATTTTTTTGAGAATTTCAGACTTTTCCTGAATTAAAGAACTGTGCTAGCAGCATCCTTCCATATCCATTAGATCGAATGATGCGCACAAAAAAAAGAATTCGAATTTGAAAACTTTTCTGGCAACCACTTTTCGAATTAGTGAAAAAGAAATTTCCCCAGAAATCAGTATTATTTACACACGTGATTTGTTTGTTTGGCAATTTGAAAAAAAAACAAAAAAAATTTTTTAATAGCAAAAATATCATGTTGGTCGATGATGTTTTGAAATGTAGTTTTTCATCGTGGTATTCCATTTTGGGTCATCTATCCATCGAAAGGTAATCGATGCTCGTTTTCTGTCCATTTTGGAAATTAATTTGTTGAATTAAATCGTTGAACATTCGTTTAGTGAAATTATTGAAATTGATGATAAATTTCGTGAATATCTATTATCGGATGGAATAATTCTTCCAGAAAGGTAAATGAATTCTCCTTTGGTAAATCCATTTTAAAAATCTTATCAATTTAGTTGCAATTCTGAGTCTTGCCCGGTGATGACAAATGGCAATGGACATGATCAAAATGATGATGATGATGATAATCGAATTGACTGGAGCCAAGATGAAAACGTCCATAATGGCAATGATGATTCGAATGATATCGATGTGATTGAATTTCCACGAATCGAAAAACAAATCCGTCGATCATTACGACGATTTGGTAATATATTTCCAAAATTAAATTGGAGTTCATGTGAAGATGCTCATTGGATTCAAGCTTGCGGTTCAAAATGTTCCAGTCTAACTGATATTTTTCTTTTACTGAAAAGTTCGGATAAAATTGTTCATGATTTAATTGATCCGTATGTTTTAATCGTTAATTAATTTGGACAAAAATCTTAATAATTTCTCAATTTACAGATTTGAACATTGTACAGATTTTGATCAAGAAAATGCACCAAAATTTCAATATCAATTAATATTACGTCGTTGGTTGAATATAAATCCATCAATGGAATTTCGTTGTTTTATTCGTAATCAAAAATTAATAGCAATAAGTCAACGTGATGTTCGTACATTTTATGATTATATTCGAATGGATAAATCGGAAATTATCGAGGATATTAGCAATTTTTTCGAAGAACATATTGAAGGAAAATTTCCATTAGATAATTGTAATGTGCATCTTTTCAATCAAAAATTCTCTGTTTTCACCTTATCATTTTTCAATTTACAGTTGTCATTGATATTTTACGGCCAAAAATTCATACAATCACGTTGATTGATGTAAATGTTTTTGGTAAATTAACTGATTCATTACTTTTCGACTGGAATGAACTTTTGTCGGATGTTCAGCATCATGATTCTGTCCTGCCGGTAATGCGTTTTTAATTTTGAATTTGAATTAATTAATGGAAATTTTATTCAAAATTTTTTCTTCAAAAAAAGGAATTTCGTTATATCGAAAATCGTTTCGGTGTACAACGTGGACGTTTTGAATTGAATTCATTACCCTTGGATGTATTCAATGGAAATTTAACGACAACTAATTTATTCGATGAAACTATGAATTTATCAACAACAAATGTCAACAACAACCATAATGATGACAATAACAATGATGATCAATAACATTGTTGACATTGATTATTATTCCATTCCATTTTTGATATTTTTCCAATAACAATGGCTAATTTTTTTTGTTTTGGTTCGTGTCTAACAATCATTATGATGGTTTTAAGGTGTGAAAACCCTCCATCCTCCCCACCCTTCCCACCACCACCTTCCTTTTGCACCTGAAAAATTTTTCTCTCACCAAAAAAATATGCATGTAATAATCGAAATGAAAAAAATTTTATGATTTGCGTTTCTTTGTGTAAAAAGATTGTCAATTACCTTTGTGATGATAATAAAAATAAAAAAGTAATTATCCTCAATCAAACAACGACGACAATAATTTTCTTATGACTTTCTCTTTTTCACTGTGTAAAATACGATCATCTGATGACCAATTTGATGCAAAACATCATCCTCATCCTCATTATAATCAGTCATTATGTGAATTGTTTTGTTGGCGGAACATGGATTTAGATGTACAAAAAACAAAACAACAAAATTGCCAAACATCATTTATTACAAACAAATGACTAACTAGCCAGGACAACCAATTACATTTTTTCTGTTTGTTTGTTTGTTTCGTTTCTTGTTTTGCAGCTTAAACGTGCAACGCGTATTTCCATTTATCATTTTCAGTGATATTAATGATGATTATCTGATTTAATGATGATCATTATTATTAATTATTTGTCTTGTCACTAGTTGTTCATCATCAACCAATTTATATCAAAAACGTTGAAAAGCTGAACAACAAAATTTATACTAATGATGAATGTTCCTTGCTAATTAAATTGGAATTATTATCATTTGTTATTTGTTATCATAATCTTTATTGCTGCTCGATTCAATTTCAAATTCGAATGTTACAAAAAATGCTTTTCGTTTACAGGATATTCATCATCATTGTTGTTGCCGGTGTTGTTGGTGGTACGTTAGATTCCTCAACTGATAATGGTATTTCCGAATAAGCATTGGTTTCGGCTGTCAATAGATGTCATGCTTATCTTCTTTTTTCTTATCTGATTTATCTAGAAAAATGTATTCTAAAATGTTATGAACAAACTAATCAACAACGATCGATTGGATGCGATTTTGGTTCATTATCATCATATCGACCAAAGCGATCAGAACGATCGGAACGAATTATATTTGAACATCCAATAAGTTTTCAGTTACCAAAACGAGTTGAACATCTTCGTTGTTTAAAAACATTTAGTTGTCATCCGGAAAAAACATCAACACCTGAATCGATAACTATTTCAACAACAACAACAAAACCATTTTACCCTGATGGTACTGACATTTTTATGTGAATTTTATTCGAATTTTTAATTTTTTTTTCGATATCGTTATTAATTTTGATCAAAGATACCGAAGAAGTTAATGATAAAATTGATTCAATTTATGATGATATTCGAAATGAATCTATGGAAATAACACCCGGTAAAATGGAAGAATTGTTATCGAATCTAAATGAAATTATTAAAAATATTACCGATAATAATGTTGATATGATTAATATAACATATTCATCATTATTGGTAATGGATAATTTGGTTGGCCGATCACAAACATGGCAAAATATGACCAATGATGAACAATTGAAAAATTCTGATCATATATTTAATCTGGCTGATAATTTGGCCGGTTTGATGAATCGAAAACTGAATCAATCCATCGATGCCGACGTTGGTCATCCAATCGTAAAAATTGAATGTAAAAATATTCAACTTCATTCCAAATATTCAAAATTATTGCCCAATCAATCGCTGGTTTATGAAATGAATACAACGCGGCTTTTATTACCATCAATGGGTTTGATGGACAACAATGAATCATCAGATACCAGCATGGATGAAATGAAATTATCATCAACAGCATCCATTATCAGTAATAAAAATCTGATTTCACGAATTTGTGATGACGATAAAGATGATAAAGATGGATATCAACTATTAAATACACCAATAATATCAATGGTTATTGGCCATAATAATGACCAATCGATCCGTTTGAATGAACCTTATTATTTTAGTTTAGAGTAAGTTTATTACGATTTTTGCCATTTTGATATATTATTATTTGCAAAATAGAACAACAAATTTTGATCGTCTCGTATTTGGTGATCGACCATCATGTTATTATTGGAATGTTACTCGTAAATGTTGGTCATCTGATGGTTGTTATTATCGAAAAATTGAATCAAATCGTTCTGCATCAATTTGTGAATGTAATCATCTGACAAGTATTGTTATTATTGTTGATATTTATAACCGAGATGGTGATGATCCAATAAAAACTTGGCTAACACGTGTAACATCATCGGCAACAATTTTATGTACAATGATTGCATTATACATATCGATTCGTTATAATCGTGAAACATTGAATGTTTTGAATGATCAATTTCGTACCCGATCAAATCTATTTCTACTCAATTGTCATGCAGGTATTTGGTTGATTGTTGCACATATAATCATTATGTTTGGTTTAGAACGTGAACAGGTAAGTCTAGGATTGATTGAAAATTTATAAAATTCTCTTCCTGGCATACGAATATAGGATGAACCAAATATACTTTGTCAATCAATATCATTGATGCTTCTATTTTCATTATTGGCAATGATTTGTTTTACATTTTTAAAATGTTTTCATTGTTCGTGGTTTATTGTGTTTGCACCATTAGGTGTATCAATATCATCTCGAAATTATCTTCTTATTGGTTATAGTTCCCCAATAATAATTATTCTCAGTGGTCTGTTATATTTCTATGCAACTGAAACACAAATCTGGCAAGATGTACTGGAATCATTATGTGGACGTTATTTGTAAGTTTTTTTTGTGTAATTTTGATTCAATTGTCATTATTTTTGTTTTTTTAGTTGTTGGATATCATCATATGAATATACCAAACATATCTGGCTATTTCTAGGTGAGTAATCTGCTGCACGGAAGCAGTATTATCTATTTATCTCTGCTCTTTTAGGTCATTAATTTCATGATAATTTTTCTTATTCTAAAATGATATAGGTCCATTATTTGGTCTTTTTGCATTGAATGTAATATTGTTCACTTTGATTATGTATCGTTATTGCACAAGTCCAATACATAACCGTTCATCAAAAACTAAACATCTATTTTCAGTTATGTTCAATGCATTTTTCTTTTTCATAAATTTCGGTTGCACATGGTTGTTGGCAATTATCTATATTAATGAAGAATTGACTATTCCTTATCTATTTTCAATTATGTTCATTTTGTTGAATGGAAGTCAGGTAACAATGATATTTTTTTGCAACCAAAACTTTTTTTAAACATTTTTTTTCATTCCCAGGGAATATTCTTATTAATCGAACAGATATTTAGATTTGTTAAACAAAAAAATCGTATCCGACAAACAAAAACAATGTCGACTAAATTACGTACATCAATAAGTATTAATAATAATAGTAGTAATATTTCATATGGTTCTGGTTCCGGATTATCATCAACAACATCATTGCATCATCAACAATCCAAAATGGATCAAAAGCTATTTGATCATAATAATAATCATTGATCAATAACTACCTAAATCAATAATCGGCTATTATTATTATCATTATTATAACAAGTTTGTTCTGAAAATCGGATCATCATCATCATTTTTTGCTTTTCATTTTTCTAATCAACATTTTTTTGTTCTTCTTTTGAAATAATAATCCGATAACACCGGGTTAAAGAAACTGTACAAAAATAAAACTACCCAACATATTTCAATGTGTAAAATGTTTCTGTAACAGAAAATTGACAAGAAATCCCCATTCATTTCATCCGATAGATCATATATCATAAAGGCTATATAGCTTTATATGGTTACCACCACCACCACCATCATCATCAATGATCAATGGCTATGGTCCGCATGTCCGTTTTTCTTTTCGTCATTGCTTGCTTGGTTGAATGAAATAATTTTTCGGCGCGTGTTTTTATCCCCACATCTCCATTTCATTTCATTTCATTTGATGATTTTTGCCCGAAATCAAATCGAAAAAAAGAAAATTTGTTCTTGAAATTTGAGCTTGACAAACGAAACCAAAAAGCGAAACGAACGACAATTTTTTTTCATTGTCAATCGGTCGAATCGATCGGTCGGTCACATACAACTTTATTTTCATTTCAAAAGAAAAAGTTTTTTTGGTTACCTCTATCTATTCTTCTTTCTCAAATAAAATTATCCATAACTAAATTAACTTAATTTTTTCAAAAACATTTTTCTTTTTCGTCATCATCATCGTCATCATTGTCATTTTAACCAATTTTTTTCTAAATGCACATTGTTTGCGTCTGTGTCTACACACGGCACATGTCTGATTCAAAAAATATCACGCCACTTTTTATTTGTTAACTTACTTTTTTTCATTTTAATTCTTTTTTTGATCTTTCATCATCATCATCATTTGACTGGTTGTGGTTGTTGATTTTCATTTTTTTACAATTCTGTGCTTGTGTAGGTTTTTCACCGTTTATTTACCGGTATTTTTATCGATTTTTTTCTTGTTTTAGTTTTTCCAGATACAAAAAAGGTATGTATGTTATGTGCTTTCACCATTTCATCATCATCATTCGATTTCCAATATGAATAAAAAAGATTAATTAATTAAAAGTCACTATCAATTAATTTTTTTAGTTTTTTTAAATTGAAAATTTGTTTTTTTTTTGCAAATTATAAACATTAACGATAATGGTGGTAATGATGATGATGATAATCGAAAACTTTCTCTATGAATGATACAACACACAAGGGATGTTTATTTTTTATTTTAAAAAAGTTTAATCATTATCATCAAATGATTCTTCGTCGGATAATGATGATGATTTAATGTTGTAGTTGTTGTTGACTTTTGATGACGCATAAAAACATTTTACACATCATCATCATCATCATGATCGTTAGGTTTTTTATGGAACCGATATCGTTTTGCATCACAGTTGTGCTAAAACAGAATCAAAAAACATTCGATTCGAATGATTTGACATTGAAGTGCACTTAACATTGATGATTCGAATGTTTTGTTTGACCAAATTTGTTGTTGTTGTTCGTACAAATCGGTCACATGATCAATGAATGAATTTCAGAAAAAAGTCCTTGACAATGAATTTAATGAAAGCGAGAAAGAGAATAATATGGTCACCCGAAAACAAAATGAAATAAATCAGAGAAGGGAACCGGGGAGAGTGAGACAAAAAAAAACAGAATGTCAGTGTCACTATAGTGAACATTGTCGAAATAGTTTTTTTTTCTTTTTGGTTCAAATTTGATTAAACATTAGACGGGAACAGAAAAAAGCCGTAGGTTAGTTAGTCGAAATTTTTCCCGAGCAACCACCCGATTGTTCTCAATCACATCATTATTATCAATGAAAATGTAGATAAAAACTCAGATGTATTACACACACACACATAATTCTGTGTTTCCTGTTAACTTTGTAATTCGATTCCATATTCAGGGTTCAAATAGCTTCGAGCACTATTTTGATCACCATTATTTCATATTTTAAAATGTTAACGAAAGGGAAAGTGATAGAGAAATATGTGGTGTGTCATTATCATCATTATTGCCCAAATTGAATGCAAAAAATCAAACTTTACTAGATTCTTTCTATATTGAACATGATGGTTATTTTTTGTTGTCAATTTTATGATGATCATTAACTTTGAATATTTATTAATGTTTTGATTAGCTACTCATCGATTTTTCGTGATTCAATTAATCGTTTGATTTTGTTTTTGTGTTTGTTTGTGATCATTTTGTTGTGGAATGTTTGGAAATTATTTTTCCAATCTTGATGCCAATAATAAGAAGAAATTATTATTGTTCAACGAAATGAAATCGTTTCATCACCACCATCATCAACAACAGCCGGATTTCGATTGGACATATAATAATATTAATAAATTTGCAACATTATTATGGAAAAATGAAATCTGCAATCGCTTATTATTTGTTTTGACATTATTCTCTTTTATCATTATTTGTCGAGGTAAGTTGCAATCAATCTATTATTATTATTATTATTGCCAGACATGCCGACATTGTTTGATGTGATTGATTTATGATGATGTTAATGCTGTGAAAATCAACGAAATGATTAATAATGATCAAGGTCAGGTTTACCCACAAAAAAATGTTATATGCGATATTATCAATATTAATAAACACCAATGAAAAGCATTGAAATGTGTTAAGAGTATCACTGGTTAGTCATAATTATAGTGACTATGACTCAAGGCTCAGTGAGGTTAGGTTGATGACTAATTTTATAGTTGAGTGAGGTTAGGTTGATGACTAAATTTTATAGTTGAGTGAGGTTAGGTTGATGACTATATTTTATGGTTGAGTGAGGTTAGGTTGATGACTATATTTTATAGTCAAGTGAGGTTAGGTTGATGACTGTGACTGTGATTTTTTTCTATGTATAGAAATCGCTTAAAAATTTTCCCCTTAAATTTGGCTTTGAAGGAAACATGCGCATGATTGCTCACAACGCATTCACTTTGATAATGTAATTGATATTTTTATTTTTTTTAATTTTTCCAAACAAAATTGACAACATATATACAAGGATTCTCTGATGATGCTGTTTGTAGTATAAATCAATTTGAATGTGAAAACTCTTATCCAATTCATTGTATTCCATTATCATTACGTTGTGATGGATATCCAGATTGTCATGATAAATCTGACGAAATCGATTGCCGTAAGTAAATCATCATGTTAAATGTACAACATTGTTAGGAACCAAAAGTCAACCCATTAGCTATTAGAAAGTCATACATTATTGAATAATGGGCGACAAACCAGAAAGTTTTTCATTGAAGATGACAAATTTTTTTGACTGGCTCGTTCCGTTTGAATTAGTTTTCCATATAAACATCACTTAGTTACTCAATTCAATTCACTAATTGATGGAAATATCTGATTTTTGATTTTTGATATAGCAAAAAATAACTGCAATGAAACAGAATTTGCATGCAATTCAACACAAAAATGTATATTTGCCGCTTGGCGTTGTGATGGCGAACCCGATTGTGAAGATGGTTCCGATGAATTGGATTGTGATGGACGTAAGTAGTGTGCATCATTATTGATAAATTTTTGAAATTGAATTAATTCCGATTCGTTTGGTTTAATTTAATTTGCATTCTGTATCATTCAGTCAACTGTGAACCGCATCAATTTCGTTGTGCTAATAATAATCGTTGCATTGATAAGAAAAATGTTTGTAATCATTTCGATGATTGTGGTGATGATTCGGATGAATCGGTTTTGGCTTGTAGTAAGTATTTTTCATTTCGCTTTGTTTTCGGTTGTTTGATTTTATTTTTGCCCATCAGTGTTTCATCGTTTCGTATGTACAAAAGATGAATTTAAATGTTTAAATGGTCATTGTATTTCAAGAGATTTATTATGTGATGGTAATGATGATTGTGGTGATAATTCGGATGAAAATCTATCAAATTGTGAGTAGGATGATGATAATGTATTCAATTTAATTATGGCCAAACATTATTGCAGGTACACAATGTTCAAACAATGAATTTAAATGTAAAAAATATAATAAATGTATATCGAATGATAAATTATGTGATCAATTGGATGATTGTCCGGATGGTGAAGATGAATCGAATTGCAATTATGATCAGTCCATCAATGATTTGTTAATAGTTTGTCAACCCGGTGAATTTCGATGTCATAATAATTCGAAATGTATTGCCGATTATTTAGTCTGTGATGAAAAATGTTTGTATTTTTTTTGCTCACTAATTTTACCAGCTAATTGTCATTATGAATATTATCCTAGTTGATTGTAATGATAATTCGGATGAATTGAATTGTACATATCAATGTGATTTCAGTGAAGAATTTCGTTGTCATAACAACGGGGAATGTATACCCATTTCAATGTATTGTGATGGTCAACCAGATTGTTTGGATCATTCGGATGAACAAGATTGCCGATTTATTGATCAAACGATTACCAATGATAATAATTCTATTACAGCATGTCGTAAAGGTTTTCGCTGGAATCCTCGATTAAAACGATGCTTTGATATAAATGAGTGAGTTTCACTTTGATTCTCTTTAACATTTTTCATTAATTTTTCATTTGATTAGATGTATCGAAGATTATAGTATTTGTTCGGGTCATCAATGTTCCAATACACTTGGTGGATTTGAATGTCATTGTTCGATTGGATTCATTGTTATCAACGACGAATGTGTTCGCAATTCCAACAATCATTCAAATCAGATGATATTTACGGCAAATAATTTAATACAATCTATGCAATGGTCATCAAAAGATTTTGATTCTGCTCCAAAGATTTCCAATTCATCAATATTATTTGATTATAATCAAAATACTGGTGATGATAATGATATTGAATCTCACCTTATTTTTGCATATAATTTGGGTTCAAATTATTTTGTTGCATCAAATCAACAAGGACAATTATATCTGGATCGTTTGGATAAAAACCGTCCCATAGGGTTGGAAAAAAAGTTAACCGTACCAGTTGTTTTAGCACAATGTCAACATCGGATCGGTAATTTAGCCATCGATTGGATGAATCATTTGATTTACCTGATCAATATGGATTTGAATCATATTGAAGTGATTAAATTATTTAAACCAAATATGGTTATGATATTTGTTGAAAATGTACAGAAAGCTCAGGATTTAGAAGTGAATCCATTAGAATCATGGATTGTTTGGAGTGAATCTAATCGAATCGTTCGTCAATCTCAAGATGGCAATGAACAAATCATATTAACCGATCAAGTTATACAGCCGACTGGATTGAAAATTGATTTTCTTACCGGACGAATTTATTGGCTAGATGCTGGACATCATTCGCTGAATTCAATAAATTTTGATGGATCAGACCAAAGAATTATAATACAATCAAAAAGATATCTAGAAAATCCTTTTGATATTGATCTATTTGATAATCAAGCGTTTTGGACCGATTTGCAAATCGGTTCAATTTATACGGCCAATAAATTTGGCGGTAATTCTGGTCGTGTTTATGAATTATTTCCAAACAAAAATGAGCATCAAAATGTTACCTATATTGAAACTTTAGATTCATATAAACAGCCTAGAAATGATTCATATAAATGTCCATTAAATTGTCCTTATCGTTGTGATCCGATAACCGCGGAATGTTATTGTCCAAAACCATATATAATTTGTTTGGATAAGATTAATGATGATGATGATCGTTGTCAATTGGATCAATGTTTGGCTATTAATCGAATGACAAATGAAATGTTTAATTTAACATATTGTTTATTATTATTATCGTTGGTGGTGTTTTTAATTCTTTGTCTTTTATATAGATGTTTTGACAAAATTCGTCGATACAGGTATGCGGAATTTCCAATTTTTGAATGATATTTGTTTGATGATATTTATATTTTAGAAAGGAAAGTTATAAAACAATGAGATTGAATGATTTACGTCGTTCTTCATTCGCTCATTTGGGTCATCATCATCCAAATCATGCATTGGATAGTGGTGAATCTTCATCGGCAAATTTAACACGTAATATATCTGATGCATCTGCAACATCCGATGATGTTGTTAATATTGATCAATCAAAAACACATGATAATTGTTATCTATTTATAAATAATGATCGTCAATCTAGTGGTTATTGTTCATCATCGATTCTATCCGATCAAACTGTTCCACCATATCATCATCATAATAGTAGTTTGTTGCAACGAAAATCATCGACAATCATCAACAATAATGATAATAATGAAGTTTCTTATTATTTTAGTGAACAACCAAATAGCCAAAACGATCAAAATGATGAAGAAGATGAAGAATGTTTATCATCAATAAATCCAACATCAAGTCAATCATCATCCAGTAGGAGTAGTGATGATGTGAATGATGATGATGATAAACCAATGAAAAAACAATGTCAATTCTTTGTATAATGTATTGTTTGTGGGATTGATTGGATATTGTATGTTATTTATATTTATTTGAAATAATGTTTTTATATGTTCGAAATGTATTATTTTTGTTTATGTTTTATACCAAAAAATGAATGAAGATCTCCATATAGTGATTAATAGTATGTGTTAAAAATCTTAATCTATCTTATATCATATATTGTTTGTGTCCTATATTTTTAAATAATCGTTGTTGTAATATAAACACACACACACACATTGATATTCTTTCATTGTTGGCAAAAGATTCTTGTCTTGAATTAAATAAGCTAAATTTGGTTTTCTTAACTCTATGGCTAGAAAGCTTTTCTAAGAACATTCAACGACTATTCGTCATTGTGAAAACATGAAGAATAAATTGCATCATCGTCGTCGTCATATAATGGGCGATATTCGAATAGCAATTATGAATGATAATTTGGAGCAATTTACATCATTATTGGAAATATTTGATGATGATGATTGTGAAACGGAACAGAAACTTAAAGATTTTCCATTTCTGGTGAATGGTTCAACAATTTTACATGATGCAATAATTCATGAACGACAAAAAATTGCCCAATATTTAATCGAGAATCATATCAATTTGAATACTCGTGATCAAACATCTGATGGTTATGGCGAAACACCATTAATTCTTGCTATTCGAAAACGTAAATATTCCTGGGCTATTTTAATGCTCGAGCAAAATGAAACCAATGTTAATCTAACCGATTTATTTGGTCGTCAACCATTATCGATTGCAATGGAACATCGTATTGCAATTCTGATCGATCAAATATTATCGCATCCATTATTTCGTCTAACTTTGTCATATAATCCATTATCGGTTGCATTTCGTTATCGAATTGATTCTGAATTAATAATTAAAATGTTGAATATTGGATATGATTGTCCTCAAGATCAACGAGCCAATTTCCTAACACTTGAATCGACAAACAAAGATTTGACATTTATTCTGGAACAATCTTCTTCATCGTTATCTCAATGTTATAATCAGCCCATTCGACTTGAACAATTATGTCGAGAAACAATTAGACATTATTATTTCAAACGTCATTTTTATCCAATCATTCTAACAAATGTTGATAAACTATTAATGGGCAACAAAAAACTTAAACGACCAATACCCATTGCAATGAAATACTTTATCTGTGATTTATCTTTGCATTAAAATTTCATTATCATTTTCATTATTATAATTGTTGTTGTTCATTTTCGAAATTTTTTCTCGTGATTTTCATTGACGTCAACTTGGCCAGTCAGCATTAATATTCATTTTTTCGAAAAGAGATCTGGTCTGGAACGAGAATCCAAATTATGAATTAATAATGCCTTAATCATGATGGTTTTTTGCTAATTATCTGGTTTGTTTGTTGAAAAAATGGAATATATTTTCTCATTCAATCGATTCGAGATTTGTCATTTGTGATTTTGCTTGCTTGAAGGTCGGTCGGTTGCTCCATTCGACAACAACAACAATAATGCATTCGGCTACTGGTGATAGACAATTTGATGCTGAAAGTTCATCAGTTGCATCATCATCGGATGGTATTATCAATAAAAAAACAAAATGGCAAAAAATTCAAGGAAATCTCGAAGGTTTGTTGATTGATTCATTCTTTTTTTGGCGATGATGCTCACATTCCCCAAAAAAATTTCAAATAGATTTCTGGATTACCAAACAAATTCTACCGAAAGATGCGGACAAAACCAAGGTGGTGAAAACAACTTTGCGTGAATTGTTGACATATATGGCATTTTTGATAACAATTACTTACAGTAAGTCGTTGATTATTTAAATTTTTTCTTTTTCCAAATGAATTATATCATTGTTGTTTTTATTATCACAATCAAGTCACATTTTCAATGATGAATCCAACAATGTATTATCAGACAAAAATCATGTCGAATCTATTTTTGGATCAAGCGGATTCGAAAGGAATAACATTTCGTACGGCAACACAGATGGATCATTTTTGGGATGTAAGTTGATTGAGTTAAAATAGCTGGTTTCATAATTTCATAATTTTTTTTGTGAATAAATAAAAAAAAAGTTTGTTGAAGGTCCATTGATTCAAGGCCTGTATTGGGATAAATGGTATAATAATCAATCGGCAGATAGTACAACATTCAAATCAATTTTGTATGAAAATTATTTGCTTGGTGCACCACGTATGAGACAAATACGTGTCCGTAACGATTCCTGTGAAATACATAAAGATTTTCAACGTGCAATATTTTCTTGTTATAATCATTATTCAAAAATTTATGAAGATCGTCAAGCTATTCATGAAAAAATTTTACCCGAATTTCAATGGCAAGAAATTCGTTCATTTGCTAAAAATGATGTTTGGGGACAATTATCCACCTACTCGGGTGAAGGTGGCTATATTGTGAATCTTTCCTTAAACCGAACAATAGCCATGAAAACTATTGAAAAACTTAAAGAATTTTTATGGATTGATCGTGGTACACGTGCAGTATTGATTGATTTTACCACATATAATCCAAATATAAATCTTTATGTTGTAACAAAATTGATTGCCGAATTTCCAGCTACAGGTGGAATGTTTACCTCATGGCAATTTCGTACATTGAATCTTCTGGAGAATAGTTCACAATCGCAAATTGGTCTTTATGTTTGTTTCGTATTGTTTTTACTGTTTATCATTTACTATACGATTGAAGAGTTTTTCGAAATTACTGCACTTGGTTTCATACCATATCTTCGATCAAGTGGTTGGAATTATCTGGATCTTTTCATCATTCTTATATCGTTGGCATTAGTTTTCTTTTTGGTTTGTCGTAAATATATTATAACCAAAATTTTCGATGAAGCAACAATCACGGAAGACTTGCAAACTGAACATTATGGTGATTCGAATATGATGATCGAATCGATGAACGAATTCAATAATCGAACTGGCCACGCGCTTCAAATCGATACCTATCAATTTGATACATTGGGATTTTGGTCAGCACAATTTAGCAATATTCTGGCTGTACTATCATTCGTATCATGGATTAAAATTTTCAAATATATTAGCTTCAATAAAACTATGTCACAGCTAAGTTCAACCCTTAGTCGTGTAAGTATTGAGTTTTCTCAGAGTAAAGCCATTATTGATTGATTTTTATAGTGCGCCAAAGATATTGCCGGTTTTGGCTTGATGTTTTTCATCGTATTTTTTGCATTTGCCCAACTTGGTTACTTGCTTTTTGGTACCCAAGTTAAGGATTATAGTTCATTCGGTCGGGCTGTGTAAGTATCAGTGGATTTTTAATCAGATTCAATCTAATGATCTTATCTTATATTAGTTTCACACTGTTGCGCTTGATTCTTGGTGATTTTGATTTTCAATCAATCGAAAATGCTAATCGTGTTTTGGGACCAATATTTTTCTTGAGCTACATCTTCTTTGTGTTTTTCGTATTGATGGTAAGATATTTTTTTCTTATTTGATTCGATAGTGAAGAATGATTCGTTCCACATTTAGAACATGTTTTTGGCTATCATCAACGATACATATGCCGAGGTGAAATCAGAATTAAAAGATGATGAAGAATTTGCTATGATGGATTATTTCAAAGCAATTTCAAATCAAATCCTTCATAAACTTGGTACACAAAAGGAACAAATTGAAGAAATTCAACAGGCAATTCGAGAATCTGGATTTGATGGTCAACGCCGTGTTAGCTTTGCAACCATACGACAAGAACTGAAAAAACGTAATCTAAGCGATCAGGAAATTGAAATGTTATTTGCAAAATATGATATTGATCAGAATCGTGAATTGGATGAAAAAGAATTGCATGCAATGTTTGAAGATCTGGAAGGTAAAAAGAAATCAATTGAAAAAGAAATGGAAGAAAATAAAAATAAACGTCGTGATTCATTGATAAGTATGGCACACGGTGCTCGACATCTGCCGCCACAATTTGATTTTGGAAAAGTATCCAAACGTGTTGATCGTATGGAGTATGTTCTCGCTACCATTTCGAATAAAATTGATTCACTTTTTGCTAATCGCATCGAAAATGAGAATTAACATTAACATTTTTGTTATTTTTCAAAAACAGATTTTAAGTAGATTTTTTAGTAGTCAAATTCATCATTAATCTTATTGAAATGCAAAAAAAGAAAAGAAAAATTTCAAATTGAATTTTGTTTGTTTTGATTGAAAATAAAAATAACATTTGTTTTTCATTTTTAAAAGAATTGGGCGCGCTCGATTTTGTTTGAATTTATTTTCCCCGAAAATCATGCCTTTTATGAACAGTTTCTCAAGTTAACCAGATTAATCCATGTGACATTTTTGTTTGTTTTTTTTTTCGATTGAAAATTTATTTAAATTTTTTTTTTCATTCAATGAGAATTCATAGAATTTATTTACAATTGCTTTTTTAAATATTAGTAACTATTATTATCATCAAATTTAAGACATGAATTATGACCTTAATACCGATCAAAGTGATGATGATTATTATGCTTTTCTCAACGTTCCTAGAAATGTAAGATTGGTTCGATTTTGGTTTTGTTTTTTCATTTTAGTTTTTATTGATTTTTTCAGGCAACTTTTGATGAAATACGAAATTCCTTTCGATTATTTAGTCGTCAATTTCATCCGGATAAGCACACGAATCCAGCGCTAAAACGACAAGCTGAATTAATGTTTGATAAATTGAAAAAAGTTTATGATGGTATTTGATTTATTCACCCAAATGAATGTATCGGTTTCTTACCCGGTTTTCTTTTATAGTTTTAAGCGATCCAGATAAACGTGCTGTTTATGATGCACTGGGTGCTTCAGGTCTTCAGAATAATGAAGCCTGGGCATTGGTTGAGAAAAAATTCAAATCAATCAAAGAAATTCGTGCCGAATTCGAACAATTAATGAAAGAAAAAGAAGAACGTTTAATGCAACAACGAACCAGTCCTAGAGGCAATATTACCGTATTGGTTGATGCAACCAATCTATTTCAACCAGATGACGATAATGATGATCGAAGAGTGGTAATTTCACCCTCATCGATTGAAATTCGTTCGATGACAATTACACAATCATTAGATACTCCTATAACATTGAATAATAATGTGATATTGAATGGGATGATTAATGTTCGTAATGGTATTGGAAGCGGTAATCTAGCGCTTTCATTACGACATGTTTTTAACCGTAAGTTAATTCGAATGAATCTAATCTAATTTCTCATGGATTTTATCAATCAATTTTAGCAAAAACATGGGGTGAAATAGAATTTGGTGCTGGACAAGGTCCAATGATCAATATGAAAGGTTTTCGAACCATAACACCAAATCTTCATCTAAATTGTAGTACAAATATATTGATTTCATCATTCGGTATTCGACCCGGATTATCATTAAGTGAGTAAATCAATATGGCTCGATTGTCAAATTTAATAATTTTTTATTTTTTGGTCAGCATTGACCAGACAATTTAGTAAACATTTCGTAGGACATTTATCATATAAAGCCGGTATAGATTCCTCAATGAACACTACGATGATATTTGAAAATGAATATTGTCGAATCAATGGTTCGCTACAATTTGGTTATCGTAATTCGTTTATATCATCAAGTTATACACATAAATTTCGACAAAATATGACACGTTTAAAAATTGGCCTGAAATTCGGACTTTTAGGTGCCATTGTTGATTATGGTTGTGAAACTAGATTATCTCAATATAGTACAATTGGTGCCGCAATGACTGTCGGTACAATTGCCGGTGTTAATCTAAGGATTAAGTATGTATCACAATCGATATTTTATTCATTTAATTAATTTGATCAATTTCCTATCTAAACAGATTAATACGAAATCAACAAACATATATGTTACCGATATTATTATCAGAAGAAATAGTACCCTCATCATTGTTATATGGAACAATATTACCATTATTAACATATTATTTGATTAAAAATTATATCATTGATGTCTATCAAAAACGTATGGAACAAGAAGAATTGGAAAAAGAACGTGAAGCCAATGCATCACTAATGCAACAACAACGTAAACAAGCTGAAGCTTATATTCAATTAATGAAAGATTTTTATGAACGAATTGTTGAACGTGAACGATCAGTGGATGGTTTAATAATTGATCGAGCATTATATGGGGATGAAAGTCAAGTTGAACAATATGAACATGATGATGATTCCATACCCAATGATGCAAATGTTTTTGATTTCCATGTTGCCTTACAAGTGTTGGTGAATGACAATTCACGTTTAATATTACAATCGGCATCGAAATCTTATTTGCCTGGTTTTTTTGATACAAATAATGGTCGTCCGAAAAAATTGTTAATACGTTATCGTTACAAAAGTCGTGATTATCGTGTTTTGTTAAATGAAAATGAAGGTCAAACATTACCTTGCGAAAGACATTTAATTCTTAGAATGAATGAAGATCATTTTAATTGAGTTTTATTGAGAATTTATTTTTGTAAAAAATATAATTTTTTTGTTAGTTCGATTAAGATTAGTGAATAAAAGTCATCGAAAAATGAATTGTTATCAGTGATCTGTCATTCATTGCCGAATTGAAAATCGAAATACCCTCGATACAACAATCATATCGTTGTAGTTTTTCTATGTAATGATTGATCGATTGAATTTGTTGGCCATTCATTTATTCATTTATTCACTGTGATAATAATGTAAATGTAGAAATTTATAAATTAATAAATTAATGATATTTGAAATTGCTTTATCAATTATTTTTTTGTGTGGCCAGTGTTCGCTAATGATAATTTCATGATCGCTGCGTTTATTTAATGTGGATTTTTTTATCAGGATGTAATGTGACAGCTCTCTCTCTCTCCTTTTATATCTGGGAAATGTTTTTCCTTGATGATGGAAGTATGATTATCAACAAATCATCAATGTGTGTTGTGTAGAAAAAAGATATGATTGTTAAATTTGTGAGCAAAGCTTATATAAATTGGTCACATTTGATTAGCTCGTTCGTTCGTTTTCGTTTTGAATATCGAATTTTTCTTGTTACCAATCAATACAAAATGTCCAAAGTAAGTTTTAATTGAAAATTCTTTTCCTGATTTTATTGATTTGAATATGATTAGCCAATCAATTGTCGTGCTGCCATTCTGTATGAAGAAGGTAAACCATTAGTTGTTGAAGAAGTAATCATACCTGTACCTGGTGATGATCAAGTTCGAGTGAAGATGATTTCTGCTGGTATTTGTGCCAGTGATGGTCATTATGTTTGGGGACAGCAAAAACTGAGTGATCTTTCCCATAAACTGCCAACAGTATTGGGACATGAAGGTGCCGGTATTGTTGAATCAGTTGGCCGAAATGTAACGGATTTGAAACCAGGTGATCACGTTTTGACAACATTCGTACCGAATTGTGAGAAATGTAGCCAATGTTCAATCAAAGATAGTAATATGTGTTTGAATTTGAATTTCAACACAACCGGTAGTCTAACAACAAGACAATTGGCGAAAAATGGTGAAAATATTTATGGTGTCACTGGAACAGGTACCTATTCTGAATATATTACTGTTGATCGTCCTATGGTCATTAAAGTAAGTGAATGAATTTTAGTGAAATGAACCTCACCTTTCTTTTTCGTCATTCGATCAGATCAAACAGACCGATAATCTAATCAATCTTTGTGTTGTAAGTTGTGCTGCGGCAACTGGTTTTTATTCGGCTGTTAATCGTGCAAAGGTTCGTCCTGGTTCGAATTGTGCTGTATGGGGAATCGGTGGTATCGGTTTGAATGCATTGCAAGGATGTAAATATAACCAGGCGAAAAATATCATTGCGATCGATGTTAATCCAGCTAAACGTGATGTTGCTTTGGAATTCGGTGCAACCGAATTTATTAATCCAAAAGAATTGGATAAACCTTTGGAACAGTATCTGATGGAAAAATATAACGGCGGTATGGATTATACATTCGATTGTTTTGGTTCGCAAATGATCGTTGATCAGGCCATCAATTCATTGACAATGTCCGGTACATTTACTATGGTCGGGGTAACAGGAACCGATGTACAGATTAAATATCCAGCATTGATGTTGTTGTTCAGTCGTACAATAACTGGTTGTCTTCTCGGTGCTAAAAAAGCTTCGCAAGCTTATCCCGAAATGGTCGATTTGTATTTGGCTAAAAAAATCAAAATCAATGAATTGATAACCAATAAATTTAAATTGGAGCAAATTAATGAAGCATTTCAAACATTGAAAGATGGTAAATCTATTCGATCAATCATTGTATTTGATTAATTAATTGAGTTGATTAATTGATTAATTTGATTGACAGCTTGTTAAGGATTTTGTTGTTTTTTGCTCATTTTTGAAAAATTTTAAATCAATAAAAATTTTTTGTTTGTGAAGAAATTGACTTTAATCGATCAAAGATCAAAAATTGAAAATTGCTAAATAAAATAATGTGGTTGATTTTCTCTCAGTTTTGTTTGTTTGTTTGTTGAATGTTATGAAATGGATGATGTTTGGATGGCAACCGTCATTCGATTGTCAATCATTCTGGTGATGGGCCAATTTATTATCGATCGTTTCATTGCGTTTGGCAAACAGCAAGTATAAAAAGAAGAACGAATCGAATCGATCAGCGAAATTCGTCGAAAAAATGTCTTTTAAAATTTCGCAAGTAATGAATTAAGGTTGATGTTGTTTTCGAAATTTAAATTGAATTCCTAATTTAGCCAATAAAATGTCGTGCTGCTGTCCTGTACGAAGAAGGTAGTCCATTGGTGATTGAAGATGTTTTGATACCCGTACCGCAATCGTTGGAAGTTCGTGTTCGAATTCTATCCACTGGTTTATGTGCAACAGATGCACATTTTGTATGGGGTCAAACTCGAATGAAATCCTGGGGTCATCGATTGCCATCGGTTTTAGGTCATGAAGGAACCGGTATTGTTGAATCTGTTGGCCCAAATGTTAATCAATTTGAACCAGGTGATTTGGTTCTAATGTCTATCATACCACAATGTAATGAATGTTATCTATGTCAAAATCCTAATACGAATATTTGTCAGAAGAATTTATTGGCCGATTTAGGAAGTCGTCCCAGTAAAACATTGGCTAAATCTGGTCAACAACTTTATGGAATAATGGGTTTAGGTACATTTTCCGAATATATCACTGTTAATCATAATCAATTGTTTAAGGTAAAATTAATCCTTGCTTGATTCTATTGGTTAATTTATTAATTATCGATAACACAGGTAACAAAAAAAGTAAACATTGAAAACGCTGCCATCATTTCGTGTGCGGTGGCAACCGGATTTTATTCGGCCGTAAATTTGGCAAAAGTTTCGCCCGGATCTACATGTGCTGTTTGGGGTATTGGTCCTGTTGGTTTGAATGTTTTGCAAGGATGTCGATATCGAAAAGCTGCGAAAATTATTGCAATCGATATAACTTCGGAGAAAAAAGAAATAGCAATCGAATTTGGTGCCACGGATTTTATCAACTCAAAACAATTGAATGAACAAACAACATTGCAACAATATCTAATGGAAAATTATGGTGGCGGTGTTGATTTTGCATTCGATTGCTTTGGTTCACAAATTACTATTGATCAGGCGCTGAAATCATTGTCCGTAACCGGAATGTTTGTATTGGTAGGTGTGCCACCAGATAATACAAATATTATCTATCCCTGTGATCAATTGCTTACTGGCCGTACCATAACCGGTGGTTTTGTTGGTGGCAAAAAAAGTGAACAAGCCTATGGTGAATTGTTGGATCTGTACGAAAACGGAAAAATTGAAATCGATCGAATGATTACCGAACGGATTTCGTTGGATCAAATTAACAAAGGATTCGATGATCTACGATCGGGTAAAATAGTTCGTTCATTGGTAACTTCGTTTCATAAGAAAATGGAATAATTTTTTTATTTTGGCAATTTTCTACAAAAAATGAAAATCAATTGGACTTGATTGGTGCAATATAATTTTGCAATAATTTTTCAATAGTGTCACTATCGAACAACTGTTCAAGATTGATAAATTGTTGCAAATTTCTTTTGATTCTTGTCAAATTGTTATCATTGTTATTGTTGTTTTGTGTATTCTTCAGAAATTTTTCCAATAAATTTTCTACATCTTTTTCACTAAAATTTTCAAACATTGTTCCAATGGCTCCACGCTTGAATCGTTGTACCGTATCTGTTGATAAAATGCAAGAAATTATTTCGGAAATTTAATCTGAAAAAATCTTACTGAAAATTTGATCAAATTTTTCTTTACGTTCTTCAAGAACTTTTTCAAAACTTATGTTTTGGTTGTAAACCAGATCCTGGTCATTCCATGATTTATAAACAATATCATTACGCAGCATTGGTGACTGGGCAAAAACTCGTTGAAATGCATTAAAAATTGCAACCAGAAATTGAACGAAAATTCTGACAATTTCGGATAAATTTGCCGGTGTCAATGACGAATTGGAGCCATCACCACCACCATCACCATTGATATTTTGTTGTTGATCAGCTAATGATTGTTCCAGCAATTGATTCAAAATATTTGTTACATTCGGTGGCAATGTTTGACAATTGATCATCGATGTCAAAAGCAAAATTGATGAAAAAATTAGAAATCTTTGTCGAAACATTTTCAATTTGTTTTGGTTTTGTTTTTGGAAAAAAATCCGCTTTTTATATGAATGTTTTGTCAACTGAACCAGCATAAAATGATTTATTGATTTGTTTTTGAAAATGAATTTTAATTAAATAAAATTAATATCACAATGGAAAATATTAATGTTATCATCATTATGGTCATTTGATTCGAATGTTCAAACATTCCAATGCTGGCATCAGGTTCCGGTTTTTCGGTCGTAGGTTTTGGTGGTTCTGGTTGTCGAATTGGCAGCGCTTCAGCATAAGCAACAACTGTATTGATTCCACGATTATTTACTCCGCGAATCATTCTTGCATAACCCGATTCACCCCAATCACGTCCCCAGCTATTTTTTATCAACCAAAAATCTAATCCATTATCATTACCCCAGCCGATAATCTGTACATATTGATCATGTTCACCGGATAAACCACGATCACCACCATCGGTGAGTATACCACCACTATGATGATTGATAATTAATTAGCAATCCATTTTCATCATTTTTCAGATCAAACCTGTATAATTGAAAATGACGATCACCAGCATTGATTAACGTAGCAACCGGACCTTTATTATAAACAACCCACATAATCATTTCATCGGATGAATTGAGTGGAAGATAATTATAACGATAAATCCATTCACGCCATTCACCTAATACTTGACGACATTCACCTTGCTATCAAACAAAAGGATAATAATCAATGTTTATTGATTGATTTGATTATCATTACCTTGCCCTTATATGGATAGGTTTTTTCCATAGTTAAACCAACTTGTCGTGCATAATGGAAAACATCATCCAACATACCACCATTGCATCCATCACTTAGATAAAATGGTGCAAGTACACAATCCAAAACTTGTTGTTTCGATAGAACTACTAATGGATTTCCCGCAATCGAATTTGCACTTTCAACTAGACCAACGCCGGCAAATATCCAACTTGAACCACATTGTCCTTGATCTTCGATGGTTGTTACCATCTTTTGATGAATGATACAATCAATCAATCATTGAATGAATGAATGAACAATACTTACACTTTGTGAACGCCAATCGAATTGTGCTGGAAATGTTATCGACGTTTGATTCATTTTACGAACGACATTCATCGATATTTTTGAATGATTATTGTTGAATGGTATCGGTTTATTAGCTGTTTCATGTTTGGCTGTTAATAATTTTTGATTGATGAATATTTTTTCATTCATTCCCTTTTGGAAGAAAAATTGGAATCATTTTTGTTTGAGAAACTTTCCAGAAAATAACTTACAAAATCGGCAAACTTATTGATTTTCAATCGATATGGCACTCGTCCAGTTTTATAATCATTATCATTATCTTTTACAACCTTTAATGAATACAGGAAATTGGCACGACGAATTTCAAGATCTTCACCATCAAAATAGTGTTTATCATATTTTTTCTATTTACCAAAATTAATTTATTTTATTCAACTTGAAAATTTTCATTCGATTTACCTGAAATTCGGTGAAATTTTGTTCAAAATTTTTCAAATCAAATTCTTCGGCAATTTCGGTTAGGTTTTGTCGACCATATGTTGACCGGATAAATTGTAGATATTCTACCTGTGCTGATTGGGCCGGAATATTTTTATTCGAATCAGCTATGGTTAATTGTCGATGTAATTGTTCCATAGCAGCCGATTGTTGATAATCCAAAATAATCAACGATAACAATGTGGACAATATTGAATATGGAATCATTATCCAAATGATGATTTATAAACGATGACACACCGAAGTCAACAAATGATTGATTGGTTTAATTCGATTCACAGAATCGATCGAACAAAAACAGATATGCAGTCAATAATGTCCATCGAATGAAACGAATGCTGTTTGTTTGTATTTGCTATTTTGGTATTCGTGATTTGGTTTGCCCGATTTTTTGTTGCAAATTGCTGCATTGTCACCATCGTCAATTGAATTAAATTAACCTATTCTGTATGATAGTGATGATGATGATGACCAAATTTAGCTTTTCAGTTCTTCCCCCTATTCATCATCACAATAATCATTCAAATGGAATAAAACAGTAAATTATCATTATCATTATTTTGTGCAATTGTCATCATGACATTGCCAACAAACAAAAACAAAACAAAACAAACAAAAAATGAATTCATATTGCCCGTTATTATTGTTTTTGTTCGTTTGCTGTCAATTTCGTTTTGTGAATAAATTATCATTGGAAAGTTATTATTAATATTCATCATCATCCAATATCATCATCATTATTATGAATAGTATTATATTTCATTGGTAACAATTTAACTTTTTCGAAATGTTCAAAATTCCTTTGCATAATTAATCAATCGATTAATCAACAATGATGTGCAATCAAAACAACAAAAAGAAAAAATTATCATTTTTCGATAAACCCGATAAAATTTATCATATAGTAACGTAAACTTTATAAAACTTTTTTTCTGATTTATAGAGATAGTAACTATGTGTAAGAGATTGATGACAAACCTATTTGATTAATTGAGTGGGTATTTGAAATAGTTTTGTTGATGATGATGATGATACCATGCCATACGACAAAAAAAATTGTCCTAACAAAATGATCGCACTCGATCGTTTTTGTCAAGAGAGTTTTTTGTTACTTTTCAACAAATTAGTGTCTAAAACGATAATCATCAATCATCATAAGGTTTTAATCCGGATTCGGATTCAATCAATCACAGGAAAAATCTGAAATAAAAAGCCACTTAAAAACAAATTGTTTTTGGCTTCTTTTTTTCTTGATTACAGGATTTCAAATGTTTTGATTTGGTCGGATTTTGGAATTGGAATCATCGTGAGCGTGAGAAAAAGCAAAAATGTCCTCATTGTTTCAATCCCTTCGTCGTCATAATTTTTTCCTGTTTGATATTTATATATTTCAATTTTTATTCAGTTATGGATTACAATTGATTACTATAAATTTTTTAGTGCAGGATAAAATATGTCGTACCCGTTTCAATCAAAGTGAATATTTTTGTCAACACATCCATGAAGATATATTCGATGGCTCCGAACAGATTATTAAAGATCGTATCCTTGCTTCAACTGCTCTTTATAATAATTACAGGTGAGATTTTTGTGATGAAATTTTTCTATGAAATTTTTTGATAAAATTTTTTGTCTGTTTTGTTCTGTGTTTTACCGGATGGCGTTGGTTCGATTGTGCGGCTATAGTAACCTAATACAAGCCATACCGATGTTTATTTGGTCATTATTTTTCGGTTCGTTTTTGGATCGACAAACCGGTGCAACACGAATGATATTCGCTTGGATCAATATATTGGGTCTAATAACTACTGTATTTTATTTGGTGAATATTTTCAATTTTCTTATAGGCACGTAGATTAATAATTAATATTGGAAAAAATCACTTGATAATCACTAATCACAAATGTACATTCAAATATCAGATCCATATATGTTATTATTGGCTGGATTACATACCTATCTGACTGGTGGTATGGCTACATTTTTGACTGTTACGCATCGTTATGTTGTTATCAATACTGATCCCGAACATCGATCGTTAAGATTTACTATATTTCAAATCTATCTACTTGCTGGTAAGTGGATCCATTATCCATTAACTAAATTATCTGATGATTAATTGGTTGATATAATTAGCTATAACATTTGGTCAATTGCTTGGTGGCAATCTAATTCATTTGGTTACTGATAGTAACAGTCTTCAATTACGAAATTATGATCTCAATATGTGGATTGTTTTTGCACTTAATATTTTTTCGTTTATTATGATTTTGATTATTCCAATCGATCGACAAAAATCACCATCATCATCGGATTCGAATCCCGAAATTGAAAGAACCGATAAAGATATTGATAATGAATCGATTACCGATAACGATAATGATGAATCGATTGATAAATCAAATCCAGTATTGAATGGTGATCGAAAATCTTCTTATTCATCCATAATCAATACAACCAATGAATCAATTGAAAGTCAAATCGAATCCAGACCGATAAGCGAAAGACGTTCATTATGTTATCGGATGAATTATGTATGTCGCACATTTTTCGATATGGAAAATGTTCGACAAACATATCGTTGTCTAACAAAATCACGTATGAACCGAATTCGTGAACAGATAATTTTCCTAATCATTCTTTTAGTCATACAATTTCTTAACTATCTTGGATTGGATTCAATGTTTTTACAGTTTTCACAAAAAGTTTATCAATTTGATGCAAAAACTTTTGCCAATGTAAATGCCATTTCAAAAGCTATACCCAATATTGGCCTATTCATTAGTTCACAAGTTCTGGTTCGATGTTTAAAATTGAAAGATGGTACCATTATGGCTATAACATTAACGGCTGGATTTTTGAATCAAATTTTAATCGGAACATTTACCAATGTTATTGTTTATTTCATTGCATTGATCATTGGATCAATGAGTGGACTATCAACAATCATATTGAAAACTGAAATTGCCAAATTGATTCCCAAAGATGAAGTGGGAAAAATTTTCAGTGTTATATCAACATTTGAATCATTGGCACCATTTGTTGGTACTTTAATTTTTTCAACAATATTTTCGGCAAGTGTTACGACATATCCAACATTGATTTATCATGTTGGCGCTGCTATTACATTACTTTGTTTAATAATGGCATTATTTCATGATTTATATTTTCATCATTAATTTATTTTTCAATAAATATAAAAATCCATTTATTTTTTTTTTTGTAAATCAGTAACCGCGGTCTTACTGTAGTTGATTGTGATGATTAAACAAGTGGCGCAGCTGATGATGATGATTAGATTAGAGAATTTGAAAATAATGATGTTGATGATCGACATCATCATATCGATTTTGGGAGATAATCAAAAATGTCTAAAATTTATCGAATATTAAGCCGAAATAATTATTTTCTATTCGATGTTTATATATTTTTGTCATTATTTACCTATGGTATCCAAGTATTAGCAACGAGTTTATTATTACAGGATAAAATATGTCGTTTACGTTTCAATCAAACCAAATATTTCTGTCAACATATTAATGAAGATATTTTTGTCGGCGCCGATCAAATTCACAAAGATCAAATTTTAGCTTCGGCTGCTCTGTTCAATAATTATGGGTAAGATTAATTGATTAATGACGTAACTAAATTGTTTTCGATCGAAAAACATATAGCAACCTTATACAAGCCATACCGATGTTTATTTGGTCATTATTTTTCGGATCGTTTTTGGATCGACAACCTGGTGCAACACGAATGATATTCTCATGGATCAGTGTACTTAGCGTATTAACCTCTGGTTTTTATCTGATAAATATTTTCTATTTTTCTATTGGTATGACATTATTTTTGGTGATAACCCTTTGGGTTGATATTTTTTTCCGAAATTCAAGATCCTTATTATTTATTGCTGACTGGAATAACAGCATATTTAACCGGTGGAATGGCTACATTTTTAACCGTCACTCATCGTTTTATGATCATCAATACTGATCCTGATTATCGTTCGTTGAGATTTACTGTATTTCAAATTTATTTAGTTGTTGGTAGGGATGCTTTGTTTTTTGAGTATCACCGAAAAACAAATGTTATGTTTTTTCTTTTTCGTTAGCTGTATCATTGGGTTCATTACTTGGTGGTCATCTGATTTGGCTCGAGACTGATGATGAGCAACAGCAACGGTTACGAAATTATCATCTTAGTATGTGGATCGCTTTAGCTATTTATTGTGGTTTATTCATCATGATCTTGGTCATTCGAATTGATCGTGATGAAAAACTAATAGATTCAGCAGCATCACAAATTGATGAATCGAATCCAGAAATAAATATCGAACGATATCCATCCGAAAACAGCATGGACATTGTTGTTGCTAAAAATCATCATCGATCTTCGATAAACTATGTTTGTCGTCAATTTTTCGATTTGGAGAATGTTCGACAGACATATCGTTGTCTTATTCAACCCCGAATGAATCAAATTCGTGAACAAATTCTATTGCTTATAATATTGTTATTTATGCAATTCCTTAATAGTTATGGTATGGATTCAATGTTTTTGCAATTTGCACAGAAAGTTTATCAATTTGATTCGAAAACCTATTCCAATGTTTATACGTTGTCGAAAGTGATACCAAGCCTTGGTCTATTGATTGGTTCGAATGTCCTGATCAATCGTCTTAAATGGAAGGATGGTACAATTTTGGCTTTAACATTTTCAACCGGATTTCTCAGCCAATTATTAATCGGTACATTTGCAAAACCTATCGTCTATCTGATCGCATTAGTTATAGGATCAATTAGTGGATTATCAACAATTGTAATGAAAACAAAAATTTCCAAACTAATTCCTAAAGATCAAGTGGGCAAAATTTTTTCAGTCATCTCAACAATCGAATCATTAGTACCATTCCTTGGAACGCTAATTTTTTCAACAATATTCTCAGCTAGTGTTTCAACATATCCAACATTGATTTATCATGTTTCTGCTTTTATCACTTTAATCGGTCTAATATTGGCTTTATTTCAAGATTTATATTTTAATTAATCAATCAATCTTACTATTTTTATTTAATCAACACATAATAATCAATTCTATTCATAAAAAAGGTCATGCATTTGCTGGCGATGATGATGAAAAATCATCTAAAAATTTTTCAATTTGTTCACAGGCTTTTATTTTCGAATCGTCGACACTGATTCGTTGGGCTGCTTTACGACATCGTTCTCGTATGTCATTATCATTGATAATTTTATCAATCATTGCGATTAATTGATCATGTTCGAAACGATAGGCTTCAATACGATCACCAAAACCTTTTTCTTTGATACGTTGTGCATTATCGAATTGATCAGCAAACAATGGTATTACTAGCATTGGTTTTCCAAATAAAATGGATTCGGTTACAGTGTTATTACCACCATGTGTAATAACCATATCGACTAATGGAAGTATACGAATTTGTGGTAGAAATGCCTGGCCCCACATATTATCAGCTAATTCATATTGTTGATGCAGTGCTCCTTTCGATACAATATATTTGTACGGTGTTTTCGATAAAGCTTCAACTAAACGTTTCATCAGCAAAACATCCATTGAACCATAAGAACCTAGTGATAAATAAATTAATTTATCATCAGGCTTCAGTTTCGATTGAAATTCTTCGGGTAATTGAAATGGTTCAGATTCCTGACGACAAAATGCATCCAATCGAATAAAATTATCAGGCATTTTACCAATAATATCAGTATAATCTAATTCTTTTGGATATCCATAAAAATTTAGATATGGTGAATGTACAAGAAAATTATCATCACTTGATTCAGGATAACCATAATGTTGGTTAAGTTTATTTTGAAAATATCGCATATCTTTTTTAAATGTTCGATTGAATTCATCAAGAAATTCAGCCCATTCTGTTCGATCATTGGATGGTAAACCTATCATGGCAAGGTGAACAACAATGAAAATGCAATTGAAACAAAAAAACACACAAACAAAAATCACCTGAACAAGCCGGTGGTATATCCGGATGATTTGTAAGCAAAAAAGTAGGATTAGCACTCAAGGAAAATGCCCATGGAATTTGGCCAAATGCGATGAATGGATCGACCAACATAGTATCCAAAATTATCAGATCCGGTTGTTCACGTTGAATAGCATCGACAAATTGTTGATGAATTTCGATGGTTTCATTATACATGTGGGTACCAATCGAATCATCACGTGTCGAATCAAAAATTTTCAATTTATCGATCGGTCGAACATCGGACAATATACCAACTTGTTGCAATGTTTTGATCATCATATCTATCGATTGAATAGGATGAGCATTTTTCTTTTCTTCCTCACCATCATCATCACTTTTATTGTCATTATTAGCTTGTTCATGTAGTTTGGTAGTGAGAACAATTTCTTTGAAACCATACTTCTTAATCATATCAACAAACATCAATGTGCATAGGAAATATATTTCATGTCCACGATTAAGTAATGCCTGTCCAAGCCCGATACTGGCATTCAAATGGCCAACACCATCAACACTATAGATGAATATTTTTCGTTTTCTTTCCTTCATCGCGATTGAGTCTTGTGAATAAAGAAAAGAAAATGATTTACTCCAAATTTATAAGTTTTTTTCAGCAACTAATGTTATCTTATCGAATCGAATGTACCCGCCATTTGTTCATGTTGGTTTAGTTTGGTTCGAATTGATAATTAATATTAGTTAAGATTAGTAATCTGTAATGAAACTAACCGTTAGGCAAAATGGATTTTGAATGAGCAAAAATGAATTATCTAAATTCTTGTCATACTTGGTACAATGAACTTTCAACCAATCATCCTACGCATTCTTCTTTCACGTTACTTTATAGGTGATGATGGTGATGCATGTTGTTGTTATTCCTTTAAACCTGCATTCATTCACCTGCTTGCCTGGTTGAATGATGCTTTTCCTTAATTGTGCAATCTATCTGGAGCAATTAACAAAGTTGAATGTGGAAAAATTCGGTCTATGACCGGTCATATAGCATTTCCATATTTGGTTTGTCGATATTGCAGTCGGTGATCATAATCACTCAATCAATTCAATTTTCAAACAAACATTTTGTTCACCATTTTCATTCTGTTGTTGACACCGAACAAAATTGTTTGTTTGTTCCCGCCATATGCCAAGGATGTTTGTTTGTTTTGTTATTTTCAACATTTGTTTTAGTTTGCCATAACAAAATTTCAATGACGTTTTTGGCATATGAATGGCATGCGTCGAATTCGAATGGAATGATCAATTTCGACGTGCTTCGACTCATTTGAAACATTTTTGATTTGCAAAGAATTTCGTTCTTTTCTTATCCAAACATTATCATCATCATCATTGATCATGACCGTAGTTGGGATATTTCACCCAAATGTTTTTAGATGACGTGATTGAACCGTGTTGCATCGTTTTCATTATTTGCAGATCAAACATCGAACATAGACATCGGCATAGATTAACAACAATCAGTCCGTTTTGTTCTCATTCAATCGATTTGATTGATCAGTCAGCAAGCCTTGAAATGTCGATATCTATCCAGTTGAAATTGATTGAATGTCAATATTGATGAACATTTTATATCGGTAAACATTTTGCAAAAAAAACGAACGACAGGAAAAAAGCAATCGTGTATATGGTGAAAAGGGTGACAAAAAATTTTTTTGTTGCCTTCACTATAATAATAAACATTTTTGTAAATTTAGCAGTGTTTGTCAAAAAATTCATCAAACATCACACTATTGTGGTTCTCTGTGTGTTCGACCAATCCTCAATTCATCAGTTGTTAAGTTAAGTTAATCAGCTTTCAATTGAATTCAATTCACATCACACGAAACACATCACCACCACCCAGACTAATTGTTGTTTGACAAATTGATTGAGAAATGTATAATTTTCGATGAAATCTATTCTATTTTGGTTGGTCGTACAAAAACAAAACAATGTCATTATCATCGTCCAATTGGAACAATGTAATTTCGATCATCTTACAGATATTATTATCGGTGCAAATAATATCCTGCCAAAATATCGGAATACATGAACTTAGTCATGATTATAATTTGAAAAAAATCAATGTCCAAAATGTACAGAATATTATATCATCATTAGATCAATCGATTAATTATCAATATCGTTATCAACCAATACCAAATACAACGGTCACATATTTTCTAGCCAAACCATGGCGTTTACGTTTACGTGAATTTCATGATCAAACTAATTATGTTCGAATTCTATATCGACAAACACAGATTCGTTTCGATCATATTCGTCAAACACATGAAGGTCTATATAGTTTATATCAATTCTTTTTTCAACAATCATCAAATCCCAATGACGATGATAATGATAATGATAATGATAATGATAATGATTACCAGCAACAATTATCGTCGTCAAACCATTATGGTCGCTTAGTACATTATCAACGTCGTGATTTCAATCTAGTCGTACAAGGTAAGTGAATTGAGTCAATAGGCTCATGCAAATACTCATCTGGTTTCTTTTATCTTTCCAAAAAGGTCTCAAAAAAGAACGAACATTCTGCCGAGAAAATGGCGAATGCGAAAGTGGTTCATGTCCGTCATTTTTTTGTGCTTGTAATCGCCAAACACCAGTATGGCATGAAAGTGCTCAAATCTGTTTGGAAAGCCGAAACATTAACGATACATGTGTTGATGATATTGAATGTCAATGGAATGGTGGTCCGCAATCGGAATGCTATAATCATCATGATCAATGGTCTCGTTGTCGATGTCGAACATCATCGGTTGCCATTAAAATTTCTAGCACACAATACCATTGTGTTCAATTGGGTGTGTTCAATCCTTTTTCTTTCTCTATTTTTTCGTGTTAATTTTGTTTTTGTTTTTGTTTTTTTTTGTTGTTTATATTTTGGGTGAAAATCTGTTAATCTGAATCTGAATATAGCTGAATTAGGACATGGATGTATCTTTTCGAAGCAATGTTCATTGTTGGGTGAAAATCGTTACTGTAATGGTAGCTATCGTTGCGATTGCCTTCCCGGTTATCATTCACATCATCAACATTGTATTTCATCCTCATCATCATCAACCAAACAAATCAATCGACTGCCAATATTTATTCTATCATCATTCTTAATACTGATTGTTTATTTTGGATAAAATCAATTAATTAAATTTTAAAAATAGCGCATCAATTTCATTTATGTTCGTCGTTTATGATTGGGCCACAATAGTTGCTGGCAATATTGCAAAATTGCATGGTTGCAGTTTGGATTGCCAAAAGACGACGCAATTTTTCGTAGAGTTTTTTCTTTGATAAATATGACATTTTTGTTCTTGAACAAACAAACAAACTAAACAATTTGTCGGTCATTTTCAATCGCACACATCATTGTTGAACAACAATTGGCTTATTAATCGATAACCAATCAACTTTTCATCTCGATTCGTATGTTTCATTTGATTGAAATGGATTGATCAATTTAATTGATTTTGAATGTAATCTTCTTGATAGGTTGCTGAAATCTTATATTTTGTGGTGATAAAAATGGAAGAAGAAAAGAAAGATGATAAACAAGCTGCTGCTGCTCCCGAAGCCAGTCCGGGCTCATGTAGTAAAGTTATGTCTCAATTGGATAATCTTGTCCGAAGTCATGGTGTACATGTGGTAGCAATGGCAGCTTTGGCCGTCATTGGTCTTCATCTTTATAATCGTTATGGTAAACCATCCAACTAGCCACTGAATTAGCCATCCAAAAAGAAATTCCTCTACTTATTTTTAAGCACCCAATCAGCGAATGTATTTATCAGATTGAAAATGTGAAAAACATTAAATAAAAAAACAAAACAAGATAATTATTTGAAAAAATCTAGTTTATTATATGGCCTTGCTCTATATATTTTTGCAAAAAAATTGATTTTGAATAACATTTCCTTTCATTTTTGATTTTCAAAAAATTTGCGTCTTGGTATCAAATTTTTTGTTTTTGTTGTTGTTGATCAATGCTGCTGTAATCAATGCCCACAATTTTTTCTGTTCGGATTCCATTAATTCATTAGATAGTGGTGGTTGAGGAGGTGGTGGTGGCGATACTAATGCCCATAGATTATCATGTTCAGGTTCTTTGGTGGCCGTCACATCGATATCAACATTGGTAATATCCGTCGATTCGGTTGTTATTGATTGTTTTTCGGTTGTAATGATCATCGGTGATGATTCAGTGGTTGCTGCAAGTGGTAATTTTGGTAGTGGTGGTCGTCGTCGTTCATCATCATATCGTTGCATTGTTTCACGAATCCATGGCAGATAAGCACTGACACGTGTATAGATTCCCGGAAGTTTTGGTAATGCACAACCAATTCCAGCACTAACAATACCAATAATGGTCGATCGTTTACTGAAATCATTGGTTGTCAACATTGGTGAACCAGAATCGCCTTGGCAAGCATCTTTACCACCTTGTTCAAATCCGGCACATATCTGTGTTGGTCTATTCAACGACAAAAATCAGTCAAAATAGACACCATCGTCTATTTCAACTTACCTGATGGTTAACATTTTACCCATTTCACGATACCAATTGATACATTTTCCATTATCAATAATGGGCAGATCAACTTGTTGAAGAGTATCGGCTGAATTGCCACCTTGTTTCAATTTTCCCCAACCAATAACGGTGGCTTTTTTGACCATTGGTTTCATCCATATACGATCCGGTAAACAAATCGGTTGAATATAATTACTATAGCGAATGGCTTTCGGTAATCGTATCAGTGCTAAATCATCTTGGAATGTAGTGAATGTGAAACCTGGATGTGGAATAGCACGAACATTATCCAAAAATATTGACATTGGTTCACTGTTGTTATTGATTCGAACATGGGATCCCAATTTCACTTGAAATCTTGGCGATGGAACACGATAAACACAATGAGCAGCAGTCAAAACCCAACGGTTATTGATTAATGATCCACCACAATGATGACGATTATTCAACAACAATGATATCATCCATGGATAATTACCGTGTATAGCATTCGAACCGTTTATTATTTTTGGATGACGATTATTCATTCGTCGACCACAATTATATTCATTAAGATTATTGTAATCATATCCATCGATAATATCATTTTCCATAGTAATAGTATTGGTCGTTGTTGTTATAATATCATCATCGTTGTCTGGTTTCAATGTTGTTATGCGAAGTTCTTCTGCTGATATGATCAATAATGATTCCATCAATATCATTATCATCATCATTTTGGCCATGATGAATGAAGAAAAATTTTATTGCTAATTTGGTGAACAACAACAACAAAACAAAATTGATCTCAAATTCTTTCGGCGAAACGAAACTGGATTTTTATATGAATCGAACCAACTTCAATCAACCAACCAACCAAATCTGCAAATTTTGTCCATCAAACAACCACACAAACCATCAAATGATTTTATCGTTGCTGTTTCAAGGATTAAAGCATCGATCATTGTTATCGGATCACAAGACAATGACAACGATCACTATTTTTCTACTATGACACCAGGATATGATGATGATCCAAACAAACCAAAACATTCAACAAAACTGACGGTCGAAAAAAAATTGAAATTAGGCTAAAAAACAACAACATTGTGCGATGAAACCTTGACCAAATTTATCGATATGATCATCATCATCATCAATGACCGACAAATCTGGTGGTGGTAATTTGATTCGAATTTGTCGAATGATAAAAATCCTTTTAATTGTTTTCAATGAGCTGTGTTTGAACGTTACAAGTACATCACTTCTTCTCATTTCACATCTCATCTCACATAACACTTCTTCGAAAACAAAAACAAAATCTTTCAATTCAATTGAACAGGAAACACCTGTGTAGTGGTTGATGGCTGATTCATGGCCGCCATCAATGATTTCAATGACTGGTGGTTGTCGTTGTTGTTGTTGATAATTGGCAAACAATCTTTAGCCAACATATTTTTTATCAAGGATGTTATGGCCAAACGTATCAAACGACAAATATCAATAACTAATTGACATTGATCAATAACTGTGATCAATTGTTTTCGCATGTTAATCGAATTGGGAGAATTCAAATTATTTTCATTTCCACCAATATCATTATCATTATCGTGCGCCTTATCGTCATCATCATCAATAGCATTATGGCAATATTGTTGGGGTATAGTGTACACTCGTGCAATATAACTTAGATGTTCTTTATTCGAATTTAAAGCCCATATTATTTGTTCGGTTGTCACCGATATTTGTTTGATTTGTTTCAACATTTCTTTCGATATTATTGCTTGTGACACATGATCCTGACGTAGTTGAGTTACAGTATTTTTTGCCGCTTTAATCGCTGGCATTTTACGATAAATAAAATCATGACAAGAATTCTACAGACAAAACAGAAAAGAGAATAGTAATAGTTTGAATAAATATTGAATATTACCATTATTTCTAATAATTTTTCACAAATTCTGGTTTCTAATGATAATTTTTTGATTGCATTCGATAAATTTGACAAACGATATTCTTTCATAATACGTTTTAGATGATTATCCAAACGCAATTCAATCAAATTTAATGACATTTTTGTCTGTTCAGTAAAATAGATTTTCGAAGAATTTTCACTCTCTAAAGTTGTCATCTTTTTTATTATTTTCAAAAACAAAAAACACTTTTTTTTACTTTTCAAGAACAAAATATTTCTGGCAAATTTATATATAATATTTATTCGAATAAATTAAATTTGAAAATTAGTAACAAACAAACAAACAATTAATGTTTCAGAATTTCACAAACAAAACATTATTCTAAAACACAACGAGGAATAATTGAAAATGGAAGCAATGGTGAAGATTGTTCCAAACGAATCGATGTCAGGTGGCATTCAATAGCGCGTTCATGTTCATTGATTGAATCAAGTGCACGACCCAGATAGCACCATGTTTCATGACATGTTGAATCAATATTCAAGGAATCTTTTAGATATTTTTCCGCAATAATTTGATTACCCAACATGTGATAAGTATGACCAAGTTGTTGCAGTGCTCGCGAATGCTTTGGATTGATCGATATTGCATTATGGAAATGTATCTTTGCATCATAATAATGGCCACGTTTTTTACTAATCACACCTTTTATATACATTAGCTGATGTGATAATTGACCAAATACAGCTACAGCACCATCATTTACGCAGGTTTCGGCTTCGTTAATCTAATATTCATAGAAAATTTCAAATTATTGAGACAAAGATGGTAAACAATGAAAAACAAACCTGATCTAATTGAAGAAATAACTCAACAATCAACAACCATATTTGCATTTCGAATGCCTGCGAACAGGGTCTTGTATTATCGTTCAATACTAGATTCGATCCATTAACACTGCTTGCTTGACTTAGATACAAACGATCTGATTGACCAAACGATAAATCGTGTGGTTGATGATGGACATTTGCTGCCGAATTACTATTGCCAATTGGAGCCGATTCTAATGATATAACTTCGCTCAATGTTTGTTCCATTCGTAATGACATTGTATCATAATTAATAGTCGGTATGAAGGAACAATATGATGCACGTGGACTTAGACGACGATTATCCTCACCACTAACCAAACGCCATTGTTTAAGCATTTCTTTTGCCGTTAACAATGCCAATTCATGACCATTTTCACAAACAATTCTTTCCAGATGAGCTTTCATGTACAACAGAATTAAATGTGATTCATATTCTTGTAATGCATTCAAACATAGTTCATATGCTTCATCATATTGCTTGAGACCGGTCAAACACAGGATTAATAATTGTATGGATGGTAAATGATGAACATTCAACAATAACGCAACCCGAACATATTTGATTGCATCGTTCAATGCACGTTGATGAGCTAGATGAAGTGCTAGATGGAAATATGGTAGATAGTCATTACCATAGACATCTTGTTCAATTGAATCATTCAAATGTGCAACCGAATTGGTTAGATATTTTTTTCGAAATTTTTTCGATGTTTCTGTATCGGATTCATATAGTAAAGCATTGGCAATACCCAACAGAAGATGAATAGAATGTAAAACATTTTGTTCACCATAAATTTCATCAATATGATTGATTAATGCTGATGATTCGTGCGATGATGATGATTGGTCAATGGCTAAATCCACACTACTTGTTATACTTGGCTTTTTATGATTTTCAATCAATTTTTGATAACGATTCAAGGAATCTTCAAGAATTTCTATGGCATCCTCAAAACGTTTCAATTCAGTTAGACATAATTTTGCTGCAAACAAACCGGGAATTGGATCTTGTTGATCCATTCGTATAACTTCTTTGAATAATAGAAAACTTCGAAGGGGACATTTTTTCGATTCCATTAATGTCAATGCAAATTGATACCAAACATGTTTTACTTCATAACTATATTTCATTGAACGTTCATAGATATCAACATAATAACATTGAAGTGGTACCAAAAACATGGTAAATAAATCCTGTATTAATAATACTTTATTCAATGATTGCACACGACTTTCATGAAAATCTGGACTACGTTCCAGTAGAACATGTAATGATGCCAATGCTTCGCTTAACATTAATAATAACATTACTTCTTCTTCATAATCTTGCGGCAGAAATAACGAATTGCCAAAATAAATTGGAGGATTTGTCTGTTGTTTAAGATGGTGTTCAGGTTTCTTCCATACACTACGACACATTCCTTTGATTAGAATTTCGGCCAATTCTTTGGATAATAATTGTCGAATATTGATTGTTGAATTTGTTTCACAAACATTTAGAATTCGACGACAATAATCGACAGCTCCTTGTGTTTGGCCATTTTTAATGAATATATGATGTGTTTTCAACAATGCACTTTCCAGAATACAACCCAAATTGACAATCAAATACGGACCACGAAGTTGAGTAATACCATGTACATATCTCATGGCCAATATTGATGATTTTTGTAAACAATCGATTTGTGTTCGATAACAATCTCTATCTTCGAATGTTGTTTGTTTTCGAAGTTTTGTTGGCCATTCTTTATCGGCGGATGATTTGGCTGCGTAACTATCGGCTAGGTCGTAAACTTGATCAATATATTTTAATGGCTTTGGATTGGAAATTTTTTCCAGTGATAATCCTTTTACTGTAAATGATTCGGCAATCAATTTGATTACACGAAGCGGTAGATTTCGATCAACATCCAGAATGGAATCGATACCAGAATGATGAATATAATTCAATGCTTCATTATAATCACCCGATATATAATAAGCTTTGGCCAGCAAAAGATTTGCATCCATCATCAACGGTGTTTCATCATTACCTTCGATACATTTTTTAAGGAAACTTTTCGCTTCATCCAATACGGTCGAATCGATTTCATCATTGTGCCGAGTTCTTGAATCACCGCCATTCTTTTTGGCGATTTCTTCCAAAAAAATTTCCAATTTCGCTTCGCCAGTAAGAAAATTTTGCAATTCTTTATGGTCGGTACTTTGTTGTGCTAGTTTTAAACATTGTTGCCAATTACCTTCTTCACGATGTTTTTCAATATCCATATCTGATTTTGGTCTGACTCTAGGTGAACTCATCTTTTCTGTTCATCATCTATGATCCAACTTCAACAATCAATCAATTATTCTTTTTCATTCACTTTAATTCATTCAATTTTTCACAATCAAAATTGATCAATCAAAAAAAACCAAAACAAAAAACAAATGACAATATTTGCATGGTCGTCTATTTCGACCCAATCAAATGTGTAAAATAGCTGATTTAGTGAAACAATATTGGGAAAAATAATAGAATGACAAAATGAGTACATGACGGACATATTTTGGAATCATAATCAGACCAGTTATTTCGGTTAAACCTAGAATTGAATCCGAAATAACAAACGATATTGCAGCCATTCGGGTTGCTGGAATATGATTCCAAATGTGAACAGAGTCTCGGTGAAGTGATGCACGATAAGCCATTGTGAGTATGATGAGAATATAAGCTGGGATTGTGATTTGTTGCCAATAATTCATTCGAATCAATTGATGATGAATGATAATATATGCCAAACTAAACAACATCACCACAATCAATAGATGAAAATATCGGAAATTTTTTACCTTCATTGCCGATATATAGAATATATGGGCCTTTGAATGATAAATTGTTAATTGATAATAAGTCCAATAGAATTATATATAGTATTTACCAATGCAAAGAATATGATACCATTTATCATATAGGATTTGGATATTTCTTCCATGTTCAGGATATAAACATCGCCAATCACTGATGCAACGAGACCTGCAGCAATTTTGGTCGAATAATCAAATCGTTTTGTCCATGATTTATTCTTAATGATTGTCCAGATCAGATAAAGGATGGGAATACATTTGGCACCATAACTTATCCATATTGATGGTATCCTTGGTCCAAACAAAGTGTATGGAAATGTTAATAGCAAATAATACCAATCGAATGTCTGCCACAACAATCACATTAATCATTCAAATGGAAAAAAGAGAAATTCTTTTAAAAACTTACATTCATGATGATACGATGATGTGGTGATGAGAAATCAATATGACTCTAAATTATTTTTGCTGGAATCCATACCGTTCATAACGACTATGATTGATTTTACTGCAATTTTGGATTGTTGGCTGTGAAAAAATTCTAATTGAATTTTTTTGTTTGTTTGATCAAACAATCGAAGCTTTTTGGCAATAAAAACTTCAAGTTTGATACAAATGTTGGAATATTATTGGGGATTTGATCAAATCGATCAAAAAAATAATAAAAGAATGGAAAAAAGTGAAGGTGAAGAGAAACGTTTTCGTGAATATTATGAACAAGATGGAACCAAAGTAATCGAAACAATAACATTATGTCGTATACCACCGAAAGGTGGCCTGTTTTCCGGTACAAATCTATTGGATGTTGATGCAAATTTTTACCATCAAGTATTGGATTATACGAATGAATTACGCGCTAAACATCAGGCACCACCATTGACATTGTTCAAAGATTTGAGTAAATTTGCACAGGAATGGGCAAATCATTTGGCCAAACTGAATCAATGCATACATCGTGATCAAACAAAATATGGTGAAAATATCTATTATAAATATCAATATAGCAAAATTACATTGAATGGATATGAACCTGTCCAATCCTGGTATGATGAAATTGAAGATTATTTTCCTTATTTCGGCAAAGATCCACCCAAATCAATATTCCATAAAGTTGGCCATTTTACCAATCTTGTTTGGAAAGAAACGAAGCGTATGGGTGTTGGTTATGCAAAAGGAACCAATACCGTATATGTTGTGGCCAATTATGATCCACCGGGTAATCTATTCACAGCATTCAAAGATAATGTTTTGCCGCCAATCGTCACACAAACAATTACATCAAGTCGAATATCTGCATTGATCAGAGAATCTCGCATGACGGTGGCAAGTATTTTGGAAGTTGATCAAAATTTTAGTCAACAAGTTCTAAACTATACAAATGATCTTCGTACTAAACATGGAGTGCCACCATTAGTATTACATCAATCATTGAATAAATATGCACAAGAATGGGCTGATAATTTGGCCAAATTGAATAAAAGTATGCCACGTGATCAGAATAAATTTGGTGAAAATATTTTCACTAAAAGCCATGATGCCAAAATTACATTGAACGGCATTGAAACTGTACAATCATGGTATAATGAAATCGAAGAATATTTTCCACATTTCGGTAAAGAACCACCAAAAACATTATATCCAAAAGTGACAAATTTTGTTAATCTCATCTGGAAAGATAGCAAACGTTTAGGTGTTGGTTTTGCAAAAGGAACCAATACTGTTTATGTTGTCTGTTATTTTGATCCACGCGGTGCAATACCGGATATGTTTAAAGATCAGGTTCTGGCATCAAAAGAAGTTGACTGTAGTACTACTTGTCGAATCGGACCAAAAGAAGATTCCACTAAATTGGCACCAACAAATGTTTTGGAAGTTGATCCAAAATTTTATCAACAATTTCTTGATTATACCAATGAATTACGGGCAAAACATCAGGCACCAGCAGTGTCATTTTATAAAGATCTTCAACGTTATGCACAAGAATGGGCTGTACATTTGGCCAAAATCAATCAATGTTTGCCACGCGAACAAAGTAAATATGGCGAAAATCTTTTCTACAAAAGTCATTATTGCAAAATTACTTTGAATGGTTTTGAACCGATTCAATCATGGTATAATGAAATTGAAGAATATTATCCACATTTCGGCAAAGAACCACCGAAAACTATATTTGCAAAAATTGGTCATTTCACCAATCTTGTTTGGAAACAAACCAAACGTATTGGTGTTGGTTATGCTAAAAGTGCCAATACTGTTTATGTTGTTTGCAATTATGATCCAGCGGGTAATATATTCAATTTATTCAAAGATAATGTTTTGCCGCCATTGCCTGGAAGTGATCAAAAAGATAAAAATAATCAACCAAAATCATTACAACATAAAACACAGCCAATCAATCAACAACAGAAAACAAATCCGGCACCACCATGATTAATGATTATGATAAATTTATTTTTTTTATTCTTTCAATTTTCGAATGTTTTTTGTTTTTTTGAAATTGAATGAATAGTGTGAATGATGAACAACCAAATCGATAGTATCGTCGAATTTTTCCTCAATAGCCATTCTGCTTAATGATGTTGTTGTTGTTGTTGATAGAATTGTTGAGTTTATGTTATGTTTTGTTTTTAGCATGTGATAATTGTTTGGTGGTGTTAACCTGATTATTATCATTTATTATGAAATGTCATCGATAATCATTATCAGACATATTGTTGTTGATTGAAAATCATTCATTTACCTCATTCATCACCACTTTGAATAAATCATGTCGGAAAGACGTTTTACACGGTTAAAACAAACACTTTCGGAACATGGAACAGCGGCTAAAACACGTGAAACAGTTTCACGTGAAATAAGACAATCATTGAATATTACAAATGAATCAACATTTCATTCTTGTATCGAATCCGATTATGAATGTAAAATTCGTCAATGGGATCAAGATGTTCGTCAACAAATCCAACAACATTATCACCAACAAACAAACGAAGAAAATGCAGATGATTCAGAAACATTGAAACCATCCATCGGTAAACATTTTGCCGAAAATTTTATCATCACCGATGAAGAAGATATCGAATGTATTGATGAACCAAAAAATGTAAAATTTGATTTTACTCGTTATTATAGCAAAGAAAAAATTCAAATAACATCACCATTCAGTAATGAATGTTTAAAACATTATATTGATTGTAAACATCATGTTCGTTATCGTTCATTATCTAAATATTTTGGTACAATGATCGACAATTCATCATCATTGACACCAAAATCATCGTCAACCGACTTTATTGCCAATGAAATGTTAACATCCAAAAGTTTTCTAACAAATTTTCCACTTCGACCGCACCTATTTGAATGTGAAGATGATGATAATGAATCGATTGGTAGCGGAATAACTGGCCAAAAAATGCTTATTCGTGAAGGTAATGCATCGGTTATTGACGAAAATGGTGATGGTAGCGATTTTCGTAATGGTTGGCTAACACTATCACGTGATCAGAATGATTGTTTTTTAACATTTTTCGATACCAGTCGTCGTAATAAAATTCTATGGCATTTGGAAATAAATCAAAAAGTACAACGATTATTATCAACCGATGATCAAGATCATCAATCGTTTGATAACAGTTTTCGAATAAATCATCATATTATTCGTACTGATTGGAAATTTATTGATGATTGGATTAAAGATATTAATTCGAATATTGTTGCCGAATTTGAACCTTATGAACAATTGGAAAGAATATTGAATCCTAATTGTTGCCAAAAGATTGGTGAAAAATTAAAAAGTTTCCATCTTATTAATAATATCAATCTGTTTGCTGCATATAATGATATGAATATGCGAAAAGATTTCTTCAACAAATTTATTGAAGATTTTAACTATCTGAATTTTCATACTCAAAATGTTGATAGCCTTTCGACGGATAAAGTGCACGAATTGAATTCTGCTACAGCTAATATATTTAGTTTTGTATTGATAATCAAATCAACTGATATAGCTATTTCATCCAATAATAATACTGATCGTTCTTCACGATTGAATGAATCATATTTTTATCGTATAGCATTATTCGATTGTAAATTAGGTAAACTAAGCGAAGAATTTCGTTATGTTGTATCGACGGATATTCATTCGTTGAGATCATCATCTATGGCCGATGGTAATCGTGGTTTTGATCAAAAATTAATGTGCACGGTTACGAAAGCATTATTCCATGTTGATCTTTCCCAATCGAATCCAAATGATCTTTATCTGGTTTTACGTGTGGAACGTACATTACATCCATTAAAGAATTATATTTGCTATCCAATAGTCAATATGAACAACAATCATCACAATAATAATAATAATAAAATTGCTCACAATTTAATCATGATCAGACAACATATCGAACCATATGCTTGGAGTATTCGACCATTATTTCATACCGATACGCTCAATCTGGAAACCAATTCTAATTTTGGTTTATTCTATAAAATGGATCAAAATCGTTTGTCAGATGAATTTATTTTGAATCTGTTGAATCATCATCATCATCAATCCACATCATCATCGACACGTTCACAAACAATCATACAAGGAAGATTGGAAATTGAATTGATTGATTGGAAAACATTTGAAAAACAACAACAACAAATGAATAAAAATGAAGAACAGGACAAAAATGCCGAAATTATTATATTTAATCCATCGATTTATCCGAACAAAACAATCATATTGGAAAATAATAATAATAATAATAATAATGTCAAACAGCAACAACAACAACAGATATTGATAAATCCGATTCTGGAAATTCAATCCTTGCGATTATTATCGAAACCTTATAGGGAATATTTTAATATACTTTATATTTATCCACAAAGTTTACGTTATGATTCACAACGAATATTTTCGAAAGCAAGAAATCTTTGTGTAACGATTGAAATTCGTGATACGGATAATGTAAATGAATCACCGCGATCATTACCAATCATTTATGGTCGACCACATGATTCTTCGCTATTTGTTCAATCGACCACAACATCGGTTTCGAAACATAATGTCACACCGGATTTTTACGAAGAAATCAAAGTAGCCTTACCACTAAATTTTAGTGAAAAACTTCATATTCTGTTTACATTTTCGCATATTTCCTGCAAAAAAGAATGTTCCTATTCGATTGTTGGCTATTCGTGGTTGCCAATTTCATCGGAAAAACGTCAGATTCATTGCCAAAATCTAGCCTTATCGGTGTTTGCTTCATTGCCTAATCAATATCTTTCCTGTCAATCATTGGGTCTTGGTAAAGGGCTTTCAATGCCCGATGTTAAAATTGTGGGCAAAGAAGTTTTCAAAGTATCTCTTACGCTAACATCATCAATAATATCTAGAGATTTTGAATTACATAATACTTTGTTATCGATTATTAAAATAACCAGATCTCATCGAAATGATTCAAAAGAAATATCATCCATTATTTCGTTGGAAAGACAAATACCAAAAATGATTGGACAACTAGCCGATTGTGACCGAGAAGAATTGATACATTTTTCACAGATAATTTTACAGCAATTATTTAAATTAATTGTTTATGCGGCTAGCCAAGAATTGATACAATCATCATTGAATACAATTATTCGTCTTGTTGATCGATTTCGTCGTGACAATCGATTGGATATTCTTCGTGAATTTATTGATTCTACATTTGAAACAGCCGAATTCTGTAATGTTTATATTCATGATCAATTGATTATATTGATCAATAAAATGTTTGAGCAATTCAATCCAAATCTTAAACAACAACAATCGATAGCGAATAATATGGAAGAAATGAAATTATTCCTAAGTAATATATGGTTTCTTTTGCAAATAATCACCAAATCACTGGTACAATATCTCATTCAAACTGGACGATTATGTTGGGAACGTGAAAAAAGATTTGATGAAGAATTTGTGGTGAATTTGAAATCATTTTTCGAAAATGCATCATTAGTTATTGCAATGAATTCTCGTTTGGAAGAAGTGCAGGATGCTAATCGAGCCTTGTCCTATTTTATGACCCGATTATGTTCCTTTTTGGATCGTTCCATTCTATTCAATGCAATATTTCATCATGTAAATTGTCTATCATCACGTGATATTGTTATACAGGAATTGAAATTCAATTCGATAGCTATGTTATTGGCACATGAACATTTTGTTTCCTATTGTAATCCAATGCAATTGGAAGATACAATAACATTGACAATAGACTTTTGTGGCAAACATTTTCCAGTATTTCTTATATTGAATGAATTTCGTTCATTGTATCATCAATCGGCAACATTTGGTGTTCGACAGATTCGACAATTAGCTTTGTCGATTATACGAAATCAATTAACTAAACACATGTTGGATGATCGTTATTCATCTTTGGAATGTCGTGAAAAAATTATCGGTTTATATTTACCAATATTATCGGTCATATTGGAAAATTGTAATCGAATGATGGATTCTACTTGCTGCGGCGGTAGCAATCCGAATACACAGCAGAAATTCCATTCTTCCTCAAAGCAATCTTATTCATCATTCGCAACGATTCACGAACAGCAACCAAATTCTATGGATGGTCTTAATTCGCTTTTGGTTCGATCAACATCGGAAATTTCCTCAACACTTGGCTCAATCAGTTCATATAGCTCAAATTCGACAATAGGTTCGTCAAACAATACATTGATCGGACATAATCGATCCAATTCTTCGGCTACTGCAACTTCGGCAACTACTTCGATAACATTAGCCGCCACCAATAGTAGCAATAATCAAGCTGTTCGTTTCGATAAATTCAGTAATGAAGAGATTCGTGACCTTTTCATTTGTTTTTTGTGCATTGTACAAATGATCAATGTTGATCGTATGAATTTATTGTCGAAAAAACAACTTAAAGATTTGTTTCTATGTTTGGAATTGGCTTTGAATTGTTTTGAATTTAAGCCGAAAAAATTGACGGATAATCGATCGAAAACAATGCCCAATCCGATTAGTACAATGTCGGCCAGCAATCTTAATCACCATTCTTATCAACATCATCATCATCATTATCATCATCATAGTGCATCGGCAATTGGGGAAAATCATCTTACTAGCTATCTATTGCAACAGAATCTATCCATACAATCAGCATTGATAACATTACGTACAATTCATCTTTATCTAGATAATGATCAAAAACCAATCGATCCTTCAATATCACAGATTTTATCAATCTATCTAACTTTGATGACATTGCCGCAAAGTCAAACAGTTTTGATACATTTATTCAATAGTATCAGATATTTTGTTCAAAAATTCTCTTTTCTTTTATTCCAATCGGATTCATTTCTTTCGCCAATCATATCGAAAGTGATTCGATATTGTAATTCATCATTGACTCCAATTCGACAAGGTGCAACCGATTTATTGGTAAGTCATTACAATGTTGTTGATGATGATCACTTATTTTATTCAATTCACAGTACTGTTTGTTTGTAACAAATATGAAACGTACACGTTTCGAAACCATTGTTTGTGTGTCTAGATTGGCTTCTAGCGATCCACATGGTTTGCTCTATCTACATTCATCATTGAATCGTTTGGAACAGTTGGCCATCGCCGATACAACACAACAACAACAAACCTCAACACCATTGATCATTGATGATGGTGAAGAGATATCTATCACAACAATTGTCGAACGTATTCGCGAAATATTGAAAGCAACCAAACAAATTCGTGAAGAATATTTTGATCCATATTCAGCATCGGAACTTCGATTACAATTGGCCAATTCTTATGCACGAACATCCAGATCGTTGTTACGAACATGGCTAGAAAATCTAAGTGAAGTTCATATCAAAAATCATGATTGGGCTGAAGCAGCAATATGTTTGTGTCAGGTGATAGCAATACTCATCGAGCAATTATCATCGAAAGAAATTCATATCATTGATGGTATGCTTAATATTAGTAAAGTATCGGATAATATTATGACTAAAGATTCGATTAAACGCGAATCTGATTGGTTGGAATTGGAAGAAAGTCATGTTTCGATCGATGTACTCGAATCGATCGTACAGGAATGTGTTGATTTGTTTGAAAAAGCTGAACTATATGAATTAGCGCCACATGTTCTGAAAGTTGTCATGTCATCATATGAAAAAGAATATGAACATCGTAAACTTTCTCAACTCTATACTAAAATTGCCAAAATGCATTCGAAAGCACAAGAGATTAATGATTCTGGTAAACGAATTTTCGATACATTTTTCAGGTATGGCATATTGATTAACGATGATTCATTCATAAGTTTTTTCCTCCTTCACACACACACAGAGTGGCATTCTATTATCTGAATACAGGACAGAAAATGGAATACATTTATAAGATGACCAAACTAGTTTCATTATCCGAAATGACAACCAAAATGCAAACATTCTATCCGAATGCAACCTATTTGGCCGCCGATTCACCAACAATTCAACAAATGGAATCGTCGACGACTGAATCATCATTGCATTGCGATCAACCTAATCTGAATACGAATAGTAGTAAGCAATGTGGCAATTTGATAATCGTTATTACTCATGTAACCCCGTACATTGAAATGGCGCGTAATCAATTTGAAAAAAATGTTGGAGTGCAACAATTTGTTTATGAACAACGTTTGGACAGCAAAATTGCTCAATCGGTTGCCGAACAATATAAAAAACGAGTCATTCTTACCGCTGGTCATAGTTTTCCTTATTTCCTGAAACGTATACCGGTTATTAGTAAAAAAGAAGTCATTCTCGATCCGATTGATGTTGCGATTGATGAAATGCAAGAACGTGTCTATCAATTGGAACATGTTATTATGAATCAAGATTTGAAACATTTACAATTGGTTTTGCAAGGATCTGTTCATGTAACCGTCAATTGTGGTCCGATTGCCTATGCAAATGCATTTCTCAAAACTAAATCGAAATCTCAAATAACCGATGATGATCAACCAATGGCCAATGGAATCGACGACGACGGCGATGATGATATTATGGATGAAAATTTTGATGAAAGTCAAAAACATTTGAAATTCTTATTTGAACAATTTCTAGACCTATGTGAAAGTGCCTTAAAATTGAACGAACGCTTAATCAAATCGAATCAAATTGAATACCACAATAATTTGAAACAAAATTTCGAAAAACTAAGATCCGAATTGGATTTTCTTAATCATCGATCATCATATATACCGATATTTGATGCTATTTCAGGTCCAACTTTTGCTCCTTTTTCTTAGCCGATGGTGACCAAAAAAAACTCTTTTGTATAAATTGTCTTTGTTATTGCCTTGAATTTGCAACATTGTTATTTTATTTTTTTAATGAAAAAAAAAGATTTGTTTAATTTGAAATCTAATCATAGAAAAATCCGGAGATAAATGTTTGTACAACTTGGCTTTTTTGCTCTCCATCACAACTCATTGGGTGTTTGAATGAATTGAGTTGGTTTCAGGTGGCGAATGAAAGACGAATGAAAAAAAATTCAAATTGACACATTTTGAATTGAGAATGAGTTGCGATCAATCAATAATGAGGGATGAAATGAGTTAAATGGGTAAGCATTATCTTTTATCGCTGTGATCATCATCATGTAGCCGATATTTGGATGGGAGACGTTTGAAGAATGGATGATCCAATGCATCCTGAAGACTGAGACGATTATTGGGTTCATATTCCAATAGCTGTGATATCAAATCGAATAGATTACGATGATCTTCATTGTCCGGTTGAAGAATGTAACGATGCAATGGTTTACAATTCTCTCGTACATATCGGCCAGCGGCCGATCGTTCATCCCAATCCATCAGTTTTCCATGATAAAAATATCTGGTCCTTTGGAAATATCATCATTAAATTTTGTCATCAAAATCAATTGAAAGAGACTTACTTTGATTTTCGACTCATACGATAGGGCAGAGGACCGAGAATACGTTCCATCATGGCTAAATGTTCAAGATTATCGTGTGTCTGGAACAATGTCATTCCTTGGTATAGTTCGAATAGAATACAGCCAATACTCCATACATCACAGGGATGGCTCCAGCCAAGTTCGAGTATAACTTCGGGTGCTCGATAATGTCTTGTCGAAACAATTTTACTATGATGTTCATAGTCGAATGTGGCCGAACCGAAATCAATCAAACGAATGTCCGTATTTTTGACTCTACGTATTTCTTTACGCTATGAAGAGCACAAGAGTTAATGTCAAATGAATGAAATGAATGAAAACTTACCTTTTTGGTGAGTTCGACATCATATTCGGAATTGAGAAACAAAATATTTTCCGGTTTCAAATCCGTATGAGTCAATTCATTTTCATGTAAAACTGTCAACAAAAAATAATTGAGTCAATCATTCGACTTGCAATCATCGACTTACATTTAACAGAGAATATCAATTGATAGCCAATATGGCGAATCTGTTCGATGGGATATGGTTGAAAATTGTTGTCCTTCTATATAAACAAAATTGACATGAGAAATGAAATAATACTGAGACATGTTGATTTTGTTTTACCATAAAATCAAATACAGAAAGACCGAGCATTTCGAATGCTATACAAATATGTCCATGATAATCGAACCAATCAAACATTCGTACGCAAAGACTAGTGATTAAAAGGTTAATGTTTGTCAATCATGTGTGTTTCATCACTTACTTTCGACCTTTTGGATCACGTTCGGCAATGGTTTGCAAGACTTTAATTTCAAACATTGCCGCTTCACGATATTTATCCACATTTTTAATGATTTTCAAAGCCAAAACATTGTTACTAGCATAGGAAAAATATGCAACAAGACGATTAATTTGTTTGTTTGTCTCCTTTTCGACTACTTACGTTTTGAGATTACGAACACGAACCACTTTGCCAAATGTACCTTCACCAAGTGTAGCTAGGATTTCATCTACAATCGGAAAACAAATTTGATGAAAAGAAAAAATATTTTGGGCGAAAAAGACTTACATCGATCTTGAAGTATGTCGCCATTCTTGTAGATTAAATGTCCATGTTGATCATCTTCGATGGTTGTGGTTGTGCTTTCAGTGGTATGATGTTTTTGATGATAGTTGTTGTTACTGTGATTATTATTATGGCCAACAATTCCTTTACGATGACTATGATGATCACCTTTTTGTTGTTGATGATGCGTTTGTTGTTTGGAAGTTCGATCTTCATCACTTGTTCGTTCAGACTGTTTACCAACATTATCATCATAGTAATTATTATTATCCAGATAATGATTCGTGAATAAATCCACCGGTAATATTAGACAACAGGAACCGGGAAAACAACGAAAAACCATCGTGGATTCGGATTGGAACAAAAAAAAGAGATAAAAAGAATGGATTAGTTGTGGTCGAAATCAAAAAATTGAACAAACAAAAACAATGAAATGATTTGAACGACGAGTGTCATTCACACTTGTTGTTCATTCATAGTCCTAGGGGTTAATAACATTGGAAAAATCAATGTGAGAAACGCTGCCGCTTGTTTGTATGTTAAGTTAATACCCTTGCCTGGATGATGGTTTGGATTAAAGCTAAATCAAAATGTGTGGGTGATGATACCCCCACACATGGAAACACACATAGCAACACTGTTCACTAGCGTACAATACGAACCGAATCATTATGATCGAAACCTGAATCAAAAACGCGTGTATAATTCCTTGAAATGGATTTCTTTTGTGTCAAATATGACCTATATGGTGTGACCGTTGTTGTTGTTGTTGTTGGAAATTTCTTTTTGGCCATTGAAGACGAAATTATGGATGAGGATGATTCTTTAGCACCACCTCGATACATGGACGGTGTATACATTGTAAGACCGTTACCATAAAGTCCTGAAGTAGTACTTTTATATCGCAATTGATAACGATGACGATAGTCGTCATTGTTTTTGCTTGGATCAGTGAGCAAGGTGGCTGCTAATCGTGAAGAGGAGGAAGAAGATGGTGATGAATAAGTTGATTGCTTCAATGAGGATCGTATTTTGGCTGTGGAACATTGGCTGCTGTCAGTAGTGGTTTGAACTGAAAATGGATAACGAAAATGATAACGATTGTTGGTGCTACGAGGTGCATACGAATTTGTGACTGGATTGGCTGATGATGTAAATGTGCCGGATAAATAAGATCGACCGATATGAGTGTTATGATGATCACTACAGGATAATTTGGCTTTCGTATGATATTTAGTCGAATCATTAATCGATAGATGAGTTGTTGTCGGATATAGCGGTGGCAATCGACGATGATAATGATGATAATCAATAATGGATGATCCATTTGTTGGCATATTACGATTGGACGATGATGTCATTGCTTGTTGTCGATATGTGGATTGAAGGTAGTGATTATTATTATTATTATTACTATTATTATTGTTATTATTATTGCCATATCGATATCTATCATATCCAAAATTATCATGTCCATTATCACCACCATTAATCATTCGATCAGCCACATTTTGATCATTGAGGCAAAGTTTCGATTTGAAACGTGATAATAGATTCGTACACGTCGAGGTAAATGATGACGATGTTGTTGTTGGTTTGGACGATGTATAGGATCGTGCTAATTGTAAATTTCGTTCACGAACATTATCACTATTATTATTCACACCATTCCTGTCATTATTCAAATCATTCATCAGATACGATTTACGATGATAAGACGACGCTGTTGACGATGATGATCCGGAATAACCGGAAGAAGAACTGGCTAACGAAGCTGTTGAGGATGTTGAAGATGAATAATTGAGTGGATATTTTCGTTCAATATGACAATAATAACGATTCGAATCCATCTTGGTTTCGTTATCCAAATTGTAATGTTTAGGATAATAAGAATTCGATTGATAATTGCCCATTCCAGACTCATAATCTTCCGGATGATAGCGACGATAAGAAGATGATGATGTGCTGCAATACATTTTTCATCCACATCGATGTCAACAGGTGAAGCCCGTTACTTTGAATGACAAATGATTTATTTCTGGTCGATGGTTTTATATTGTCAAGTTTTTCAGGAACCAAGCCGATGCAAATGAACTTTTAATTAATTAATATTTCTCGAGCCAAAAAAAAAATCAAGCAAATTCTGGTTTCTGGCTCCAAACAATGTTGATGAATGAGAAGGAAAGAAAATTTGGAGAATTATCAAAAAGATTTCGAAATGGTGTGTTTGAGCATCACATCACAACATCGAATTACCCAACTCAAAGATAACATCGAGGTCGATGATCACTGTATTGGTTTTGTTGAAAAAATGACTTGAAAGAATCGAAAATGTTTGATGATGATGATGATGAGAATGCAGGAAGTTTTTTCCAATTCAATCTTACAATGATGATGATTCGATGAGATGTGCGCTTGCGATTTGACTGGCAACGTTTTTGTTTGGTTTGTAAAATGGATATTTTAGAATTTATTTTTAGAATTTTTTTGGTCGGCTTTTTTGTTTTCGAAAAATGTTCTCTCCACACCATCATCACACAATGAAGATGGAAATGCAATTTGTGTTTGAATTTGTCCAATTTTCATTGATTAATTGATCGAATGTTGTTGAAACGAAAATTAAACTTGACAGGCATTCTTTTAATATGGACAAAACAGACAAAATACACGAGATTTGTGTGAGCAAACAATTGGATTATCGCATTATATTGGCTGTGTCAAATATAAAACGGTCACTTATTTTCGAATTGATGAAAATGTTGCAGTTGGATACATTTACGACAAACACACAGTGATGATGCAATCTCAACAGAAGAAATCGTTTGACGAAATGAATGAAAGTAAGATTATTGTCATCAAGCAAGCAAACAAAATGCAATGCTATCATCATATCTTCAGGTCGGGTTCGGGTCTAAAAATATTCAAACAGTCAATCTGTAATTAACATTTGGCTCTCATATAGGTGACAGACACACACACTGATCAATGATTGTGTCATTTGCTCAAAATCATTTCACACTCAATGAATGAATGTATGGAGGTGGTGGTGATTTATTTGATTGTGAAGTTCATCCCAAAATCAGAAACTACCAGTGGTGGAAAGAGTCAACAAAAAGAGTGATAACTTTCGGCCCGTGTTGCACAATATCGAATGTGAGCTTGATAGACTTTCATTGATGATTTGATTTGGCAAAAGAGAATATGATTAAAGGTTATTATTTAGAGAAAATCACATCTTCTTTTTCTTATCTATCCAAATGGGGTAGGCTGATGATGATGACATAGTAATAAAGTAACATTTACAAACTTGTTGCACTGATTAATCAGCACTGGTTTGCTTGGCTTATTTTCGATGACCGAAATGATCAAGATGATGATCGCAGTGACCGAAAAAATAAAAATTAATTTTCTTGCTGAAAAAAATTTGCGTAACCAAAGATGAATGGTGGAGATATCGTCGTTTGGTTTGATTTTAATATTTTGTTCAATTGAAAAAGCCCAAATGAGTGAAAAACCGAAAATAGCAGCAACATTCAAATGAAAACATTGAATTGCTATAAATCTTTATGATCTCTATGATGGCACTATCAACGCCAAATGTGTGCAAATCGAGGTTATCAATGGTGATCGTCGCGTGTTTTTTTGCTGTAAGAGTGTCTTACATTATTTTTACTAGGAGTTTGCGTGCCCATGTATCATGTATCATCATGAGTTAGATGTGATGATAATCAGCGCAAACAAGATTGTATTGGGGCGTTGTTGTTGGTGGTGGGAATGGGATAACATTTTGAATGATAAAATCGAAGTAATGTTGTTGTTGTCTGTCTATTATTCTTGATTGAAGAATGTTCTGCTGACAAACAACAATCAATGAACCAATCAGAACTTGTAACAAGGCATTGGATCATTTTACACTAAACAACCAATTCCAATCAATATAATCATTATGCATGCGAAAAAAATGTCAGCAACTGGAAATAATCCTTAGAAAACCCACACACACACATAGTATTTCACCACTTTCTCTAAAACCATCATCAAATCTCGAATCTAGGTCAAATCTATCCACATTTAAATCTGAAGAAAAAACAACATTTTTTGCCCAACATTTTTTTGGATTTAAAAAAGATTATTAAACAAAGAAAACAACAAAGTTATTAAGGTTGACTAAAGAAAGAAAAATTCCTGAGTGTTTCCTGTTCCTGGGTGATGAGAAAATGATGAGGGAAAAAATAGAGCGATAAACATCAACATTACTGGCATAGAATCAAAAACAATGTGACAACAACATCCATTATCATCAAACAAACATACACAACATACACACATACCATAATTTTTTTGATATAGCCATTCTCATAGACGTAATAGAAATGGTCCAAATTTTTCATTATCGTCGTCGTCGGTTGTTGATGATGATGATGATGATAATGTCCATTGAGCTGAGGATGATGATTGTGATGAAGGTGATTATGACCCATCATATGATTATGATAGATAGCAGTAGTGTTGATTGTAGAATTATTGTTGATTGTAGCATTATTATTGAAGTAGGATTTATGATACCAGAATGGATCACCTTTTGGCACGTAGCGTTGTTGTGGTCGTTGTTGTTGCTCAAGTTGCAGATGATAATTTAGATTACGATAATAGGATGATGCTGATGATGATTGATTGTTCATCATATTATTATTATTAACAGTTTTACGTGATACATTGATTTCTGGCGGTGGTGGCGATAAAAATGATTGAACAGTTTGTATGGATTGATCCAATGATTGTCCGAATGTTGACATAAAACGTTGTGCACGTTTCCGGGTCCATGATAATATTGAATGTCGTTTTTGTTGTGAAGGCTGTTGTTGTTGCAGTGTTGACTGGGGCGGTGGTGAGAATATTTTATCAACAACTTTAAGATGAACTTTTGGTGTTTGTGGCAATGGCTGTGGCGACCATGGAATCTTTATCAATCGTGATGGTGGTGGCTGAGCTGATTTTAGCAATGCGGGTTTCATGTCCATGTTTATCATAGGCTTGATTTTCGATCCCGAATTATTTGACGATGATGATGATGATACCTTGCGTGCGAATGAACGGCCAACCGCATCCGGATTACTAACCAAACTGATTGATGGATCATCATCAGTATCGTCATCATCATCATCATTATCTTCGGTCAAGGTTGTTGTATCCTCTGCTGTTGGTTGTCGATCAGCATTATCATCATTATCATCATCATCATCATCTGAACCGGAATCGGCATCCAATCCATCAGCACCCACATTATGACCAGCATCATCCGATTCTTCTTCAATAATTTCGAATGAATTATGTTTGTCCAATGTGGGAGATTTCATTTTCGATAATGATCGTTGTTGGTCATCTCTAGCCAGGCAACCATTTTGCGCCGTTCGCGCCATCGAAACATTTCCACCGATAATAATTGCATCCGGTGATGGTGGTGGCAATAACGGATGCAAAGAATCCGATTGATTGGCTGATGAAACATAATGATGATGATTATTATGATTACTATTGGCCAATTTAGCTGATGATGTTTTGATGGATTGATTCATCACTGTGTAATCATTTTGGCAAGAATTTCTACGTTGTTGTTGTTGTTGCTGAAGAAGCATTTGCTGTTGCCTGAATTTCTGTTGATTATGATCTACCATTGACATGAGCATCATTTTGTTGTTTGGTTTGAATTTCTTTTCATTAGTCTTTTCTGTTGCATAAATGATGATTTGTTGATTAGAATGGATTCAATGATAAAACTGTCCATAAATCGATTCAGGCAACAATTCCATATGGCAATGAAATTCAACAAGTATATTTAGTTGTTTCTTCTTGCTATTCACTCAATTGTATATGGTACGTTCATTTGATGATATTGGTTGCCATCGACCAAACCAAAAATAGAGCACAACAATTAAAGAAAAGGCAATATTATCATCATTAACGACGTAGTAATAGCATCATCATATTTCTCTCATTGACAATTCAAACAATGTTCGGATTTTGATGTTGAAAAGAACATGGACCACCAATATCCAAAATAATTAACCTCTGCTCAATTGTTAATGAGTTGGATAATGTCCGCAAAAAAACAAAAATTAAATCAGAGAAGATGTGATGCCTTGTTGTGCTATAATAACATTCGACTTGGCTATGATGGATATTATGATGATAATTATTAAGATGATCGTCATCATCATCATCATCATCATCATCATCATACGATTCACAGATTCACAATTCTTGTTGCCAAAACAGATTGGCAACAACCAACAACAACAACAACCAACAGATGCAACAATCTTTACCGGAGAAAAAAGGAAAATTCTTCAAAAATGATGATGCCATGCTCAATACATTGAAATTCTTGCATTTTACCAACAAGAATATGAAACCATTCTTTCTCACTCTCTTTCACATTGGCAACTTGATTTACAATTGCAAGGAATTGCGAAGAATGCATGCGCATAATATCAAATAAATTAATCAATCACACAAAACAATAAATGAAAGCGAAGCGGCAAAACTTACATGATCAATTTGATCGGCAAAACGCACTTTATGATGATCATTGATCTGATTGTTGGGATCGATATCATCATCATGGTCAATGAGATAATGATCATAGGAATTTTCACGATATTCTTCCCCATCATCTTCCTCGTGATAATCACTAGTACTTTGATTAAGATTATCATCATTATAATTATCGATACAATTCCTTCCAACATCATCATTAAGCGATTGATGTTGTTCCCACCAAAAATGTTTCGAACGTCGTCGTCTTTCCAGATATTCTTGTTGTTGTTCTCGTAGTTTTTGCAATAATATTTCTGGATCTTCAGCAGCTTCATCATCACCATCATCATTATCATTAGCATATTCATCAAAACATAAATCATTATCGGGCCTAGATGGTGGTCTAGGTGATGGTGTCGGTTCAAATATTGGACAACGTTCATCGATTTGTGGAACGAATCCCGAAATGTAATAAAAATCAATAGATAAAACTAATGGATATTCATTGATTTCAGCATAGGAAATCCAACGACGACGTTGTAGAAATCGAGATTGCCTAGTCGATTTAACCGATGTACCAATCTGTCGGACTTCAACTTGGCATTCAGTAAATTCGCTTCGATCAACAATTGGTGGTGGTGATGGTGATGGTTGTTGTTCAAAGGGTTGATTGATGATTGATTGAAAGGGTTGAATCCAATTCAAACAATCAGTGTTGGTATCCATCATAGTATGGAATAAATCCTGATACAAATCGATAAAATGCCATTGATTGGAGCCATTATCGATAAACAATTCGGTCGTTTGTCTTTTCATTTGACGTTGCCACCATCTTTCATCATCATCTTCATCAATATCATCATTATCAGTGATTATGGGGCAAGGTGGTGTTTCGATGATGTTTTCTGATTCAAATGTCACGGGTTTAAATTGTTGGAAACAATCATCAAGAATATTAGCGGTTAATGAATCGACAAATTGTATGAAAGCTTCACTATTGGAAAACACTATTTGTTGCATATCGATTGAAGGTTTATGATCATCAATAATGGCATTAGAAATGTTTGGCGGTGTGGTGGTATTAGATTCATCAATCATGATAATCATTTTAATATCGCCAATAACTTCATTCAAAATGTTCAATACATTGCTATCGTTAATTTTGACATCATTCTTACGACAATGTGCCAAACAGGCATCTTTAATCAAACGGATGAGACAATCATCCGGTGATTGATTATCATCATTATTATCCATTATTTTATATGACGATCGTCGTCGATGATGACCAACACTTTTCCATGAACCACGACGTGGTGAGGACGATAACGGAGATGGTGGCTGATCATCATTGTTGATTTTTGAATTTTGTGAGATCAATTCTATATCACTGATAGTGGTGGTGGTTGTTGGCGGATAATCCGCATTACTATTCGGTGATGACATTATTGTTGGATTCAAACAAATTTTCAATTCATATTTGGTGAATCAATGATTATCCAATGGAATCAAATGAGATTATACTAACCAACCAGTTAGATTAGTGAGAGTCGTTCATCATAATCATCACCATCATTATTATTATTTTTCATGTAAACTTCATCATCATCATTATCAGGCAAACAAACAAACAAAATAATCAATGACGACAAACAAACAAGTGTTGTGTGCGAATGATATATGTAAATCGTGAAAAAAATGGGCGAAAAAACTGTTTTCCATTTCCATTCAATCCTCCAACCATTCAGAGTGAATGAGAAATATAACTGTAAAATAGTAATTTAGCATTGTTTCTTGCAAATAATGCTCTACATTTCCCTTTCATTGACTGTCAATCAATTTGCTAAATCCATTCGAAATGATTTGATTGATGTGTGTGTTTCTGGATCAAAATCCATTAAAAAAGGATTGTTAGATATGAAAAGTGGAAGGATAATGATATGAAAAAAATCGATCATATACTGTATACATCAACCTTGTACGGTTGTCTTCTTCCAATATAGGTGTAATGAAGAGAGCAGGATTTAAATATGGAGTTTGACTTGCAAAGACATTTCATATCTAAATGGCTGATGTTTCACTACCATTTAACACACTCACACACACAATGAGATTGTCAGCCAAGATTTTTTGTTGCGCTCAACTTTCGAAACAAGAGACGACCAAAACTACACAGAAAACATTGTGGATTGGGGATAATAATTTGTAATGAAGAAAAAGGGTAAATCTTTTCGAATGGCAAGAATGATATTTTCCTAAGGTATATGTCATTATTGAAATCGGGCTATATAGCTAAAAATATCATCATTTTCCACTATTCATCAAATGATCAGTTCATCCTAATCAACCGAAAGTGATCTAATCACTGAGAGATCAAGATCAAACATTTCTGATATATTTTTAGAAATGCGACTGGCAGTTGCTTGTTTTTTAAGAAAAATCTAATTAAACCAATGATAAAAACTTACCCAAACGGAAACGGATTCCGAGTTGAGTTTTCTTTTTCTTCTATCATAAGATCGTGCTGTTGTTGTGGTGGATCTTGATCTTGATAATGATGATGAATGTGTATATATCGATGATGATGTTTCTGTTGATTTGGATTTTGAAGATTTCGATGTTGTTGTCGTTGTTGTTGGTAGCGATGATACTGATGAACAACTTGATGATCGATCAATATAATCGTCATGCGGTCGTGTTGTTGGTGGTGGTCGATTGTTGTTATTGGCATGGTGATGGCGACGATGATCCGATCGACTACGACGATGTCGATAATAATGATGATGACCATTATCATAACCATCATTGGAAATTTTACGTCTTTTATTGGATCTGAAAGCAGCATCATCATGATTGGTATGATCATCATGTCGTTTTCTCCGACTAATGATTGACTGTTTGATTGAATCATTATAATATTGTCCATCATGACGATGGTACTTTCGTTGTTGAGATATTGACATTGATGGTTTTTCATTTCGATATCGATAATCATTAGAATGTCTATTGTGATAATCGGAAATGGGTGATGAAGATGAGATAGCATCACAACAATCCTGTGATGATTCAAACGATTCTGCATGATTATTGTATAGATTATATCTGCCATCTAGTCGTCGTCGTTGTCTATATGAAGATGGCGGTGATTGTTGCTGTTGTTGTTGCTGACGTTTTCTATCGCTAATTCGATACCTATTCACCGAATCGCTGTCATCATAGCGGCTAGAATGATTATTTCGATAACGAGAATTTCGATAATAATCTGTGTGTGAAAATGAAAAGGTAGATGTAATATCTGGAAATCAAAGGAAAGCATGGTTACCTGAACGATTATTTTTATATGATAATGATGTTGAGGATGATGAATATTTAGATGATGTATGATGATGATGATGATGATGATGGTAATCAGACATGGTTGATGATGAATATGTTTGTGAATCATATGAAGCACGATATCCCATACTGTTTAAACGTCGACAATGATGATGACGATCATTGACATTACAATTAATTTGATTGCTATTATTACAATGCAAAATATCTTTCAATTTGGCTGCTTTATTTCGAACCAAATTGGAAATTTTCGATGATTTGGTTTTCACTAAACTTTTCAATTGTTGACGTTGACGAATTCGACTTGAACGTCGAGGCAATTGACTATTCTGTTGTTGCAGTGATTTGTCAATCAAAATCTGTTTATGGTGTTTAGTGGTGGTTCGAATAATTTCTTTGTAGAAGCGATTTTTAGTGGTGGTTGTGGTGGTACTGGTCGTGATTATCAAATTATTGTTTTCCGATTGTTTTGTTGGATTTTTCACTAATAATGATTGTGATGATGATGAACGTGGAACAAGGGAAGAAGGAGAAGGCGACGATGAAGAATGGGAGATTATTGATGATTTGGAGATTTGATCATTATCATTACCACTACTACCGGTAGGTGAAGACAAAGCTTGCTGTTGCTGTATGGCAAATTGTGTAGCTCCAACGATAATGAATCGTTTTGCAAATCGAACCAAACTATCCAAGATGAACATTGAATGATGATGTTTATTCTGCTAGGATATGGATGGTCGGTTCGAAATGGCAACAATCTCAATCAAAACACATCGATTCTTTCTGGCAACAAAAATATTGTCAAAAAAAGGAAAAAAAGCCAAAAATCAGTTTTGAGCTTCGAAATCATTTGAAAGATTACCATTATTCTATTCATTCATAGACAAAGACAATTTCAATTTGTTTGAAGTTTTTTATGGCAGATTATTTATTTATTTCAATCAAAAAAAATCAAAATAAAAATGAAATGTTTATGATAAACAACATCAGATAAATTCAAGATTCACAAGACAATCATCAATCATATAGGAATAAAAACACCAAATTCTTTGATTTGTTCGCTGGTGATGGTTTCCAAGTGTTGATGATGATTGAAGGTTGAAGAAAAATGATCGGCTGTTTTATAAAGGTCGTGGTTGATGATGATGCAATGAAACAATCAAGATGGTCAACGATCGGCGTTTCAAGTGATGATGATCATGTACATTCTGGAACTGGCTGAATGTCTTTTTTTATTTAATCTCAATCACACCGAATCTGGTCTGATCTGATAATTTCACAATTTCAATTTTGTTTTGGCCAAATTATTTCAACAAAAACGAAACAAAACAAAAAAGTTATCAATCATCATCATCATCGTCAACAATGAACTCAGAGTTAGAAAAGAGCATTCGCCACTCACACCACCATGCGCTAGTGCTGCCACCATTCGAATGTTTGTTGTTGTGAGAGCACATTCCGGTTTTCATTTATAATTCGAAATCGACATGCGCACAAAAGAAAATGAATTATATTCGAATGCAATTTGTTATGAAAATTCCATCAATTTAATTTTTTTGTTCGGACGTTTTTGTTGTTGTTGTTGTTGATGGTGGTGGTGGTGGTGGTGGTATTACACCAAATTTTATACGACCAATTTTATAACGTGCTCGTCGTTCACTTAGATCGGATTGCGTAACAACCAATCGCCGGAGATTTAATTTCAACGGTTTTGTAACACGAAGATCTAATGATAATCGTGACGCTTGTGGTTTTTGCTCATCCGCACCATCCGAACGAGTTGAATCTTTACTTTTCAACCATTTGGAAAATTGTACCATTGTACGATACCAACCATCCGAATACCAAAGAACGAATGGACCATAAACCAGTATTAACAATGTTAAAAAAATCAATAAATATCCTAAAAGAAGAAGGTATAGAGAAAAGTTAGTTAGCAATATTGGGGCGAAATGACAAAAAACCTAGTTGATCGGTGCCCGCCAAAGCTAGATTGTGAAAAAATCCCAAATCCATTCTGTTTGACTGGAACAATCAACAAAAGGGATTCATTTTATAATAATTTTTCTTTTATTTAATTAAATTTATAAAGAATGTCGGTATTTTAGAACTGAATCATGCCATAATCGAATCAATCTGGTATTGCAGACAAAACAAACCATTTTTTTATACAAATCTCAATCTGTAGACAACCAAATTTCAAAGAAGATTCGGCACAGCTGCAGCCTGTGTCGATTGTTGATTAGTGGTCATCATTACTGTCGATGGCTGCGGTTGTTGTGGGGCGGGAGGATGATTAGGCGAAAACATGATCGAGCCATTTGGAGATGCGTTAGCAGCCATCATCATTTGCGAATGTTGATAAACACCAGGACCGTGTTGTTGATGCATTGTAGTGGCATAGGAAGCAACTGCAATATGATTAGATGGATAGATTGTTGGTTGTGGTTGTTGTGGATTGCCCTGTGCAACAGAATTATGACCACCATAAGATGCTGTGGCTGTTGCTACTGTGGTGTTGTTGATGGTCGATGTCGTCGATTGGGATTGATAATAATTATTTTCAACACTGTTAGGTTGCTGATGCATATAGGATGATTGGGGCATAACACCATTGACCATTGCGAATTGTTGTTGTTGTTGACCAGCAGCATTGTATGGATTAATCTGTAAGGATGCCATTTGTTCCATAAGAAAGCTTTCTTTCATCAAATCATGATAGAGATTCAATGCTGACGATAGCTGTTGATTCAATGATGTAAGTCGGGCATTCATTTTATCGATAGATTCCATTTGTTGATCAATCAATGGCATCATTGCTAAACATTGTTCCTCTAATCGCAACAATTCATCCGGATCATCGAATGATTTGGGATCAGCTTCCTGCAGCATTGACATTAGTTCATCGATTTTACCTTCATCAATGGTCACATCTTCTGGTTTGATATCATCTTTATCCATTTTAACAACTTTCACTTCTTCGTTGAATTGCACTTTTTTCGCATTGTCACTATTCTTAGTGGGCGTGTCTGCGTGATAAATGTTTTTCCTTAGTTAATACATTTTTTGCTCACAATTTCTATTGACTTACATTCGGGTTCGGCATTTAGATCGGTAGAAACAAAATTCGCTGGAAAGAGGCCTTCACCACGATGATTCGAACCTTTCCACCAATTCGAATCGGATGAATCGGTGACCAGAATAATTTCGCCGGCTTTAAATGTTAACTCATTATCTTCGGCTGCTTCGAAATCATATAGTGCACGAACTTTGATCGGTTCTTTATCATCCGATTTATTATTAGTAGTAGCTATTTCGGCCATATTGAACGATGGATACAGAGATGATGGGGTTGTGGTGGCGGTCGTGGTCGTCGATGATGATGAACTAGATGATAATGTTGTTGAGGCCGGTGCAACTGCATCGGTTTTGATACCACGTTTTTTTGCTTCCTGAATAGACAATTCAATAGCTTTGGCTAATTGAGCTTCTTCTTCAGCATTCGTAACATAATCGGGATTTTTTGCCATAGTTTCCTCCAATGCTGATAATGATTTACGTTGTTTGGATGGTTCAGAAGAATGAAATGATACGCCTTCAGATTTTAATTTATCATATAAAGAAGGTATTAGATTAAGTTGCGGATCTTTACGAAAATCTTTTGATTGTGCCCATTTTTTCAATAATAAACGTGAACGTTCAGATACTTTGGGATGAATATTTTTACCACCACGAATCAATCGTAATAGTTCGGTTTCAAAATCACGTGAACAAATTTCCAAATGAAAACGTTTACCACAATTGCTAACCAATGAATCAAGAAGCTATGGTGATTGAAATGGAGAAAGTGAACAAAATTCGGTCATCTCATTCATTAAATGTCATTGCCCAATACTAACTGTTAATGTTTGTAGAATAACCCAGGGAATATCCGAATGAAGACGAGTGATAATAGAACGCATGCAATCTTTTGGTCCGTCTTGTTCGACAGCAACACGGTCATTAATTTCTAATATTTGTTGCCAATCTTCCGATGTATTTTGATCCGATGTTGCTTTCTCTGCAATGTTTCACACAAATGTTAAATCAAACAAACAAACAAACAAAACCTTACCGACTAAAGGATCATATGGTGATGGTTTAATGGCACTTAAAATATTAAGCATATTACACAAACAGGCAAAATCACTAATCAATTTGGCAAAAAATGAAAATCAAACTACGATTTTTCTTTCGAAAACTAGTGGGGCGTTTGTGGTTCACTCAATCAACAACAATTGTTATTCAATCCAATTAAAACAAAACAACAATTAATTCACTTTTAATTCAATTCAAATTATGCAGTTTTTGTTTTTCACACTCAAATCACACAATCATCATCATGATAAATCAATTCAATGTTATCGCTATTCATTATCATCATACAGTAACATAAACAAACAACATATTTCCAATTTGCTTTTCTTGCAAAAGAGTCTAATTCAAAGTTCAAAATCAAACACCTTTGTTTGGTTAGACGTTGTTTTGTTGATGTCCACGGACTCGAATGAACGACAACAAAAGAAATAAAGACAAAGAACAAAATAGAATTTGGATGTCGTCGTTGTCATCGACATATGATAATGATGCTGATGGTGATGAAGTGATTATGATGATGATGATAGCACCATCGATAAACTGAGTGATTGAAAATGAGAAATAGTAACAAACAAACAAAAATCAACTGAGTCATCAAAGAACCATTGTTTTTTATTGGAAAAAAGGCACCGTACACAGACAACGTTATTTTTTGATTTTTTTAAAGTTTCCATTTATTTCGTATAACATTGGATGTTAATTGAGAAATTTTACCAATTGAATCTGGTTGCATCATGAATGCATGCAGCATTTGTCCAAGACAAAGCTGAATGTCTAATTGACTGTCAGGTGGAATTTTATCTTTAATTTTATGATAAGAATGGAGAGGTACCCATGGATCTGATTCACCATAAAACATTGATAATTTGGTTGCATTTGCCTCGATAATATGCAATTTTGGTTGTAAAACTTGATCAAATTCTTCCGAAGCCATTAATGTGATTGCTCGAATGCAATAAGGATCCAATAGATTGGTTGCCGAACGTATGAACGATTCGGATAAACCATCATATCCACCATATCGCAGATATGCTCCAAATAATTGCTCTCTTGTTCGGTCGTTGAGCAAAAAATTGAACAAATAAGCCACTGCCAACATTGGATATATCAAATATTTTATCAGCTTTTTATTCCAACGACCAGATTCTGTATCAGCAATCGAATCGATAGTGGGATAAAGAAGAATGCAATGATCTACCTGCAAGAAAAACCAAATCATAATGATATTCGCTTTTTCTCATTCTAAACCAACCATACGGGCAATATCGGGGTAACGATCCAATAATTCCAGTATAATGTAACAACCTATTGAATGACCAATTAGAATGATTTTTGTTGTCGAATCGATATGATTACGAATGAATTGAGCCTTATGTGAGATTTGAGCTTGTAACCCAAACAACTCTGAATTGATCGATGGTCGTGAATAGCAACCGGGCATACGACTATGTCCGGCATGTGATATACCAATCAAAGGAATTTTCAACTCCGAATACAGTGTGGATAGAAAATCTGTATAATATTCAATTTCACCAGGATTGCCTGTACAATGTTCATTGAGAATGAAAATCAGAAACATCCATTTGGATCACCATACCTGTTATCATCATGATTAATCGTTGTTTATTGAATTTGGTATGGCAGTCAAATTCATTCCCACCACCATGATCATCATCATCGTAGACTAGGATTTTGATTGGAACTTGATTCACTTGGATGAATTTGATTTCTGGTTTCATTTTGTTTGTGGCGAATCATTCAATCGCTGAAAGGATGACTTTGGTGTGATATGAGAAGAATGTTAAATCAAAGAAAATCACACCAAAATAATCAATCGAATGATTCGATTTGATGAATGATGATGATACAAATTAGTTGAAAACATTCGATCCTAGATGGCATTACAGTCGAACCAACGACAAAAAATGTCACCAAACTCGGAAAATGAAAAAATTAATTATGATGATGATTATGGGAGATGTGCACATCATATGGTGGAAATGGCATAAATATAGCCACCATAATGATGATGGCAGATGAAAATATGACTTTTAGGTTTTGCATAGAAAAAAAGATAATCTCCATTTATTATAATGATAATGGTGGTCAAACAAAAATTTCAGAAAAAAATTTAGTGGTGATTCTATTCCTGAAGAAAGTTGAAAATTCAATTGAATGATGATGACGAATGTAAATGTAAATGTAACAGACATCTATTTTCCCATCAGATGTGCTTTATGTGTGACAGTGGTCAAGGCTGGTGACAACAACAACAATGCCCATTTCCAATTTGAATGGTGAATTGAATATAAAGCATATTTTATTTATATAATTCATAGATCATCATCATCACAAATGCCAAATATATCACCCACACACATATTGTGTGAAAAAAGCGATATGATCATATTGATGATATGAATCAATTCACGATCTCTATAGATGGATAGATCATCACCATCATTGTGTGTGTGAAAAAATGACCTGAATTTTGCTTTTCTCAAAAGGATGATGATGACCATTGTTTGATTGGAGAAAAAAATGTATTATTTTTGAAATATTCGTTCTCACTTTCTTGTATCGGTTCTTTATTGATATCATCATGATCGAAATATGTGTGAAAAAACAAAATAAACCAACCAGATTAGAAAGGTAAGGGATTTATTGCTTGGAGTAATCATGCACGTAACAGATCGAATTGCTGATAACAATCGACATTATGCTGCCAATCACAATTCGAACTACGTTCATTGAAACGTGTGCCAGTTGGACATTCAAAACGGAAACGTTCGCGTCGATGACCACTACAATGATAATATGCTTGACAGTCCGAACTAAGATCGGCAAAAAAACCGCTAACATTATCTGGACATTGAAATGACCATTGTTTTGGTCTATTCATTTTTGGGTTGTAGTTGATTGTTGCCGTCGAATTGATCGGATCATTGCCAAACAAACTGTTGATCGATTTCCATTCAAGCATATCCATGTCCAGATCATTGATTCGTTGTGAATCTTCCATCAGATGTTTACGTTTATTATTATCCATATCCATTCGATTTTCATCATTCTCTTCGCTGGTGATGCTGCTGGAAATGTTTTCCATTTCTGTATCAGAAGCTGTGCCATTGATGACCATTTCGTTTGGAATCTCTGATTGTTTCCATGAATTATCATCATTTTGATTCATCACAATTGTTTGAGCAAATTTTTGTCCTTTAATCTTTTCCGAACGTTGTCCCGGTTTTAGATGATTTGATGAGGAATTGGATTTGTTAGTTTGTTGCTGATCATCCAAATAGTCGAGGTTTTCATCCTGATTATCATCAGCATAATCAACGTCGACACGATTATTATTTTGGAGATGATCAGAAGCTATTGTCGTTGTGGGAGGCGGAAAGGTAGCCGTTGTTGCAATTGTTGTCGGTGGCGGAGGTGGTGTGGTGGTGGTGGTGGTCAACATGGATGACAGTGTTGTCTTTGTTTTCAATTGCTCCATGGATTTTTGAACCTGTTGCAGATGACGTTTCGATTCATCCAAACGTGTTTGAATCAATTCCCGAATCCAATCATAAGAATCCGATGCCGGTAACAATGATTTTGGCAATTCGGTTTGTGGTTGAATGAAAAATGGTGGCGATCGAACAAAATGATGATAGTTATGATAGGAACTTGTCCTGGCGGGAAAATGGTACGGAATACGGGATGCCTGACGATAAGGATGGACAACGGTAGACGAGGGATGATGATCATCATAATGATGATATATATTGAACGAATTGCTAGTGGTAGCGGTCGGTTGCGACCAATATGTTCGCAATGGCATCAAGGTGACCGATGGTTTAGCTGTAAAGGCTGTTATCGGTGTTGAACGAGGAATGTTGGTGGTGGTTGTGGTGGATGTGGTGGATGTCATTGCCTGTCGTGATCGACCAAATATCTTATCATTCCAATCTGGTTCAAGAGCTGGTTCAAAAATTGATTGATCAACCATTATGGATATTGGTGGCCAACTTACCCAAACTTTTGTCGGCGATAATTGTGAGCAAACATAATGATGAAATGGAAATAGCTATAATTACTAGCTGTTGAAATAGTGGTGTCATTTCGGAAAAGATGGGTTGAAATGCAAATCATTCGAACGATGTGCATCGGATGAATGAATGAATATCATCTCTGGTCTCATCCATCATCCTTGTCGAGAAAAGAAAGAGAAAGTTTTTCATCAATCACAAAAGTGAGAGAAAAATGCAAATTTCTCTCTTTATCCAGTGTCCAGTGTGAATTTGGGAACAATAGAATTGTGCGGAAAATGCAGAAAGAAAACAAAAACCTGAACGGTGATTGAATGCTGGAACTGTGGAAGAAAAATGTCAACACAACAACAACACAAAAGGTAAGAAATGTTTCCTTTGCATTATTCAATGAGAATGAATTTGAAATTCTTTTCAAAGTGAAATATTTTCCATTCACTCGATAAATCAAGTCAGTGTCATCAGTTTTTTTGTTGATTGAAAAGAAAAATCGAAATGTTGGTCACGATCATCATCATGGTGATGGAATAGGAGAAAACAATTTGTCACACTGCTCATTTAACTATTGTCCAAGATGATGATAATTGCACTGTCATTATCATTGTTGCAGATAGGGACCATCCAGGAAGCAAGCGGTTTAATGCTCATCATAATTGAATCAACTCAAACTAATTTGAAATTAATTATCAAATTTGAGTTGTCAACATCGTATTTAACTAAGTCTTGTATTTTACTAGAGTGAGGTTAGGTTGATGACTATCACCATGATTCATAGTTGAGTGAGGTTAGGTTGATGACTGTGACTATGGCTCTGACTTATGGTTGAGTGAGGTTAGGTTGATGACTGTGACTGTCACTTTGTCTGTCAAAATGACTATCAATAACTATGCGTGCGCACGCTTTTCTTTGAAGCCAAATTTAAGGGAGCATTTTTTAAGCGAACAAACACGCATTTTTAATTATTTTGGTGTTTATAAAAAAAAAGATTGAGAACAGCAATTGACCACCAAGACAGATAATCACATTGGAATGGTTTTATTATTATGGCCATCGATTTTCGATATGAAAACACAGATAATATAGATAGGATAATAGTCGTCGATAGAGGTAAAGAGCGAATACTGGTGCCAAAAACATGATCATCATAGGCAATGGTGTATGACGCCACCATGATCTTTGATGTTGTTGTTGATATTGACGATATAACGACACATCACCCGAACGTTGCACGCGTTTTTCAACTGTATTGGAATCCACCTTTTTCCGATTAGTAACCATGCCTAGCGAAGCTAGAAAATCAATCACCATGGTGGTGAAATTAATGTCGTTTAGCCATGTCATTTCGGAAGCCGAGTAATCATATGGAAATACATGGTGATAATTATGATAACCTTCGCCCAGTGCTAGAATTTCGACATATTTACATTCCACCGGATTAATATGATTATCGTATGGACGTTTTCCCCATAGATGAGCTGCACTATTCACCAACCATGTTGCATGCTATGAGAGGAAAAATTCATAATGAATTTGTTTGGGCAGAATAAATGTTAGCCTTACCAATAATAAGGTATATCTAGTCGTGCAGATAAATATCGATACATAAGCATTTTCATTCCAACAAACACAAGGAATATATGATGGCAAGATGAATGTGAAAAATGTTGCTAACAATTTATAATAACGACGTTGAAATTGAATGATGGCATCATCGGCCAGATCTTGCATCGATACCGTACCACCTTTACGGCTAACCTCCGGATGTTTACGACACATAAGCCATCCGATGTGAGCGAAGAAAAAGCCACGCCGCGAATCATGTGGATCAGCATCAGTTTCGGAGAATTTATGGTGTACACGGTGGTCACGACACCATTCGTAGATATCATTTTGTAATGCACCACAATTGAATAACATAAGCAGGATACGTGTGGCACGGCTCGCTTCATATGACCGATGAGCCCATAAACGATGTGCACCGGCTGTAATGCCCAGACCGGTCAAGATTAGATACAGATAATTGAACATAAAGGTCAAGTAACGGGCATGAAAAATACCCGCATATATACCATAGCCACTGGCTATATGTAATGCTAACATTAACCAAATATTTCGCCATACTAATTCCATACGGTAAGATTTGGTTTGGTTGTTGGCATTGGATATTTGACATTGGGATTTGGACATGATCACATCACTTGAATCCTGACAAAGATTATTGGTTGGCATTGTTATTATAGTCGTTGTTGTTTGGTGTGGTGGATGAGAATGAAATGAATCAATTTGAAGGAAACAATGTGCTATTCTATCATGAGTCACGATTCGATATTTGAATTAGCCATCTCAAATGAGTGATTTTATATGAGTGATGTTCTTGATCATCAATTGACCACCATATTGGATGCAATGATGCTCAAACAGTATTGGCCACAAGGAAGAGGGAAAAAGTAATGTGAGGCATTGAAGCAATCGAATCTAATAAAAATGTGAAAACTTTTTCTTATATTTCCTTAATAAAAGTTGTGAGTTGGAGGAAAGATGGTTGAAAAAAGGGGTAAAGAAAGTGGCCATTCATAGCATTGAGGAAAAAAGTGTGCTCTGAAAGGATGGGGCCATCTTTGATAAGTGAAGTGGATTATCACCAGATTTGCAAATCGGGCCAGGGTCTCTCTTGAGCATTCACAATAACAACAATGTTCAATCAATACAATCTGATAGAAGAAAAGCAATTTTATTCTCATTTTCGGTAAAAAAGGCGCAAGCGCTTTATTCATTGGATTATTGATTATCATAACAAGCAGCCAACATTGCCGAACCAATCACGCCACCATTTTGTGTGGAAAAAACCTTGGTTTGTTTTGCTGGACATAATTGGCCAAGAAATCCATTGATAAGTCTATCCATTTTGGGGTGTTTGGAGAATAATGATCCATCACAGCTAACGTGTACGACCTCGTGTTCATTGTCCATACGATTGATGAATGGTGCTAATTCTGCCATTGAAATGAATGCAAATGATCATCATCAACATTAGAAACAAACCATACAAACCTATTGCACAAAGAAGAGCACAACGAGCAGTGATCAATGCCGAAACATAGGCAATAATTTTGCGATCATCCATTTCGATATCTTCTGGTTGATAATCAAATTGATGGATAAGCATCGAATCAATCTGCTCGAATGAGTGGTATTGAGAACACACAGATTCAAAATCAATACAGGATAAAAATGACGTGGAAATCGAATTGGGCTGCTCCAACATTGTAGACATTTTTCCGCCTAACAACAGATCATTTCGAATAAGATCCAACAAAGCTAACCGAAATAATTCACCAAGAAATGCACCGCCAAGCATTTTCTCATAGCTATCGTTATGATCATCATTTTGGCATTACTATTGAATTATCAAGAAACCTTACTTACGTATAGCTGTTCGGTAACAATGACTTGGAATCCAGCTCAATATCGTAGCGGGTTTTGGCAAAATCCATTTCATTATGATCACCATACATAACACATTCGCTGTTGATAATAAATTCGGTAGCATTATCGGCACCGAAAACCTTAACAGCATCTTTGATGCGTTTATCTCGTTGGACTTTTTCAATATAGGCAACATTACTGCCGGATCCCAGAATTAATGATGCACGAGTTTTTTCATCCAAAAATCGACCATAAATCAATGTTGTAGTTGAATCATTGGCCAAAACGACAACTTTCACAGGCAATCCGGCTGAATCGATTGAATTTTGCAATAATTGTCGTGGACATTTTCCCAAAGCATCGGGCAGATTAGTTTGTATGCCGAATTGAACGCAACGACCATGATTAATTGATAATTGCTCGTAACCGAAAGAGAAAGTAAAACCCAATGAAATAGGTTCCGTTCGTTGTGGGAAATGTTTTTCGAGAAATGAGCCAATCGATTGAGCGAGATGATCGAAAAACTTGAAAATTCAAATAACATTATTGCATGATGAGTGTTGTGGTTGTAATTGACTTACTTTTCCACTTTCGCCTTGACGAACTTCAACGGGAACGGCAAAACTTTCCAGATTGATTAGTTTGTCATTGATCGGTTGGCCAGGTTCTAAATGAACGCTTGCTATGCGAAGATTAGTGCCGCCAATATCTAGGCCAAGAAAATCACCCGCTTGTTGATTGTTGGGGAATTTCGTTACAAAAGTATTGAACATGGGAAATCCATCCGGTTGAACATGACCACCATTCAATGATCTGTCAATTACATCACCAAATTGTCCAACCAAACGATCGACATGATGTTTAGGCAATAAAAATCCACCCACCAAATTGAAAACCTTGGCTTTTCGTTCATCATTTTCAATCTGTAATGTTGGATGAAAGAATGGATCCTGTTGCAAATAGAATTCATCTTCTGTTTTTGGAACATAAGGCATCTTGTTGTTGTCGTATGTGACGTTGTTTAGGCTGAAAAACCCATCGCACTTTTGTTGTTCGGGTGTGATATCTTTTCTCTGAAGAAAGGAAAAGATAAGATTAGAAAATGATCATGATGCAGAATGTTTTTCAAGCAAAACATTCTCTATGAATGAATCCATGGTGTGTTATGGGCAAAACATGGATTATTCAATGTTCGATATTTGCGGTCACCATTATCCATGGATAATAATAAATCCAATTTTCTATAGAATCTTTCAATTGAACCAAACAAGAGCTAACCATGGCTGTGGGCGCTTTTCCATTAATCAAATTGGCCGCATTGGCAATACGACAAGTATCCAAACCATTGGCCAATCGCATCAAAACATCGGCCAAAAATAGTCCATTTTTTCGAAATTATATTTGTATGCCTCCAGCACAGATTTACCATTATTTCGAAGTGAATGTCAAAATGAAACTTTTGGGTAAGTAAATCTCAACCAATTGGATGACGAATAACTTTGTGATTGAAAAGGTCTGGGCAAACCATCCAATGTAAATAAATTGAATGAAGCTGCCGCCATTGAACTTGGTGCTGAATTGTTGGGCGAGGGAATCATATTTATGGTCGCTGTTTTGACTATTGCCGGCGAATACTATCGACAAAGTAAAAAAGCCTCGGCTGAAGCTGCCGCACTTGAAGAACGATGGCAGCGTGTTGAAAACAAGATTCTCGATCTCGAATTTTTAGTGGAAAGACACGCGACCGAAATTCGCGAACTGAATCGAATGATACATACTAATCAATCCAGTATCAAAAGATTTGCTTCCACTCTATTCTCGTCGTCATCTTCGAAACCATCGAAACCAACCGATAATAGTGATGATAGTGAAAAAAATGTCGATATTGTGAAAAGTTCGATTGATGATGCTGTAGATAAAATTGTCAAATGAATATTTTTCCTGTAAATAAGATTTAGAATATCTTTGAATGAAATTTTAATTTTGGAAAAACAAAAAATTTTTTATTAACTGAGTAGAATTGTGAATGATCAATACAATTTCAATTGATTAGTGATCTGATCGATCAATTTGTTCGAACCAAATATACCCAATACGGTGGTTGACCCGGCTTTAACCTGTGTTTTGCCAGCATCATGTACCATATAACATGGTAGGTCGAGTGCAATGGCTTTATGTTCCAGTTCCACCAAATGATTGGTATTTTCGCCTCGTAAAACAATTTTCGTTTCACCGTATTCATTCCATAGAAGTAATGATTCACCATATTTACTTTGATGCTGCAACAATAGTCGGTGCAACCCCAATGCTGAATGGGCAACCTGTGCTGCAATTTTGCCAACACCCATTGTCAATTCGGAATTGACTACGAAAACCATTTTATACAGATCATTATCGGCATCATCATTGGCAGATGGTGAAGATTGATGCTGACGTTGTTGTTCGAGTTCCAATTCCCATGGAATGGAATCTTCCGAATCAACGCCGTCGTTGGTGAATATCCATTCGATGGCAGCTTCAGCCGATTCATTATTGGTGTAATATAATGCTTTTTTTGCCATCATTGAACTGAATCCCATCGATGTTAGATTGGTCAAGAATAATTCGTTTGGCTTCCATTTTGCTTTCGGCTGTTGCGATTGCGACGATGACGATGGCTGATGAGTGGTCGTTGTGGTCGAGCTATTATCATCTCCAGTCAATGTAGCTGATGATGATGATGGTGGTAGTGGATTATCGGTATTTTCGATTCCATCGGGGACACCGCGATTTTGGTCCATTTTAGTTGTTGGTGATGTGAAATGTCAAAATATTGTTTTGGTTTTGCAGATGAATCCAATGCGCCTGGAACAGATTCTATGAATGGCATGTACGCATTGCTTTTGTTTTCGATCAAAAAACTTTTATCAGAGGACAAACAAACATTCGATTTTTTCAGTCAATTCTCATTTTTTGTTGGAGAAAAGTCAATCAGGTAATATCGTCTGATTTTGCTTTTGGCCATTTGAATTGATAATTTTTTCCCAATTAGAATCAATTATGAATCGTGTTTTTGGTAATCGAGCAACGTTGTCCAATTTGATGGTCAACATCAACAAGTAAGTTCATTGTTGCCGAAATCGTTGATTCATTCATTTTGATTTTGCAATCATTTTTCATACTCAAACACTCATTCTCACACACAGAGCTTCTTCGCGAAACATGAGTGGGGAATGGGGATCTGGTTCTGGCAAAGTAAGTTAAAGAAACTTGGAGATTGGAATCTTGTCAATTTGAATTTGACTAAAATGTTCAAATTTTAAAATTTCTCTTTCACAGGGTGGCGGAACCGGTGGATCTGTACGCGATGCTGGTGGTGCATTCGGCCGAATGGAAGCAGCACGTGAAGAGGAGTTTTTCCGTCGCAAACAACAAGAAGAACTGGAAAAATTAAGAAAAGCTTTGGATTCACAACGTCAGGAATTGGAAAAACAAATCAAAGAACATGAGTCTGAAATTGAGCGTTTGCGTAAAATTCAAAAAGAAGGCCAATGAACGATTGTGATTCGAAACAGAATTCAGAAGAAACAGAACTTCAACCAATTTGCAAACGAGATAAGAGATGATTGAACAGATTTTTGTCGTTTTTTTCTGTAGAAAAAAACAAATCCCATTGTAATTAATAAAATGATAAATTAGAGCAACAAATCGGCAACCAATTGATTACCTCAATTCGAAAAACTTGATTTTTTTCGTTTCGGGAATTTGATTGTCGCCACCACCAGAGAGCGCTTTTTTCCAGTTTTGTTGATGTTTTTCACGCGTTTCGATTTTTGTTTGGTTTTGGTTGGTTGCTGTGAAGGGCATTGGATTAGAATTGTATGTTTTTGATTCGATCGAATTGATTTGAAGTGTGTGTACCCAGCAGAAACAAATTGTTTGTAAAATGTTTTTCGGTTTCGGTGGTTGTGATCAATCATACAATCGTGATGTGGATGATGAGAATATAATTGCCTCACGTGTTGCTCAAATACATTTCGATGGACTTGATCGTACTAAACATGATATCCTACAGGAATTGGTCAAGCCCATTTTACAATCAACCGATTTGCCCGAAACATTGATGCAAGTTAATTTTGTTCGTCAACGTTTCTATGAGCTAGGTCTATTTCGAAATGTTCAGGTTTCGGTCGATACGATCAATAAAGATTCGGCCAAGAATGATGATGGCGATCAACCAGTTGAATTAGCCATTACGTTTAATGTGGAAGAAACACGGAGATATGCCGGGTCAATATTTTGTTCGGGTAATCATAATGAAGTGTCCGGTAATGTTGAATTACGAAGTCCGAATCTTTTCGGAAGAGGTATGTGCATTTATTAAATAATATGGTTATTGTTAGCATCACTAACTGAAATATCACCATGCTGATTATCAGGCGAAGAAATACGATGCCAATTCGAACACAGCCTACGATATTATGCGACCTATTCGACAACATTTTCCAAACCATTGATCCGTACACCGTGGAAAAGTTTACGATCAAGTTTAGACTTGACCATGTTACAACTATCGAATTATTGCCAATGGAGTGGATACAAACAATTGAATCGCAATCTATTGCTTGGCCTCAACATTCAACCACATCCTCTGCATCGACATCTATTTCAGTGGGAAACATCATGGCGATATTTGTCCGGACTTGGTCAAGCCGACTTCGAAATAATCGAACAATTTGACCATTCACTTAAATCTTCCATTTCGCATACCTACACTTATGATAAACGAGATAATGCCGTATTGCCAACCAAAGGTAGCATGTTCAAGATGTTCAACGAATATGCTGGTTTTCAGAAATTGGCCACATCGTTTCGCAAACATGAATTTGAATTTCAACATAACCTTGCATCATTTTTACAATTATCATTCAAGGTTTGCATATTATCACTTTTCTCAGAATGGTGGATTAACCTTGTTTTTGGCAGGGTGGAGCGATGAAAAGCTACAACAATACTACAGTGAGTGACAAATTTTTTCTTGGTGGTCCATTAAATCTTCGTGGATTCCAAATGTGTGGTGTTGGACCGCACGGCAAAGAAGGTTTAAGTGCCTTGGGTGCACTCAAATATTGGGTCGGTGCCGTACATTTTCAATATCCGTTGCCATTCAAAAATATTTTCGATCAATATCTACGGTTACACGGATTTTTGCAGGCAGGTTCGATATCGAATAAATTCAGTGAACTGGGCGAAAATATTCGAACATCATGCGGTGGTGGATTAATATTTGCCTTCGGCAATAATGTGCGACTAGAATTGAATTATTGTCTGCCCTTATTCAATCAAAGTTATGATAAAATACAACGTGGTATTCATTTCGGTATCGGAATGACCTATGTTTAGAGAGATGATTGTATTGTGTTTGTGTGGCAAATAAATTATTATTGTTGATGATTAGTATTTATTTGAGATTCAAGTGGATAATATTCATTATTATAGAGATCTGAGTGAGTGATTTGTGATCCAACTCAAATGAATGATAATTTACATAATTTACTGTGCAATGAACAAATCAATCAATGACAGCCACAAGATTGAACGACCATATTTTTAAACTTTTTAAGTACAACATTGGAATTGTCATCAAAATAAAGTACCATTATCGAAGATAACTGGGATGGGGCACAACATGGTTTCGGAACATGGCGGTACATGATGTGATAAAGGTGTTGAACGACCGCATGATTGGTTGCATTCATATGGGTGTTCATCGGGAAAGAGCAATCGCCATGGCAAAAGAATGCAGAATAACCTTCCGGTGCAATAATCCAATCCTGCCAGTTCAGATCACGAAACGATACGAACAATGTACGCTTCTGACAGCTTTTCGATATATAACGATCATTGGTATCTGGGTGATTGAAAAAAGTTTTAGTTTGAGTTTAACTTTGAAAAAGGGATACTCACTGAGAAACGGGTTTCGATCATCCGGATCATAGTAGGACAATTCGGATCGTTTTCGATTCAAAACGGCGCGCCGAGCACGTTGTTTATTCTCGAACATTTCGGCTCTATTGGGCGATGGTGTTTGCAAATCATTAGTCTTCGATTTGATATATGCTGTCATGAATGGCTGATATTTTTTGAATCCACGCGAATTGAATAGTCCTATACTTTTCGGACTAAGATCTTTCGCTATTTTTGGGTAAAAATTGAAAAGATTTGAACCGATTAGGAATTGATGGAAATTTCGTTGACTTACGAATACTGCTGGTACGAATCTGAAGATAGAGACCCAAATTTTGGCCAGGAAATCTGAGCCAATCCAATAATGGCTGGGTCACATTGAACCGTAGCCAGCCTCCAGCATGACCATCGATTTTGATAGAATCAACATAATTTTTGATGATTTGCCCGCGATCGAATAGCTGAAATAAAGTCAATTGAAACGAATAGCTGGAGTTGAAACGTGACCGAATCGGATCCCGATAAATTCTCAATTCTGCATCGATAATTTCCGAATTCTGGGGAACGTTCGTAATGTTGAACCAGAAACGTCGATCACGATTATGACGCAAATGTTGATTGTTACGTTGCGTTTTGATTTGATTATGAAAACTGATTATAACATCCGATTCGGAAAGTTCCAATAAACTCTGATTCGAGACATTCAGGTCTGTATGACCATCGTTGTATGACGAGTAAAGATTCATGAGAAAATTCGATGCCGACTCATCGGTGCTGTATTTTTTCGGTTTAGGGCGATGGTCCAGACCTAATACATGAAGGATTTCTTCCTGCAGTTCTCTTTGTTCGAATTGCGGAAGAAATTTGAATGCAACACTGTGTTGCATTGAATTATCCGTATAAAAATAACGTAATGATGATGGATCCATTGCGGCAGAACCACCGGAATCGGCGACACCATGGTCCAATGATATGGCCAATGAAAAGATGTGAAGAACAACAATTGCGTAGTACTTCAGTAGTGACATTATGCTGAGTTTTCTATATTTGTGAAGAACAACAAACAAACAAATTAGCAAAACATATCAAAGTGAATTCAATTTCAAAAATGAGGCCAAACTAATATCATTTCCAACTAGTAGTCAATCATGATAATCATATCGAGGGTAATGATTTTCTCACATCCATCTATCAATCAATCCCCACAGACAAAGAAAGCCATTCATTCATTTTCTGCAATCAATCAATCCAACCGAACTGACAGAACAAAACGATAGTTGTAATGTGTTTTTGTTTTTTGTTTGCTGTTCAATTCAATCAGTTTATAATATCGATTTTTATGGCCATGTAGACTTGCCAGAAACGAATCGATTCGAAAGAATAGGCACCACTTCCATATGTTTAATACAAACATTTTATGTTGGGCACACATTTTAATACACAGAATGCATCATCACTGTCTGGCAATTGCGGGTTGTTGTCAGGCAATAAAAAATATTCGACTGATTCAATCGAATTTTATGGCAGCCAATCGAAACAAATACAATACCTTTTTTCGATCACTTTTTCAAAATTGATTACAATTATCGATTTGAGGATTATCCAGCCAACAAGTGAAAGTTTTTCAATTTTTTCTGATAGCCAAAACAATGTTTGGCAAACAAGGCAAAGTTGTTGATGATGGGTAGTCTGACCAGCCAGGTAGGATATCTTAATAGCTTAGCTCAACAGGTAACTATCATCATCTAGCAGCAAACAAGAGAACCAATGGACCATGGATAACAATTGCCCTTCTTCCAATGCAATGTCCATTCAAACACATACGCATGCATACCACACACTAAGTGAGTGGTCATCATTCTCTAATGGTGGTGGGGTCACCGAGCAAGGTTTGACATGATAATGAATAACATTTAATGATGGAGGAAAAATGGTCAGATATCAATTATAACATAGACATCAACGCGATCATCCTTTTTATGAATCTGCATGTTGGAATAGGTGATTGCTTTCACTTCGGTTCCTTGCGGGTGTTTGTCCAGATTGAATACCTCGCCATAACATCGAGCCCGAATGCGAAATTCTTGCCAATTCATTTCCAATATTTCGATTTTCTTTGCAAAAAAAAAGGAAAATTGAACAGTGTGTGTAATTGAATTGAGGCTTACCTTGGGAATGAGGAATGGCTCAGCATTGAATAGGAAAAGGACATCGTCGAGAAAACGAAACAGCATACTGCTCTCATCATCGCCACCAGTAACTTCAACATCGGCATATTTTTCAATGGAAACTGTCTTCAAATCGGTTATATAACCGAATACACCCATAGCACATTGTTCGAACGCTTCTTTCAAATCTTTACCCCAGGCATGGATTCTTTAGGGAAGAAAACAATGGTCACTCTAGCTAAACGAGGCAAAACACTTACTGAACATCGGCCGTGTGATCGAGATCTATTGGATGATGATGGGATAATTTGAAAATAATGAGACAAATGGAAAATGAGAATAATTACATTCATAATTGATAGGGGCGACGGTTGGGTCGAAATCCTTTTCGACATCTCGAAGATCCATGATGTGATTGATGCAACTTGGAAGCAAGCATGCAAGTGAAACATTCTCTTGGTAACATTGTCTTTGGATGATAAATAGAATATGCAATATTAATATTGATGAATAGATTTTATTGGATTGTTATAAATAATAAATATGCAACAATATCTGATATAATATTATAATAATAATAACAATTATGTGTGGGACCATTCAATTGATTGCGTCCACATCTAAATAAGAGAGAGATATGTTACGATAATATACCATTCAGTCGCTGACCACTACGGTAATCTGCCCATTGTGAGTGTAGAGGACTAATCATTATTGAATGTAAAATTGGAATTTAAAAAAATATTAATCGTAATGAGGAGAAAAGGATCAACTATTAGAGTTATTAAGGGAGAGAGAAAGATTGGCCATTTCCAACGATGAGAGAGAGAGAGTGATTCTGATTAGTATAGAAAAATATTGCTTCTCATCGCCGAATGATGATGATGATATACAATAGTAATGATGGACATAATAAGGTGATTGCTTGACAATGATGATGATTACGAGCTCACTCACAGACACTATTGATTATCATCTGTTGTTTGGATGCGGACAAATTTCCAAGGTTGAAAATAATAATAATAATAATAATAATATTTGATAAGCAATTTCCAATCACAATACAAAAATAGAATGGCCATCTCATTAGCATTCCTTCGCTATCTGATTCTTCGTGTTTGGGATGTATAAAAAATATTGCTCAATATTAGTTTTGCTCAACATGGCTCCCATTGCTAAAACGACAATAACAATTTAACGATTAACAACAATCACCATTTTCATTTGTCGGACCAAAAAAATTGCAATAACAGCAATAACAATGATAACAATGATACGGATGATGAGAGAGATGATAATGATGATTACACTGATTAACTGGACTAGACGAAACCCCAACATTCGATAGATTTCACCACAAAATCCTCTTCCGATGACAATGTTCGGTTGCCGAATGTTTTGCATGGATGTGAACTGCCATGGTAAAGATCGCCATCAAGCCAAAGACCGAAATTCCCCCTTTGAAAAGAAAGATGAAAAAAATTGCCAAAGTCAACCAATCAAACAAACATACTCTCCGGCCCCAATGGAAATACTATCATTATTGCCTTTGATGAAGAAAATGTTTTCGCCAGTCCATGGAAAACATTCGAAAATCGGATAGAATGTGAATAGGAATGTCTCGCCGGTACCATAAAAATGATCGCTTATCTTTAACGAATGTGATAGTAATGCACCGAATTTCTGAGTGAAAAAATGCAAAAATCAATCTCGAGTCTCGATCGGAATGAGAAGGGAAAACACTCACGGCACAGTTGGTATCCTCGATGATCAACAGAACGGGAGAATCAAAATGTTTCATATCACGATACAATGTATTCAAACTGAAACCATGTTGCGCGGTGGAATAGATCAATGTCCATGCATAGCCTTCAGCACGAGCCGGCAAATGTTTCATTAGCTAAATCAACAACAATCAAAATTTATCGAACAACATTCACAAAAAGTTTTCCACTCACATTTTGTATAATGTCCACATTCAACAATTCGGACGTGCCAATCAATTCGGGCAATATTGGCTCATTCGACATTTCCAGATGATAACGTTCAGCAAAACTGTGCTCTTCCGATGAATTCGAAACCTAAACCAGAACACAATCAGAACAAAGACAGAGAAAAGTGAATGAGAAACACTCACATTCCATTCGGTGGAAAAATGATCCTCGACGAGCTTGAGAAAATGCAATGGACTTCGACGCCAAAAACGCTGACGATTTGCGGATGCTACATCCAACGAGGATTTGTTGTCACCGTCATCATGGCCAATGGATCCTTCAAGGGCATTCGATGGTGTACGCTGATAGGACCGACGTCGTGCATTACCTGATGTGGAAGATGCTGCCGATGCACTATCGATCATTTGAACACCACTGACTTCGTCATCGTCATCGTCCAGATCATATTCATCATCGGTGTTGATGGGCTCAAGGCCACGTTGTTCACAACCGCTAATATCGTCCACATCACCATAGATTTCGGGAGCCCACTTCTTGAAGAAATGATACAAATTTTTCGCCTTGTCTTTCGGCACACTGAACCAATATTCGCGTTCATATCCATTCTTACCTAGTATTTAAAAGGCGAAATGAATGATAACTGATGAATGAAATGAAACTCAAACAAATCCAACTTACCGAAAGAAGAAATGGGCGAAAATCGTTGCATACTACGCTTAGGATTATTTTTCTTATATTTGCCCATTCGAATGCAGAGATATAATGGCGTATCTTTATTCACTCTGGCCGGTCGCGGAATTAGTTTGTCGAAATTTTCAAAGGCATCAATCTTTGTATTGACCATATTACAATAGCCCACTGGTTTGATCGATGATGCATCGGACATTTGTTGTTGCTCACTACTGGTGTCGAAATGCTCATGAAGATTAATATCACTTTTGGATGCGGTCGGTGCCAATGCCCCTTTCGCATCACGCACTAAACCGGAGGAAAAATCCATCAAGTTTTTCGGAGTGGCCAACACCCGATTGAATCCGGTTTTCGTGACATTCATCGTTGTGGTTAGGCCGGATTTGGTGGCATTCAAACCGGTACTGATGCCCGATTGAGTGGCATTCAATCCTTTGCTGATGCCAGTTTTGGTGGCATTGAAACCCGATTTGGTTGCATTGATCCCTGAGCTTATGCCGGATTTGGTCAGATTGCCGATAGCGTCCACCGGATTTGATAATCGTTTTAGCATCTGGCCACGACGATTTTCACCTGCAGCTGACAACCGATTCGAATGTCTCAACATGACAACCGGATCGGAGCATGTTTCTTCAGCCGAAATAGCCGATTGCAAGGCTTTGTGTTCGACACTGTCGGCTGAATGAATGGCATCATGTGCAATGTTCGATGGCTGCAATGGTGCTGAATGTCGTTCGGCCAATGTCATTTTGGCCATATGTGTGGAGGCCAATGGTTTTCTAGCCAGTTTCGTCTGACTTTCGGGTCCACTCGATGATAAGGATCCAGTATTGCCGCATGCAACAAGATCGGCATCATCCATGGAGGTCATCATCAGATCAAGGCTGGAATTGACATCGATGGATGTATTGAAATTGGTGGTAGCCTCGGTGGTCGTGGTGGATGGTTCATCATCATGCAAATCGTCGACGCTGTTTTCGATTTCGATCGATACACGATTCATGCTGCTGGCATCTTCATCGCCAATCTGAACCTCGGTAGACATTAGAGATGATGATTGTTTAGTTGATTGTTCATTCGCTTCGATTGATGAGCCGGTCGATGATGTTTTCGTTTGCTGTAAATGTTCGACAGCGTCTTTGAATTCGTCTGGTGGTTGATGTTCGGAATCGGATTTATCCTCTTCACTCACCTTACCGATGGTATCGAAACCGGTTTTAGCTTTTTTTGCATAGACATTCTTTAGATTCTCCTCGACAATACCGCTACTATCTTCGTCGCTGGCATAATAAACCGATGGTTTGGGAACGGATGGTACTGCTTCAGGAGCATGTTTGACACGCATATGAGCGATATCGGAATAGAGTGCCGTTTTCAATACCAACTCAATCGGTACAGTAACATTATAGGATTCGGATCCATGTTCCACCACCAAAGGATCAGAAACGTTCGGATCAAACATTAATGCATTGGGTGTGACCAACAATACGCCACTCACAACACCTTGTCCATCGGTTATGTAACGAACGTTTATTTTGAGAAAACGCTCCAAACATTCACGATCAGCCGGATCGATTGTCTGTTGTGGTTGTTGTTTGGATGATGATGACATTGATTCGGAATGGAGATGATGATGGTGATTATCAGTGCCAATCACAACTGGTTCAGAACTGGTATGAGTGAGAGGGTAATCTATGAGGATAGAAGAATTGTTGTTGGTCGAATCATCGCGGCTGCTGCCCATAAACACACAATCCATTGAAAGAGTGTTATTATCTTTTTGTCGAGATAACGGCCGACAACAGCGTTCCGCATGACCGGGTAATGCAGAGATTGATTGTTGTTGTTGTTGATTGCTATCACTAGTCAATGTTTGTTGTTGTCGTGACGGTGATTGGGATTTTGGGTCATTCGGTGTGTTAGGTGGAACACCGACACCAATATCGGAGCTTTGTCTCACTAGTAATGTACCACCACTTGGGTCGATAACATCAGCCGAAAGGCTAGATACAGGATTGGATTTCGGAACATATAATACCTGTCCTGGGAAGATGAAATGGCCAGAACGACGATTGATACGGGCCAACTCGGATGGTGTTGTATGGAAACGTGCAGCTACAGAAGTGATAGTATCATGGGCTGCAACCTATGCAACGAGAAAAGAATCGATCAATAAACCAATAATCAATAGTCAGTAATCAATAATCAATCCAATTATAAACTCACCACGTATTCAATGGTTCCTTGCGGTTGTGTTAAGGAACGAGATAATTGCATTTTCTGTTGTTGTTTATTGTGTTGTTGATTGTTGGCATTACTGGTATCATCATTGTCGTTGCCATTGGCATCGTTCATCTGCTGCTGCTGACCACTGGTCTTGGACGTCGCCGCCGCCGTCGTCGATGATTCAGATGATGGTGATTGCTGATTATTATCAATGATGGTGGTGGTCGGCGGTGGTGATGGTGATATAACCGAATCACACTGTTTGTTATCATTGCTCATTTGGTCTTGGATTAATAATGATCAATTCATTTGATGGACGCTAATATAGGACACTATTTAAACAAACACACAATGTTTATGTGGATGTGGTTGTTGTTGAGAGAATCTTTTCAATTCAATTTACAGTTTTGTCATGGAATCAGACTGGAATAAGAAATGAAAAAACAATTCAATCATATTAATGACTAACTAAACAATAATAATGATAATTAATGATCCAACAACAATATAGAGCATGCATTCAGAAATAAGAAAACGACAATGATTGATTATATCACAGACAGAATTCAGTTTGTCACCAAAGCCAAAAACAAAACCAATAATAAAAACAAAACAAAACAGAAACAATAACAAACATCAGTCATCAGTATTCAGTGTGCGCGCATTCATTAATCAATTGATGAGAATGATTGAAACGTACCAAATAGAATTGATTGATTGATTAGATAACCTTGATGATGATGATAAAACCATTACATTATGGCAATTAACACTCGATTCAATGTTATCATAATCAACATTGATATCCAGCAACCAATCGACAATCCGAAAACAAACAAACAACAAGCAATAACCTCTAGGTTTGCAAGACAAAAACAAAACCCAATAAATGAATTTGTTTGTTTTTAATATGCAACTATTGCCTCTTTGCAAATCAAAAAGATTCAAGAATCGGGCTCATCATCTTTCTGGACAGAGCTATGGCTATATATCCCGTTTTCAATCTTTCTCCAAACCAATATCGCCTGACGCCGACGCTGTCAATGATGCAAAATACTGTTTCATCTTACAGATACAGAAACGGATACAGTTTTTAAGCAATAATGCTCTTTGCTGCTACTCTCTCTATGTTAATTCTGTCTTATATAGAGAGAGAGATTGAATAGGATGTGAATTGAATGCAAATGGCAATTGAACATTTTGTCACAATGTCAATGTCGAATTGGGAAAAATCAAAAAAATTACCCGCTGACCTAGATGATAAAATGCATTTTCTCCAAATGATGATTATTGAACAGAAGATAAGTTTGATTGCAAGAATAATTGTATAAGCCATACCTATATAATGATGGGCCGACAGGTGAGCAGATAAGGTGTGAATATTAAATGTTATATATAATTCAGTTGATAAATTGAATCAATGACTTTGATGGAGAGTGAGAGAAAGGGGAAATCAAATCAATCATGAACAGGCAGTGAGTTGAAATAACAATGGCCAAATTATGGATGCATTTAGCAACAACCAAAAAGTTTCTATTTTTAGCCATGGCCATTCGCCGATACTGACATCATCGAGTTTGTTCCATCACTATTACAGGTTGGGGTGATGACATCCAATCAATGAATGCGTTTGCGTCAATTGAATGAAACACAGAGAATCGAGTGGAAAATGCAAATATGACAAGGTAACAAATGAATCGATGAATGGTGGTCATCACACTGGCTCCAAGTCAAAATTGGCAAGGCAAATTCAAATGGAAATGGGAAATGCAAAATAAACATCAAGAGCAAGCAATGACAAAAACATGATATTTTAGCCCAAAAGATGATGAATGATTGTTTTTGCTGTTGTTGCGGGGGCCAAATTGCCAATTGAAAAGTCTGGTTCATTTGATTGTTTAGTGCCATCTACATCATCTATATCATGTATATCATGTATGGGTTGTATTTGCGCAATATTGATTGAAAGAAAGAAAATGCATGATTTAAGCAAAAAAGATCATCAGCGATTCGAAACGAAAACGAAACAAAAACAAAACTCATTCAAGCATCTCATCAAAAGCAGCAATGCAACCGAACCAATCCAAATCGAACCAGCAATTATACAGCCACACCAACCACCCAGCACAATTGGTTTGGCAAGCAAAATCGTTGACTGACTGACTGATTTGACTTGTCTCTTGTGGTTTGGCCTTCGCCAACAATTCCCAATCGTGTAATCTCTATTGGCCTGGTTGTGATTATGCAAGGCAAGCACAACTAAACGAAAAACGATTCACTAAATCGCATCACATAGATACTACAATTCAATCATCGATTCGAAAAACATAGTTCTGGCCACTTGATCGATTGATCGGCCATTATTTCAATGTATAAACTATTTGACGGACACGCCTGTTTCATGTTTGCTATGGAAAGGGCGCCATTACAGCGACTAAAGTTTTGATTCCATTTTCATCCTTCACTTGCAGTGGGGTAAAACAATACACTTGGTCGAGGAGAAGGAATGAAATTGAATGAAACGAAATGACATTAGATTAACACTAATTAACAATCATTCATTGAATCAAAAAAACAACAAAACACCACAAAAACAGAACAATAGCAGGTGCCACTGAGATAATGAATATGCGTGTGGCAACCCACCGGATGATAAAAAAGCAAAGCAAATTAGAGAAAACGAGAGAAAAAATGCAAACTTTTTATTGCCCAAAAATCTGTGCAGAATGTTCGGGAATAAAAGAAAAGAAAAAAAGTTTGCACTATGATTATTATCATTAAAAGTTTTTCATAAAAATGGTTTCCTGTCTCAGCAATGACGCCTACATTTGTGAATATGTGACTAATCTGTTGGAGAGGAGATTGTTGTCCATTTAACAGGAAAAGTTGTCGGCCCAGACAAATTGTCAGTGAAACAAATAATATTAATATTAAAATCTCAATTTTGGCCAACAAGTCACGTCATTGAAAATTGAATCGAATCAAGCAGATTCCATAGATAATTGATAACACTGGATGAACTGGATGAACAGGATGGACACAAAACAGAATGAAAAATCAGAACATATCAAAACAACTTAATAATGATGATAATCAACCAAAACAACAAACTCGCACTATTTATCAATCTCTTTTCTGGGCGTTTTGAATCACCGATTACAGCATTATTTGACATTATTTAGGTAATTGGCATCAGAAATCTGATTGGTTTAAAATAAAAATAATTACCTGGTGTTGGTTAATGTGACTTGACTTGAAGGAATCTCTTGGGCGATGTTTATAGGTGACACCAATATCAAATATCATCAAAACACAGTCACTCAATCGAATCTAACAAACTTGGCAATAATTCACAAAACACCAACTCAATATATTTTCGAAAAACAATTTTGACATTCACGATTTCAATCGAGGGGAATCAAAACCAAATTCAGTTGAAAATTGATGAAATTGGCAGAATGATGAACACTCAATAATAAGGAATAGTGTTGTTGTTGTTGTTATTGTGCAAACATGTTCTCAACAACTATCGATTGTCGAATTCGATTGTAAACAAAACTTTTTACGCTCATCACTTTTCTGCGACCTTTTTTCATAACAATTTCGGTCAAGTGAAAAAATGCAAAATATCCGAACATTTTCAAATCAACTGAGGTAAATTGAATTGTGAATGAGATAAATTTTTGAAAAATCTAATTAATTCATAGTGGCTCGGTCCGTAGCTATTCGAGCGATTCGAATAGTTTGCTCAAATTGGCAATGGCACAATGGAATAAATTCTGGTATGGAGGGGAACAACCGTACAAAAGTCGTGATATCATCTATGAAGATTTGCTGAGAGACGGTAAATCATTGGTGATGCATCGATATTTGCAGAAAATTTTATATGCACGACATAAAGCCCGCACACGCTATGTTAAACACAATGAGCATATTCGAAAATTGGAAGATAAAATCAGCGCTGGTGGAATGGTCAAACCGAAAAGTTTCGCCAATCGATTCTAATGTTATGTAGAAAGAGGAAAAAATTTTGCTGCCAAATGGCTTGTATTTGTATTTTAATTTGAATCATTCAATAATGGTTATTATGATTAAAGAGAAAAATAGTGAAACATAATCTTTTCCATATCATCAATGTTTTTTGCTTTTGGTGTGTTTGAATGTACTTTGCTAGGTGCGCGGATGATGATTAAAATATGGCTTTCTTTTTTCGACATTGTTGAATCACTTTTCTTCACACCACTCATTTTCGCGGCGAATCTGCTCCTCTTCTTGCGGTGTGAAATCATTTTTGATATTAAATGTTTTGCGAATCTCTTCGGGTGTTTTACCGCGAATCATATTCGCAACGGTTTTGCATGTAACATCCAGCAATCCTTTGATATCCAGATAGTTAGCTGCCAAGATGATTTCGAACAAGGTTCCTTGATCTACTTTGAGAAAATCGGCATCCCACGATGATATGTCATCGGTACGTTTTTCCCGTGCATCATCGTCTTCGGGTGTTGGTGGATCATTCTTGTGATAGGTTGCCCACTGTATTACTTTGCGTAATATGGCTGAATTGACATTTTGAACTGGAATCGGTTCACCGTCATCTTCTTCGATGCCCAGGTCATCGAGCATGGTACGTAATGTATTCGACATTCGTGCTACTTCCACATCCACCTCGAATATTTCTCCATCACTACTTTGTAATTTGATATTGGGCATTTTTATTGTTGTTGTCGAAGAAAGAGCTGAAAACAAAATCAGAATGATAATTAGATTGAAATCAATTAGCAAAATCCAACCTTTATTGAAAAACGAGTGAATGAAAGAATTATTTTCGGCTGATTGAAACGTAGATGAATTTCGAAGACAATAACCAGATATACGCAATTAGAATTGTCTATCGTTTTCCTTAGTCATCAGCAATACAAACACAGAGATATTCGGCCAAGCATTTATCGCTCCTTTAATCATCATCATCAACAACAACAAACAATTCGAACAGTTTTGCTTTGTTCTCTCTCTCACTGCATTCTATATAATGTCCCCTTCATAAACGACGATTTCATTGGATTTTTTCTCAAATAAAATTTACTTTATTAATTCAACAATTTCACAGATCTGATAGAAAATCATTTTGATGTGATGGGATTTGGGGGAAGAAATCAGGAATCGATGACAATGCTCGGGTTATCATAATGTTTGTATTGATGCTCGATCAGCGTTGTCGTTTTGATATGGTTATTGTTGAAGGTGGTTGCATTCGAATGACGATGCTTCATCGAAATTGATGAACTATCAATATTATCGGCTGTGCGCGGGGATTCGAAATAATAACGAAATAAATTGCGATAGGGAGCTTCGAACAGCAAGAAAGTGAACATGGATATGACCACTGTCAAGATGAACAAGCTCATTGCTACCGGGAACTATTGGATGTGAAGCGAAACAATCAGAACATGATCAAACAAACAAGCAAAAACCTACCGACTCCATTAGATTGATTTCTAACAGTGTGCGTTTGGTGAATAAATAAATCCAAATGATGATCAAATTCCACAGATAGATTTGAAAACAAAGATGGCTACAAATGCGAAATATGGACCAGGACAAAACTTTAGTGATGATATTGTTACGAGGTAAACATTGGACGATCATCCACAATGTTGGTCCGATGAATAGGATTCGGGCTGTAGCGTAATAAACAATGATTGGCCAATTCGATTGGTGGCCATCCAAATCGTAGTGAGCGAATATTAACGGAATATAAACCACATATGCTGATGACAAGGTCAATAAAATGAGTGCCGTAACAATTCGCATTGGCAGGGCGAAATTGAATGGCTTAGCTGTTGGATTGAAATTGGTTCGACAATAATAAGCCAATGCCATACCGGCAAAATATGACTGAAAATGAGCGAATCCATTGAAATGTAGTGATTTGAAAATGGCAGGTCTTTCCCTGATAGATATTTGAATGGATGAACATTGTTTGATGATAAAATAAAGACTTACTTGATGATTACATTGTCGATGATCAACGATTTCAGTTGAAGACGATGTGCAATCAAACCGGACATTAGGATTCCGATGGCAATCAACGCAGCAAATGTTTTCGCTGCATGTTTACGGCGATTATAGACGAATGTGAGGACGAGAACGCCAAGCATGGATAGCTGAAATTCATTGCTAACATACCAAAGATGTGGTAGACACTGGTTGTGCGAAAATAAATCAATTAGTGACATTGAGATTACGAGAATATAGACATACCGTTCTGTCGTAATCATAGAAATCGGCAAAAAATAACAAACTTCTTAGGATGTAATGTTGACATGGTTGGAGAATTCGCTCAACACTGGAATTATAAATGGGACCGGCATTCTGCCATAATGGCAACAATTTAATGGCCATACCGACGAAAAACACAGAGGGGAATAGACGAAGGAATCGTTTGGCAAAAAAGAATGATAATAATGGTCGACCTTCGTGTTTAGATATGTAGGGCAGAAATGTATAGGCCAACAAAAAACCACTAAGCAAGGGCAATGAGAAATTGATTCAATAAAACAATAATGAGTAGACAAACCTGATGACAAAGAAAATGTCAAATGACAGCCATGATTGAATGACAATTTGATAGAAGACATTGGTTCGAATATTCAATTGCAATTGACGAACATGAGCTAGGGAAAAGAAATAAACTAGGAAAGTGATTTAGCCAAGCAATGAACTTACGAAGACTAGATATCATATGGGATTGATAGCCAACAAGATAAAAATTACTAAGGCAAATCCAGGCCAATGCTAACGATTTGATTGCATCCAAACAAGCGGTATTGGTCATTCGGCCGCTATTCCGAGGAAAATCACTCATTTGCTGGCCAGCATAACGATCGCGAATGATGAACATTTGCTCAAGGCTATAGCGAAACGAAAAACAAACTAAAAAGGATTTTGGACGATTGCGGTGATGACTCTTCCTCAAGGTTTCATTCGACGAGTATCGATGGTAAACTTCGTATATGGTCGAAAACAATACAGTGATGACCGATACAACAGCAAACAATCTACAGGAATTGAATTAAGTTTGGCCATAGTGATTGGTAATCAACGACTTACATGGCCAATATTTGATATCGATTCAACTGAGTGATGAAGGATCCGGATTGCATCTGTCTGATTGATTCGAGATTGAATTTGTCGGAAACATCCTCAGGCAACGCTTCAACCGTCATATTGAATCTGCTATAACAGTCAGACAAGGGACGGGTATTGATGCGAAATTTTTGCAGAACTGTGAAGGGGGCAAAATGAATTGAGAATGCTTGGACAAATATTGAACTTACAAAAATTGGCAACACTTTGGATTTCTTGGGGCGAGCAAGTGGAAGGCAGACAAAGTGCAAATGATAAAGGATTCGAATACAGAAACGGCGCTATCATCAAATAATATTCGCTAAATGTGCCCGACAGCTCTGTTTGATTGAAATCGAGAATTCGATCGGAATAGGTGATGCTCGATTTCAATTCGGGCAGCGGTAATTCCACTTCAATGAGACAATATTGTCCGGTAAAGAATACTTGATCAGTACGGTCATCTCTATCATCATGGGCAACAATATCCAAACAGCTATCGAAATCACCATAACTGCGGAGAGCAAATTTATTCAAAGATGAATAGGTTGCTGATGCTGCAATCACTGTGAACGAGAGAAAATAATGATTGATTCGATTCAATAAAATACATACTTTGGTATGGCCATATTGAATGTCTACGAAATTGATTGGCAAATTGCACGAACGAATTGAAGCAACGTTGGGAAATACGCTCACCAATCACAAATTGATAATCATAGACTCGAGGCATTATTGCCTTTATCGATTTAGCATACTCATCCTGAATGATGCGACTCAGATAAATGTAAACATCTTCTGGCCGGGATTTTCCGTTAATTTCTTTTTGTTTTGGTCCCCGAATCAATTTGTCAAGAATTCCAGCGACGCCACCTATAGCTTTATCAATATCATCATCATCATCATCTTGATTGTCAGTAACATTATTGGTGTTGGGGGATTCCGTGCTAGTAATATTATCATCCTCATCATAGTCCTCATCATCGCCATAATCATCTTGATCATAGTAATCCAATTCGGTCATCACTTTTTTCGCTTTATCGGTGAGGTTTAATTCATTTTTGGGAATGATACGACCTTTGAATAATGGTTTGAAATCATCATCGATTGGGATAAGGTTGGTGAATGAATGAATAGTGGTTGCTGTTGAATTTTCGAAGAAAGTCGCGGTCGTTGAAAAATTGTAGTCATTATCAAGGTCGGATAAAGTGAAATTAGATTGACGTTTATCACGATCGATAGAGCCGAATCGAGGTCGATCGAAATGTGGAACACCAGCATTCCCATGATTGGATGAACATTGAATCGGGTGAATAATGATAACCATGATTAATATGGTTTTGATTGGAGTCATCATTTTTGTTCGGTTACTGCACACGATATGTTTGATTGGGTCGATAGGAGATAAGTATGTTCTGTTTCTAATCAATGATTTGTCATCATTCACTGCATGATGATTGTTTTGATTCTGGTGATCACATGAGCTTAGGTACATAATTGATAATGATCATCATCATGAGGAAAATAATCGATTCATTCATTCATTCAATCGAATTGAATTGAATAGATTTGCCATGAATAATTGAAAGAAAAGAAATTCAATACAGGCTTTGTTTGTTTCAAGTTTTTTCTGGTTTTTGTGTTGAATGACAAGGATGACAAACAGACAATGATCGATGCAATGATGATGATTGCCTGGTGATAGCCATCATTCAATTGTCTTTCTTCAATGTCTGTCTTTTATGGAAAAAGTGTGATGCAAACATCCTGTCACCTTATTGATTGTCAATCATGATAGCTGAATTGAATGGAAAGGAAAAGTATTCATATTTTCTTGCTTTGGTGAATGGATTATTTTCCTTGTAAATATATTCTATTGATTCATTCGGAGGAAATCAATTTCATTTTCGAATTTTCTCGGCCAACATGATCATCATTCAATCATTAGCCAGCAATCATCTGCAATTACTGGAGGGAAAAATTAGAATGAAAAATACTACGTCATATGGGAAAGATATTTATTAAGAGAAAATGATCGACTGATGATATGCAATTGATGTAATGTGGAGCAATAAAATATTTGAATCAAGAAAACAAGAGACATTGTATTTCACTGTAGATAATAAACTGCTCTTGATAAGATAGGATTGCATTGTTAGCATTGTTGTGATTGTTGTTGTGATGATGATGATTATTATTATTGTTATTATTATTATTATGACCCGAATTACGATCCAATCACAATCGGCATCAAGTGACGTTTTCTCTTTTTCTGGACTGTTTTTTCGTTTGACGAACTTGAATAAGTGAATATTATTGATTGATGCAGATCATCTTCATAATCATTAGTGGTTGATGAAATTGGCAATAAAAGATTATAATGCTGAAAAATGTTGATTGAATGGTGTGTTTTGTTGTTGTTAGCATTGATAATGGCCATCCATACATTACCACCACCATCATCATCCAACGAATTTTTGCGCATTATCAATCATCCTTGTTTTGATCAGAAAACTGTGGACGACTGTCAACTCTGGAACCAAACAAATGTTCCCCAACAATGTCTTTGGTGTGAATACTGGTGTCTGCATCGACCCAATGGTGAGTCATTTGATTGATAGAATTTTCCAGAAAATAATGTCCGTTTTGTTCAAGTATCACACGATTGTGAACATTATTCGCACCGATTGAATTATCTATTCGAGAAGCCAAAAATCCGGACAATCAAACCAAGAGTGGTGTTTTCTGATGTTCCAATGATGATTACCTTATCGGGCCAATATTTCACTCAATCGGATCAATTATCGCTAGTTTATAACGACGTGGATGAAATAATGTTCTGGTCCGACAATAAAACAATCAAAAGCCCATATCACTGCAAAATTCAGCAGAAAACATTCGAATCGATTCGATGCATCATCGAACATGTCGACCATACCGCCAAAGAAAGTAGGCATGTTCAATTCAAAGAATGTATATTAATAATTTATTTTGTTTGAAATTCTCTAGTCAAATTGCACATGCAATATTCACGGAGTGTTTTTCAAATCAAACGTTCCGGTATCAAAGTTGAAACCGGCATTGCATTATCGGTATTGGCCCATCATGATTTCGATTCCAATGATTCGAACCCTGATCCGATAGCATTCGAATTAAAGATTTCTGCATCGGTGATTGGTGGAATGTTGATGATAATCTGCTGTTGGTTTGTCTATTCACGAAGACATTATTTTCATCATAATTTGGAAATTCTCAAACTCAAATTCTATTTACGAAAAATGCAAAAACAGTTACGACAAAAAAAACTCTATCTCGAATATGAATCGGTCCAATATAAACGAAAATTGGGAGAAGGAAAGTTTGGCGAGGTATATTCGGCTCGTTTGACGACAACAACCGACAATGGTCAACAACAACAGAATGTGGCCATCAAAAGACTGCGAAGAGAGAGCAGTTATTTTCGAATGAAAATGTTCATCAACGAAGGAATCCAGATGAGTCAATATAAACATGATCGCATTCTCATTCCCTTGGCCATTTTCATCGACCGTTCCAATAATATGCCCTCGATAGTGATGCCATTGATGGCGAATGGTGATCTATGCCGTTTCCTTCAACAACAACAACTTTTACCTATAGTGCATTTGTTGAAATATTCCCTGCAAATATCTGACGGTATGAGATATTTGTCGGCCAAAAATTTCATTCATGGCGACCTAGCCGCCAGAAATTGTTTGTTGGATGAAAATAATGATATTAAAATAGGTGATTTTGGTCTTTCATGTCAGCTTTACAAAAAAAATTATCATGTGCTTGACGGAACTTATCGACCAATTCGATGGATGTCGATCGAATGTTTGCAGGCTAAAAAGCCCAAATTTACCAAACAATCCGATATCTGGTCATTCGGTGTAGTGCTTTGGGAAATATTCACATTGGGATCATATCCATACGAAAATCTGAGTGACGGGGATTTATGCCGAGATATTCTCAATGGATATCGACTAGCACCACCATCTAGTTGTCCGGATGTAATCTATTCGCTCATGATGCAATGTTGGTCGCAAGATCCCACAAAACGACCCGATTTCGAATCGATATTCAAACAAATTGACGACATCCTCACCAAAATCCAACAACAACAACAAATCGAAAATGAGAATGATGATGAGGAATTGCAGCCTCATCAATCCAATTTGGTCATTTGTAAATATCAAAATTATACCAGTCTAGCCGAACGTTTGATTCGTTCGAATTATCATGCAGATGATGATGAGGAGGGGGAGGATTATTTTGAATGTTGTATTGATGATGATTGAACTATCAATAAATAATGAGTATTATCAATGAGTCATCAATGAGTGGATTTGTAATTGCTTCACATTAATAATGTATGCGTAGATATTTTTCGTAATGGTAGCAGAGCGATTTCGAATTCGATTGTGTATTGGAAAGGATTTTTCCTTTTCCTTCAACGTGTTTTTGTTGTGTTGGCTATTTTTTCTGTTTTCTTTTTCAGTGATGATCGACAACCGAAAAAGACAAGATAAATTCGAATTTGCTCAACGGAAAGGCACTGAAATGCAGTGCTTATGAAAATATCTTCAAGTTTAATTCATTGTGCCAACAGTTTGGCATAGATATTGCCATTGCAAACCGGCTTCTCTAATAAGTTTAAATAACCTTTATTGAAGTCGGAGTGATTAAAGAAATTTTAACCGAAAAATTCCCAAATCCCGGCAGTTTGGGAATTTCAATTTCCTGCTTTTACCAACTTACAAATGGTAAATTTTTAATTGGATTCGATGATCAAATGTCGAAAAAAAGATTCGATAAAATTGCAAAATCCATTGAAGACATCAAAGTGGAAAATCCGCGAAGAAAAAGGCCAGTTATTATGTTGCAGGGGCTTCCGGAAAACTTTGACACCAAAATATTGGCCCAAACAATCATGGAATTCAATGTGACCTCCAACTCATTGTTACGCTACAATCCTTATTTTTTATTAACATTTTCTTTAAAACATGATTTCTTTGTTTATTTCGACTGATTAACTGCCTTGAATAAAGTATCTTGTTTTCGATTTA